CCGTGGGCGCGTCGTGGCACTGACGTAAGACTTCTGTGCGCAGCCCATCGTCGGCAGGGACATAGACTTTCCCTTTGTAGTAAATGATACCCTTGTCTTCTTCCCATTCGAAGAGTCCGTTCGTCAATCGACGTGGGCCATGCTCACGGAGCTCGCGTAGCGCGGTAAGCACCTCAGCTTCGCGCTCGCTAGCCTGACGAAGGCGGTCTTCTAGTGGGGATTCTGGCTCGTTGAGGGTAGCAGAAATCTCCGCGAACCGCTCAGGCTTCAACACGATCTGACCCTGGTTATCCTCCGCATCCGTGACTTGGAGCGAAGGGATACGTGACAGGGGATCGGCCTGAGTGTTCGTCTTTCCGGGTTTATGCGTCATCGTAAAGTCGAAGCGTGACAACCATAACGACCAGCGAGCTTGTCTCCGTCCTAAGTTCTGCGAAGTTCGCCAGAACGTTAGGTTTTTATGATCGGAGATGATCTCGAAGGGGGCCGGAAGGCCTTCCAAATAGTGCCTCCAGTCCTCGAGAGCTCTGATGATAGCTAGCATCTCGCGGTCGTAGATCTCATAGTTGCGCTCGGCTTCCGCCATCGACTGTGACCTAAACGCAACCGGGTGCCAGAGATTATCTGCCGTCTTTTGCAGGATAACTCCACCGGTCGCGAACCCGGAAGCATCCACTTCCACGCGCGTAGGACGGTCGGGTTCCCATGTGACTAGAATGGGTTCCGACGTGAACGCGTCCTTAAGCGTCTGGAATGCTTCTTTCTGCTCTGGCCCCCAATGCCAGGATACGTCTTTCTTGGTCAGGTCATTCAGAGGACGTGCTGTCTTAGCGAAGTCCTTGATGAACCGGCGATAGAAGTTGGCGAAGCCCAGGAACCCTCGAAGTGCTTTCAGGTTCTGGGGGTCCGGCCAACTCGTGATCGCCTGGACCTTGACTTGGTCCATGCTGACCTTTCCTTCCGAGATTACCAAGCCTAGGTACTCGACGCTCGTCTGCTCGAATTCGCATTTCTCGGGTCGCAGGAACAAGTCGTGTTCCTGTAGCCGGCGGAGAACTTCGCGTACTACTTTGCAATGTTCATTCAAGTCCGTACTGTATATTAGGATGTCGTCTAGATATACGGCTACTTTTCCAGCGGCGATGAGATCGACGAAGATGGAATTCATGAGCGTTTGGAATGTTGCTGGGGAATTGGTGAGGCCGAAGAACATGACGTTCGGCTCGAACAGTCCGCGGTTGGTTACAAACGCCGCTTTCCATTCGTCACCTTCTTTGATACGGATATTGTTGTATCCCCAGCGGACATCGAACTTCGTGAAGTACTTGGCTTGGCGTAGCCGGTTGACTATGTCGGTAGCAAGCGGGAGCGGGTATCGGTTCTTGATCGTGACATCGTTTAGCTTACGATAGTCTTGAACCATCCGTAGCTTGCCGTCCTTCTTTTTGACGAAGAAGACAGGCGAAGCGATCGGTGACTTGGAAGGCACAATGTAGCCTTTCCGGAGGTTCTCTTCTAAGAACTTGTCTAGTTCCGCTTGCTCGTTTACCGGCATTGGATACACTTTCGACCGTAGCGTCTCGGGCGCGTCTGGTTTTAGGTCGATCGTGTGATCCCACGGCTTGTGCTCGGGAAGACGTTCCGAGTCTGCCTCCGAGAAGACTTTGGCGAAGTCTCGATAGTGCTCCGGCACCATCTCCTCGAAGGTCTTCTTGGACTTCTGCTGATTGGCTTGGGCTGCCAGTGTGGTTGAGTACGTTACACCTGCGCAGCACCAGAGCTCATCGGCCAAGTCATCTATAACTCCGCGCTTCTTCCATTCGCGCCGGAGTTTCCTCGTCCCGGCGATCTTCTGAAAGGGGAGATCATCGTTCTCAGATGAAACCGGCTCCTGCGGTTCCTCGTCGAACGTGACCGTACCCTCCTTCCAGTTGATGCTAGGATTCACCTCTCTTAGCCACGGAATACCCAGTATCATATCTTCCTTGTTCAGATTCGTAACTAAAAAATCGCACACCTCATCAAAGCTACCTACTTGTAATCTAAGACGAGCGTAGTGAGTGATGCTACCAGCTTTGTTCTTACTGCCATCGATGTTATACAAAACGATCGGATGTTTCATAGGAATGGTAGTTACATGATTTTCTAGTACAAAACGAGAAGAAATGAACAACCCCGTAGCGCCTGAGTCAATCATGGCAGCTACTTGCTTTTCTCGACGTTTTCCGGAGACCGATACATCAATACGTAAATGTACATCTCGAAGCTCTGATTCTGGTATAGTACAACTAGCTATGCGAATAGAACCGAAGAAACGCCAATACCTGTCCCACGACCACGACGCCGCTGCCACGGTAACGTGTGGTCGATCTAAAAAGCCTTTTTGAGGGCTTCGATCTGCGCTGCGAGCTCAGCTTGCTGCTTGAGCATCGCGTTCACCACGTCGGTCATCTGCGAGGTGGCCGCCACTGTCTTCTCCTCGCTTGTCGACGAGGAAGTTTCCGGAGAGAAGATCTCATCCACTTCCTTGTCCGTAGAGGACGTCGAAGACGTCGCAGCTGCCGTTGCCTTCTTTGGCAACCCGAGGAACCGTCTTTGGCAGACCGGGGTCTTGTGCCCAGTTCCACCGCACCAGTCGCAGACGTCGCGCTCGTGACCACCGTCTCGCTTGACGTGATCCTTGGAGCCGCAACCGAAGCAACGACCGCCCATGACCTTGAGAAAGTCCGCCCGGGTCTTCCCGTTACCGCCTTTCGGTGCCTGCAGCGTCGCGTCGATGTCCATCGCGTTCGGATCCTTGCTGATCACGAACGGAGCCGCTGTTGTCCTGACCGGGGTACTCGTCGACGAGGTACTCGACGTTTTACCAGCCTCGCGGGCCTTCTCGGCACGGCGTTGACGCAGCCGTGTGTCGAAGTCCGCAGCGACCAACATGAGTTCATCGAGCGTCTTGGTAGAGCGCTCGGTCGTCGGGAGGAGGTCCTTGATGTCGTTGCTGAGATGCTCGTAGAAGCGATCTCGCAAGTCACCGTCCGAGTAACCAGTCCGTTCCATGACCTCACGGAAACGCGCAGCGTATTCTGGAACTGAGAGCTTGCCCTGATACAGCTCACGAAGGGCCTTCTTCGCGTCCGCTGACTCGTCCTGGGTCTCGAACCGCAGCTTGAATGCCGTGACAAAGGCATCCCAGTTCGTGAACGCAGGCTTCTCAGCAACCATTGCCTCGATGTAGGGCGTAGCCCAGACCGCAGCTTCATCTGTCAGGAACGACAGAGCCGATCGTACCCAGTGCTGATCATCACGCTGCCACAAATTACCGACGCGCGTGTTGAGCTTGCTGCCCATCTCCTGCGCGTAGAGGGAGAAGGCAGCCACGAAGCGTCTGGCATCCGGGCTGGACTTGCCGGAGTAGGTAGCCGGGCGCTGAACCGTGCTTTTGTTGTCGGAGGGCCGACCCGAATTAGTGGCGAGAGCAGCGACCTGCGTGGTCAACTGCCCGAGCGTCGTCTGCGTCTGCTGCAGGCCTTGGGCGAGACCTTGGATCATCTCCAAGATCTGGGCGCCGGTCATTGCGTTTGCCATGTCGTCGACGTTGACTGGCGGGGGAGATGCTTCTGTTTGGGGAGGTGTGGGCGCTGTTTCTTGCGCCGGAGGGATATGAGTGTGAGAGGATTCAGCTACTTCTTCGCTGAGGTCCGATTCTTCTTCGAGGTTTGCGTTCTCGGGAGTGCACTCCACGTATCGGGTACTGCGTCGATAGGTGTTGGTATACCTGTTCGGGCAGGGGTGGGTTTTGCACGCAAATAGTTTGCCGGCGAGGGTTACGTATGTATCCTCGTTGTCTTGGACGTCGTAAACGTGCCGAAGACCGTCGCAATCCAGGGTGTCAGAAATATTGGACAACCTGCTTCCTTTGGAGACGCCGTAGGCCTAACCCCCGTATCACGTCTCTTTGGGATTAAGGCTATCTAACACTTCTATGTGAGGGACCCCGAGGACCCTTATCCTATCACAGGATTCTTAGAGCACAAGCGTACGTACTCGACAGAAATCCGCTGGCTGCTTTATGCCTGTTACAGTATAGCCCGCAGGTTCCAGGAACCGCTTCGACAGCTCACGCAACGTAGCTAAGCTGACTGCCTTGGATACGCTCAGTCTCCTCGACCTATTGCGCCTGTCTGCCTACAGAAACACGAGTTCTGTGGCGCTAACCTTGGCTTCCGATTGCCGCTTTTCACAGCCTCCCAAGGTCTAGAAGACCAAGACTTCCACGTAAATCTACACCCGACCTATAGCCTATGGTAGGGCCGTGTCCAGATGCAGGGCTCAGGGATGTAACCCAAGCGCTTACGTTTCCGTGTGACTATGCGCGTGCGCACGGGGTACCAACGCTAGGAGTTCTGTACTATGCTAAGGGTTTAGGTGACGACGCGGCCAACTGCGGCGTGTCAGGTAAGAAGATGTAGGAGCTCGTCCTAATGTTGCGGAGCTAGGTCTGACGCGACTAGAAACAGAACTGGGAACAGAAACACTTGACCTCAAGGTGTTGGACCGAAGTCAACAACAGTCTAACAGCGTCGAACGCAATGCTAGCAACTCCAAGTTAGTTACATTGCACTTTACTTAGTACAATGTGAAGTGCTTACCTAGCAACTCCAAGAGGACGAGCTGGAGTGCTAGGCAGCGTACAGGACCCTATATATACTGGCTAGGTTGAGGGCAGGTCTACCTACGCTGGATCCGAGAACTGAGGTCATGTGTACGTATGAGTCAGAACGAGTCAGGTGGCTAGGCGCTGCCGCAGGGCACATGATAAGTTACATAAGCAAGGCCACATGATGAACGAGTCACAAGACAAACCCTAGCACGTGATGTGTCACGTGGCTAGTCAGAAAGCCGTTCCAGGCGAAGTCTACCGTACAGCGTATTGTACCAGTCCGTAGGAAATGAGCAAAAATAGGATAAAACAAAGTAAAAATACGGGGCCTCCGTGTCATACCATGACAGGAGTGGCCTTGCTACACCGTGAGATTCAATGCAGAGCCGCGTCGAACGCGGCAGACAACACTGCGAGCCTTCGGGCCAGTCAGAACAGGAAACCTCACCCAGCGCACTACCTAGTCGATCGACTCTTGCGCGCGATCGACAAGCTGAAACAGCGGCACCCAGGGATCGACTTCACGATGCGCTGGGTACCCGGCCACCGTGGAATTGAGGGGAACGAAAGGGCAGATGAAGAGGCGAAGAAGGCGGCAAGGGGAGACAGCAGCCCGGTTGAGGACCTCCCGGGTTGGCTGCGAGAGAAGCTCCCGGTCAGTGTATCAAAGCTGCGACAATGCCTGCACGATACAATCAAACAGAAGGCAAAGGAGGAGTGGAGGAACTCACCACGAGCAGAGAAGATGGACAGGATCGACAGCGGCATGCCCTCAAATGCGTACCGCAAACTGGCCGAACGTCTCCCGCGACGACACGCGAGCATTCTGATCCAGCTACGCACGGAGCATGCCCCTCTCCAGCGACACCTCCACAGAATACGGCAGGTCGACTCACCGATATGCCAAAGGTGCGACTCAGGAGTGAAGGAAACGGTGTACCACTACCTCCTGGAATGCCGGGGCCACGCGCGGGCGAGAGCGCGACTTGAACGCGACGTCGGACCAGCGGCGAAGTCGATACGAAGCATACTCAGCGCGCCAACACTGACCAAGGCGCTCTTCCGCTACATACACGAGACGGGACGGTTCTCCGCGACGTACGGGGACCTGTCATTGAAAGAGGATAAGGGAAAGGAGACGACGAAGACTACGAACAAGGCGAAGACACGACCGAGACAGCCTAGGGAGGCTGACGGACGCGGACGGGGGTGTCATATCTCTCCATCTCCTCGCATTTCATTTCATTACCCCATCCATGCTACTACTATACATCACTCCTGACGCCAACGCGGCTGACGGACATGCGCAGCGAAAAGAGGCAGATGAGAAGGCCACCGTAGGATAGAATATCGTGTTTTATGTCTACATAGGGCGTCGCCCTCAGCGACACTAAATGGAACAAACAAACAAACAAACAAACAGGTGTCGCAGGCACATATCCTTTCCGTTCAGACCTCAGGTGGCATGTTCCTACATGGCGGCAAGGACCACAATCTAGGCCCCTTCCAGAACAGCTGTCTAAACTACGACTGTCCTTGGGTCATCCGTGTACGGCAGACGTACGCGCTCATGCTAGTTGCCGCCATACATTAGGTACACGCAGCCAGGCCACTACAATACGCAGTCAGGCCACTGCAATCACAATGGCACGCATCAGGAAAAACCTCCCCTGAGAAATACTTAGTGGATACGGAAATTCTTCGTAATACGAGGAGACTGAGTAATCTCGAATGCTTACCACATCATTCATGATAATGCCTGTAATTCTCCATGTCCACATACACCCCTGGAGAATGTCCGTAAAATTCGCAGTAATCTATGAGCACACAACTAAAACTCAAAGACGGCCACAAGCCCAGTAATCACGGATAGTGCACTGCTTTTACCAACATTTCTCTGAGCAGCTTTGATGCTCAGTTGCAGGGCTGACACAGAGCACGTTCCGAGAGGGAGAATGAGCAATATATTGGGACTATACAGTCTAAGAGCACGACAGGATCCCCTCGCATTCGTACCCGTATTGCCTGGTACTGGGCTATTGCTCCACTCAATCCTGCTCGGTGGACTCGTTGTATCGGCGGGTAGGTCATTGTCGTACCGTACGGCACGCTCACGCTCACGTGCCACATGTGCTTTCGCAGGCGTGTGGATGTATTACTAGGCGGCGGAGAGCTCGAGGCTGAGCAAGCACGTCTGCTACTTCATCGCGCCAGGTTGGGCTGCATGGATATCAGCGTGCACGTCACGACGCACAGGGCTCGGCACGGGTGGCTCGGTACGGAGGGCTCGGCGTGGGGGATGGCCATGCTGGTGGTGTGGAGAAACTCACCTGCATCGCCAGCCCTGCTCGCCATGGCATCCCTTCCGCTCATCCCGTTCTTCCGTTGCGAGTCTCCAGCAACGCTGGAGCTTATTGCGGTTGCGTACAACGTGAGTTTGGGGGGGTACGACGTGTTCCCTGCGTCGTGTGAGTGTGCCGGCCTGTGTACATCAGGAAAAACCTCCCCTGAGAAATACTTAGTGGATACGGAAATTCTTCGTAATACGAGGAGACTGAGTAATCTCGAATGCTTACCACATCATTCATGATAATGCCTGTAATTCTCCATGTCCACATACACCCCTGGAGAATGTCCGTAAAATTCGCAGTAATCTATGAGCACACAACTAAAACTCAAAGACGGCCACAAGCCCAGTAATCACGGATAGTGCACTGCTTTTACCAACATTTCTCTGAGCAGCTTTGATGCTCAGTTGCAGGGCTGACACAGAGCACGTTCCGAGAGGGAGAATGAGCAATATATTGGGACTATACAGTCTAAGAGCACGACAGGATCCCCTCGCATTCGTACCCGTATTGCCTGGTACTGGGCTATTGCTCCACTCAATCCTGCTCGGTGGACTCGTTGTATCGGCGGGTAGGTCATTGTCGTACCGTACGGCACGCTCACGCTCACGTGCCACATGTGCTTTCGCGGGCGTGTGGATGTATTACTAGGCGGCGGAGAGCTCGAGGCTGAGCAAGCACGTCTGCTACTTCATCGCGCCAGGTTGGGCTGCATGGATATCAGCGTGCACGTCACGACGCACAGGGCTCGGCACGGGTGGCTCGGTACGGAGGGCTCGGCGTGGGGGATGGCCATGCTGGTGGTGTGGAGAAACTCACCTGCATCGCCAGCCCTGCTCGCCATGGCATCCCTTCCGCTCATCCCGTTCTTCCGTTGCGAGTCTCCAGCAACGCTGGAGCTTATTGCGGTTGCGTACAACGTGAGTTTGGGGGGGTACGACGTGTTCCCTGCGTCGTGTGAGTGTGCCGGCCTGTGTAGGGCCGCTCACCCTCCCGCCTGCTCATTGCCATGCCAATAGTCGCGGCGCACTCGTCGGCCGTGTCTGTGTGCTGGGCGTTCGCCCTGCACGCTCGCGATCGCCGTGCGTGTTGTGCGACACCTCACCGTGCCTCATGCCCGGCTGCTTGCCTGGTCACTTGTGTTCGCGTTCGTCGGCCGTGTCTGCGTGTCGGGCATCCACTCAGCGCGCTCGCGGTTGGCGTGTGCACGCTGTCGACCGGTCACTCGCCCGGTGTGCTCGCGGGGTCGGCGTGCACGCCCAGGCCCTGCCCCACATTCCCCGTGAGCTAGCTCGCTCGCGTGCAGCGATGTTACTCACCCTGGTCGTACGCACTGCGTGGTCCTCAACTCCATGACACCAAGTCTCGGAGACACCACAACGCGGGTGACGCAGTGGTGGCGGCGATGGTGGTGAGAACACCGCAGCGGGACGGGACGCAGTGGCAGCGAGGCGGGGGAATGACGGACGCGATGCGCGGGTCGCGGAGACAGTGACAGACGCTAGCGGACAGTGATGGAGGTGACGTGCGACAGCGGCGGGGATGGTGGTAGGGTGCGGAGGGCGACAGTGCCACACGGATTAGCTCGTTGACCCATCCCGCCGGCGAGGAGGTCATGCACGCTACTTACCTGCATATGTCCGTCCTCACGTACCCCGGTGCCATCGAGTCGCCACGTCATGCTGCTTTCGCCGCCCAGAAGCCTGTCTTGCCGTCTGCTCCCGCCGAGGTAGCTCCCATGCTTGATGGCTAGCCCGTGTTGCGGCGAGGATGCGGTCTTGAAGGCGGAGAACACTGTCGGCCAGGGCGAGAAACGCGAGGAGCCCGGTCACAGCGGAGACTTAGCTGTGGGAATTTGGATGCGCAGCGCGTGCCCGAACCTCACCGTGTGCGCTGTTGAGCTGGCGGGGAAACGGCGTGAGGGTCTGGTGTACAAGGGACGAGACGGGCAGGCTCGTACTGCGGGAGGGCGAGCTGGTCGTACGCACTGTGAGGTCTTGACTTGCGTTGTCGCGCAAAGTCCCTGTACCCGCACCCCCGTGGGACTCCTGCCGTATAAGGTAACTCCGACAGCGCTTGCGTCCGTCCAGCGGCGCAAGTGCTGACCTCTCAGGCTCTCTTCACTCCCTCATCCTCGGAGTCCCCAGCCTCGCCCTGCGCCGCTCGCACGCACAACCTCAAGTTCGTGAAGCACGGCCGCCATATGAAGTAATCGACCCATGATGGGCCTTCAGAACGTACGTGTGCGCCGCGGCCGCTTTGACATGTCAGCACGCGTCCAAAGCGACAAGCTGGCAGCACATAAAGAGCACCGACGACGCCGCAAAGGCGTCGTCAGTGCGCTCACGAAGGCCGCGGTCACAGAGTAGAGGGATGGCGAGGCCGAGAGGCCGCACAAAAGGTATGTGGCATGTACTATACGCTCTGTTGGCCTTCCCACAGCCTGACTCACCATCATATCTCCCTCCACACTCCTTCCGAGCCTCGCCCGCGTCGCTATGACATGTGGGTCTCGTCTATCCATCACCACGTCACCGCTGACCCACCCAGCAAGCGAGCGACCACCGACCTGCCCGTTTACGTGCCTGTTGGTTTCATCGGCTCGCTTGTTCCTTTACCAGTAAGTGGCCTGCATGCTCACTCATTTGCACATATACCCGTTCACTGGCTTGTTTGCTTCACGCCAGGTTGATGCTGCTCACTCTCGGCACAAGATAACCAGGTACGAAATTTCTTTTGTGCGTCTCAGAGTCCCGATCTCACGCAATGTATGCATATTATGTATGCATCACGGCCGCTGTGGCGCTACGGAATCTCAATGATAGACATCTGGTACGTGTTGAGCCGTATCTTCCAGCTGGTCTACCATTGTCTCAGTGCGTATGTACCCCGGTCCCCGTTGCTCCGACGTCTGCGTGAAGCTGATGACCCACAGCTGGCATGTTACCTTGCGTGATTCAACCAACCCGAGACCGAGATGGACTACCAGCTCCCGCATTACAGAAAACGTGTCGTGCCCACGCTCGCACGGCACTTCGCCCTCGAGCGCCTGCGCGACTCAATCTTCTTCTGTTCTGCGCCCGTGCGCCCGGACTAGCACGTCTTCGTGCACCTCCTCCCCTGGATGCTGCCTACATCGGCACTGGGAGCTGCAGGAAGACTGCGAGCGGCGAGGAAGAAAGCGAGGATGCGGGGCCAGTCGAGGTATGGGTCCAGTTTGGTGACTGCAAGCTGTTTGCGGATGGCATGCGCCGGCTCGTGGAGGCGTTATGCGTGGAGGGTGTGCATGTGCGGAGCGACGAGGGGTGGGCTCCATGCGGTGATTCGCCCAGTCGGTGAGGCTTGTGTGGGCGGGGTAATTATTCGTCGGGATGCAGACCCACGGCATGCTTGCAGCTGGGCATTGTACATACGTCACTGAATGTAATGACTATCCTCTAATAAAATATGTCTGCTATATGGGTGTATTGTATGTATTGTGGATGACAGAAGTGACAAATGCAACAACGAGTGGATGGAATATGTCAGTAAAATGGGCATAGTACTCTATGAATGCTTGACAATTACTGAGTATTAGCTCGTAATTCACAATGGAAGAGGTTGGACTAGCTAATGTCACCGTATATCAAAATCGTAGGAATGCACAACATTACCTGCTATTACCGCATGTGACTCGGTATTACTGGGTATTACTGGGCATTCACAGGGGAAGTTTTTCCTGATGTAGGGCCGCTCACCCTCCCGCCTGCTCATTGCCATGCCAATAGTCGCGGCGCACTCGTCGGCCGTGTCTGTGTGCTGGGCGTTCGCCCTGCACGCTCGCGATCGCCGTGCGTGTTGTGCGACACCTCACCGTGCCTCATGCCCGGCTGCTTGCCTGGTCACTTGTGTTCGCGTTCGTCGGCCGTGTCTGCGTGTCGGGCATCCACTCAGCGCGCTCGCGGTTGGCGTGTGCACGCTGTCGACCGGTCACTCGCCCGGTGTGCTCGCGGGGTCGGCGTGCACGCCCAGGCCCTGCCCCACATTCCCCGTGAGCTAGCTCGCTCGCGTGCAGCGATGTTACTCACCCTGGTCGTACGCACTGCGTGGTCCTCAACTCCATGACACCAAGTCTCGGAGACACCACAACGCGGGTGACGCAGTGGTGGCGGCGATGGTGGTGAGAACACCGCAGCGGGACGGGACGCAGTGGCAGCGAGGCGGGGGAATGACGGACGCGATGCGCGGGTCGCGGAGACAGTGACAGACGCTAGCGGACAGTGATGGAGGTGACGTGCGACAGCGGCGGGGATGGTGGTAGGGTGCGGAGGGCGACAGTGCCACACGGATTAGCTCGTTGACCCATCCCGCCGGCGAGGAGGTCATGCACGCTACTTACCTGCATATGTCCGTCCTCACGTACCCCGGTGCCATCGAGTCGCCACGTCATGCTGCTTTCGCCGCCCAGAAGCCTGTCTTGCCGTCTGCTCCCGCCGAGGTAGCTCCCATGCTTGATGGCTAGCCCGTGTTGCGGCGAGGATGCGGTCTTGAAGGCGGAGAACACTGTCGGCCAGGGCGAGAAACGCGAGGAGCCCGGTCACAGCGGAGACTTAGCTGTGGGAATTTGGATGCGCAGCGCGTGCCCGAACCTCACCGTGTGCGCTGTTGAGCTGGCGGGGAAACGGCGTGAGGGTCTGGTGTACAAGGGACGAGACGGGCAGGCTCGTACTGCGGGAGGGCGAGCTGGTCGTACGCACTGTGAGGTCTTGACTTGCGTTGTCGCGCAAAGTCCCTGTACCCGCACCCCCGTGGGACTCCTGCCGTATAAGGTAACTCCGACAGCGCTTGCGTCCGTCCAGCGGCGCAAGTGCTGACCTCTCAGGCTCTCTTCACTCCCTCATCCTCGGAGTCCCCAGCCTCGCCCTGCGCCGCTCGCACGCACAACCTCAAGTTCGTGAAGCACGGCCGCCATATGAAGTAATCGACCCATGATGGGCCTTCAGAACGTACGTGTGCGCCGCGGCCGCTTTGACATGTCAGCACGCGTCCAAAGCGACAAGCTGGCAGCACATAAAGAGCACCGACGACGCCGCAAAGGCGTCGTCAGTGCGCTCACGAAGGCCGCGGTCACAGAGTAGAGGGATGGCGAGGCCGAGAGGCCGCACAAAAGGTATGTGGCATGTACTATACGCTCTGTTGGCCTTCCCACAGCCTGACTCACCATCATATCTCCCTCCACACTCCTTCCGAGCCTCGCCCGCGTCGCTATGACATGTGGGTCTCGTCTATCCATCACCACGTCACCGCTGACCCACCCAGCAAGCGAGCGACCACCGACCTGCCCGTTTACGTGCCTGTTGGTTTCATCGGCTCGCTTGTTCCTTTACCAGTAAGTGGCCTGCATGCTCACTCATTTGCACATATACCCGTTCACTGGCTTGTTTGCTTCACGCCAGGTTGATGCTGCTCACTCTCGGCACAAGATAACCAGGTACGAAATTTCTTTTGTGCGTCTCAGAGTCCCGATCTCATGCAATGTATGCATATTATGTATGCATCACGGCCGCTGTGGCGCTACGGAATCTCAATGATAGACATCTGGTACGTGTTGAGCCGTATCTTCCAGCTGGTCTACCATTGTCTCAGTGCGTATGTACCCCGGTCCCCGTTGCTCCGACGTCTGCGTGAAGCTGATGACCCACAGCTGGCATGTTACCTTGCGTGATTCAACCAACCCGAGACCGAGATGGACTACCAGCTCCCGCATTACAGAAAACGTGTCGTGCCCACGCTCGCACGGCACTTCGCCCTCGAGCGCCTGCGCGACTCAATCTTCTTCTGTTCTGCGCCCGTGCGCCCGGACTAGCACGTCTTCGTGCACCTCCTCCCCTGGATGCTGCCTACATCGGCACTGGGAGCTGCAGGAAGACTGCGAGCGGCGAGGAAGAAAGCGAGGATGCGGGGCCAGTCGAGGTATGGGTCCAGTTTGGTGACTGCAAGCTGTTTGCGGATGGCATGCGCCGGCTCGTGGAGGCGTTATGCGTGGAGGGTGTGCATGTGCGGAGCGACGAGGGGTGGGCTCCATGCGGTGATTCGCCCAGTCGGTGAGGCTTGTGTGGGCGGGGTAATTATTCGTCGGGATGCAGACCCACGGCATGCTTGCAGCTGGGCATTGTACATACGTCACTGAATGTAATGACTATCCTCTAATAAAATATGTCTGCTATATGGGTGTATTGTATGTATTGTGGATGACAGAAGTGACAAATGCAACAACGAGTGGATGGAATATGTCAGTAAAATGGGCATAGTACTCTATGAATGCTTGACAATTACTGAGTATTAGCTCGTAATTCACAATGGAAGAGGTTGGACTAGCTAATGTCACCGTATATCAAAATCGTAGGAATGCACAACATTACCTGCTATTACCGCATGTGACTCGGTATTACTGGGTATTACTGGGCATTCACAGGGGAAGTTTTTCCTGATGCGGGGCGATTAATCTCCGCGGATGCACTAGCTGCGGAGCGACTTCACGATGTCGCTGCACCGCGATTTCGCTACATGGGTTTTTGGCCGCCTTACACCCTGCTGACAGGGACTTGACGTCAGAAGAGCGGAGAGGTGAGCGCGAGCCGGGTCGACTCATCCTTGGCTAGTGCATCTACATATTTGTACTGATCTCGGTGCGTTTGCAATAGAACGTCATCGCCGATCGCTTCCCGCTCCCCCGAGGTGAGTTCTCTGACTCATAACGCTGACTTCGACCATCCACTAATCGGTACCTTCATATCGCCGTCGTTTCGTTTCTTTAATAGCCATCATCTCAATCCAGCCCGCCGCCCTGCTATTCGCGTCTCGTAGACACGGGAAGATCGGCAACTGACGCTTCATGAGCGGAATGCGATCGGTGATACAAGTATGGCATGCGGCGTTAGCTTGAGTGCGGAACGGCGACTGCACTGCCATATCCTGGAAGTATATGTCCGGGAAGCGACTTTTTGCCCTCTACACCAATCTTCCACTCCGAGTCCTGGTACGTTGCCTGCCGATGGACGCCAAACTTGTATACCTTGCGGTAGCCATTGCTGCATACGCGAAGTGGAGATTGATCACGCTCGTCCTGAGGCCGACCTCTAGTCTACGCCACTTACCCGGCCCGACATCTCGCAGCTGGCTTCTCGGAAACCTCAGGCAGCTCCATGCATCGTCAAAATGGCTGGAACACTATGGCGACACGTTCAAATTCAAAGGCTTGCTCAATGTATGTCCTCTTCTGCTGCATAGTAAGCTGTCCCGTCACTGACTGCACATTGCAGGCTGATGCACTCTGCACGGTCGACACGAGAGCGTTGCATCATATACTGAACAACACTACTACTTACCATAGACCAGAACTCGCTCGCTTAGGTATTTCAGAATTCGTCGGTGAAGGTAGGCATTTGTCAGTCAGTCCGCCTCTACCCATCTAACGTAGTGACCATGACAGGCTTGTTACTGGCTGAAGGTATGCTTCGTTCATCTATCTAAGGATGGCTGAATTTGACTGGTCTGGTATTTCAGGCGAACGTCATCGACAACAGGTCAGTTTTCTCGCTCGTCTTAGGCCGAAGATATGCAGGACTCAGTCAGTTGTTTGATCAGCGAAGGCTTATGGTAGGCCCGAACTTGTGTTTTGATACGGATGACGTGATGGAGAACATTGCATAGAATCCTGCCTTCGGCCCTGCTCACGTCAGAGAGTTGACGGGAATATTCGTGCAGAAAGCAAACGAGGTGCGTATGATGCCAGCGTTCCGTCCATTATAATATGGCTTTCATGACGGTTCGCATTTCAGCTTGCACGATTCTGGCAGATAAGTGTTGCAAGAGATAGAGAGATGGCACCCATCGACGTCTTAGACGGACTGTCCAAGGCGACCTTAGACGTCATAGGACTCGCCGGTGAGTCTACGTCAAGATAGAACATTGAGGTCTCACCTATGTTTTGCTGTTAACGAAATGTCCACAAGGGTTCAACTATGATTTTGACTCCCTCAGCTTGGATGGACAGAAGAACGAACTCAACGAGGCGTTTAGCGTCATTTTCGGTTACGGTTCTTCCAGTGCTTCCTTCTTCAAACTCCTTCGGGTTCTGTTCCCCCCGCTGCGATACTTGGTGATTCGATTTACCCTGATGTGATTTACCTGTCTGACCGTATCGTGTAGCCGATGCCAGAGACGAAGGAAGTCCGAAAGGCTCACAGCATCATGCGTAGAATATCCACGCGCCTTGTACATGAGAAGAAAGATGCAGCGACACACAAGCAAGGCGAAGTTCATCAACGCGATCTGCTCACGCTCCTCATCGAGGCCAATATAGACCTCAACCTTCCGGAGAGCCAAAGGATGTCTGACGAAGATGTCATAGCGCGTGAGTCAATGCCGAAAGTACATGTCATCGAATATGGAAGCTCATCGAACGGAAGAGGTGCCTACGTGAGTCAAGTTCAGCACTCACTGTGCTTCAGTGATACGAAGAGTCGTAGTTTTCTGGTTGCGGGTCATGAGACCACGAGCAGCGCAACCGCCTGGGCACTCTACGCTCTCAGCATTGAGCCCGACATGCAAAGGAGGCTACGCGAGGAATGCCTCGCTCTGGCGACCGACGATCCGACTATGGACGAACTCAACGAGCTCCCGTACCTCGAAGCTGTTGTTCGCGAAACACTCCGTCTCCACCCGCCACTGAACAACACTGTGAGGGAGACAGTCAAGGATGATATCATTCCGCTCAGCAAACCGTACGTCGACGTGCGCGGGAAGGTTCACGACCATGTGAAGTACGTTACCCACGTTCTTGCGGATCGGTGCTAGTTGAACTGATACTTTTCTTGCCTAGAATTGATAAGGGAACCATGGTCCAGATCCCGATAATGGCCGTGAATCGCTCAAAGGCCATATGGGGAGAAGATGCCCTGGAATTCAAGTACGTGCAGTTGTTTGGGGACAATCACAATCTGGGGATTGACGGAATTATCTGCAGGCCAGAGCGTTGGGACAAGGTGCCTGAAACAGCCCAGCGAGTTCCCGGGACGTGGGCGAACATGATGACCTTCCTCGGAGGTCCGCGATCCTGCATAGGCTATCGTTTCTCTCTCGTGGAGTGAGTTCGTCGTTCCATCGAGACGGCCATACTATTCATGACGTGTGCCGCATCCCCAGGATGAAAGCGCTGATCTTCACCCTCATCCGCGCTTTCGAATTCGAGCTGGCCGTTCCCAAAGAGGACGTGACGAGGCAGAATGCGTCCGTTCAGCGGCCGATCCTTCGCAGTGCTATGGACAAAGGCAGCCAGCTCCCGATGCTGTTGAAACCCTACCAAAGGACGTGCATCAGGAAAAACTTCCCCTGTGAATGCCCAGTAATACCCAGTAATACCGAGTCACATGCGGTAATAGCAGGTAATGTTGTGCATTCCTACGATTTTGATATACGGTGACATTAGCTAGTCCAACCTCTTCCATTGTGAATTACGAGCTAATACTCAGTAATTGTCAAGCATTCATAGAGTACTATGCCCATTTTACTGACATATTCCATCCACTCGTTGTTGCATTTGTCACTTCTGTCATCCACAATACATACAATACACCCATATAGCAGACATATTTTATTAGAGGATAGTCATTACATTCAGTGACGTATGTACAATGCCCAGCTGCAAGCATGCCGTGGGTCTGCATCCCGACGAATAATTACCCCGCCCACACAAGCCTCACCGACTGGGCGAATCACCGCATGGAGCCCACCCCTCGTCGCTCCGCACATGCACACCCTCCACGCATAACGCCTCCACGAGCCGGCGCATGCCATCCGCAAACAGCTTGCAGTCACCAAACTGGACCCATACCTCGACTGGCCCCGCATCCTCGCTTTCTTCCTCGCCGCTCGCAGTCTTCCTGCAGCTCCCAGTGCCGATGTAGGCAGCATCCAGGGGAGGAGGTGCACGAAGACGTGCTAGTCCGGGCGCACGGGCGCAGAACAGAAGAAGATTGAGTCGCGCAGGCGCTCGAGGGCGAAGTGCCGTGCGAGCGTGGGCACGACACGTTTTCTGTAATGCGGGAGCTGGTAGTCCATCTCGGTCTCGGGTTGGTTGAATCACGCAAGGTAACATGCCAGCTGTGGGTCATCAGCTTCACGCAGACGTCGGAGCAACGGGGACCGGGGTACATACGCACTGAGACAATGGTAGACCAGCTGGAAGATACGGCTCAACACGTACCAGATGTCTATCATTGAGATTCCGTAGCGCCACAGCGGCCGTGATGCATACATAATATGCATACATTGCGTGAGATCGGGACTCTGAGACGCACAAAAGAAATTTCGTACCTGGTTATCTTGTGCCGAGAGTGAGCAGCATCAACCTGGCGTGAAGCAAACAAGCCAGTGAACGGGTATATGTGCAAATGAGTGAGCATGCAGGCCACTTACTGGTAAAGGAACAAGCGAGCCGATGAAACCAACAGGCACGTAAACGGGCAGGTCGGTGGTCGCTCGCTTGCTGGGTGGGTCAGCGGTGACGTGGTGATGGATAGACGAGACCCACATGTCATAGCGACGCGGGCGAGGCTCGGAAGGAGTGTGGAGGGAGATATGATGGTGAGTCAGGCTGTGGGAAGGCCAACAGAGCGTATAGTACATGCCACATACCTTTTGTGCGGCCTCTCGGCCTCGCCATCCCTCTACTCTGTGACCGCGGCCTTCGTGAGCGCACTGACGACGCCTTTGCGGCGTCGTCGGTGCTCTTTATGTGCTGCCAGCTTGTCGCTTTGGACGCGTGCTGACATGTCAAAGCGGCCGCGGCGCACACGTACGTTCTGAAGGCCCATCATGGGTCGATTACTTCATATGGCGGCCGTGCTTCACGAACTTGAGGTTGTGCGTGCGAGCGGCGCAGGGCGAGGCTGGGGACTCCGAGGATGAGGGAGTGAAGAGAGCCTGAGAGGTCAGCACTTGCGCCGCTGGACGGACGCAAGCGCTGTCGGAGTTACCTTATACGGCAGGAGTCCCACGGGGGTGCGGGTACAGGGACTTTGCGCGACAACGCAAGTCAAGACCTCACAGTGCGTACGACCAGCTCGCCCTCCCGCAGTACGAGCCTGCCCGTCTCGTCCCTTGTACACCAGACCCTCACGCCGTTTCCCCGCCAGCTCAACAGCGCACACGGTGAGGTTCGGGCACGCGCTGCGCATCCAAATTCCCACAGCTAAGTCTCCGCTGTGACCGGGCTCCTCGCGTTTCTCGCCCTGGCCGACAGTGTTCTCCGCCTTCAAGACCGCATCCTCGCCGCAACACGGGCTAGCCATCAAGCATGGGAGCTACCTCGGCGGGAGCAGACGGCAAGACAGGCTTCTGGGCGGCGAAAGCAGCATGACGTGGCGACTCGATGGCACCGGGGTACGTGAGGACGGACATATGCAGGTAAGTAGCGTGCATGACCTCCTCGCCGGCGGGATGGGTCAACGAGCTAATCCGTGTGGCACTGTCGCCCTCCGCACCCTACCACCATCCCCGCCGCTGTCGCACGTCACCTCCATCACTGTCCGCTAGCGTCTGTCACTGTCTCCGCGACCCGCGCATCGCGTCCGTCATTCCCCCGCCTCGCTGCCACTGCGTCCCGTCCCGCTGCGGTGTTCTCACCACCATCGCCGCCACCACTGCGTCACCCGCGTTGTGGTGTCTCCGAGACTTGGTGTCATGGAGTTGAGGACCACGCAGTGCGTACGACCAGGGTGAGTAACATCGCTGCACGCGAGCGAGCTAGCTCACGGGGAATGTGGGGCAGGGCCTGGGCGTGCACGCCGACCCCGCGAGCACACCGGGCGAGTGACCGGTCGACAGCGTGCACACGCCAACCGCGAGCGCGCTGAGTGGATGCCCGACACGCAGACACGGCCGACGAACGCGAACACAAGTGACCAGGCAAGCAGCCGGGCATGAGGCACGGTGAGGTGTCGCACAACACGCACGGCGATCGCGAGCGTGCAGGGCGAACGCCCAGCACACAGACACGGCCGACGAGTGCGCCGCGACTATTGGCATGGCAATGAGCAGGCGGGAGGGTGAGCGGCCCTACACAGGCCGGCACACTCACACGACGCAGGGAACACGTCGTACCCCCCCAAACTCACGTTGTACGCAACCGCAATAAGCTCCAGCGTTGCTGGAGACTCGCAACGGAAGAACGGGATGAGCGGAAGGGATGCCATGGCGAGCAGGGCTGGCGATGCAGGTGAGTTTCTCCACACCACCAGCATGGCCATCCCCCACGCCGAGCCCTCCGTACCGAGCCACCCGTGCCGAGCCCTGTGCGTCGTGACGTGCACGCTGATATCCATGCAGCCCAACCTGGCGCGATGAAGTAGCAGACGTGCTTGCTCAGCCTCGAGCTCTCCGCCGCCTAGTAATACATCCACACGCCCGCGAAAGCACATGTGGCACGTGAGCGTGAGCGTGCCGTACGGTACGACAATGACCTACCCGCCGATACAACGAGTCCACCGAGCAGGATTGAGTGGAGCAATAGCCCAGTACCAGGCAATACGGGTACGAATGCGAGGGGATCCTGTCGTGCTCTTAGACTGTATAGTCCCAATATATTGCTCATTCTCCCTCTCGGAACGTGCTCTGTGTCAGCCCTGCAACTGAGCATCAAAGCTGCTCAGAGAAATGTTGGTAAAAGCAGTGCACTATCCGTGATTACTGGGCTTGTGGCCGTCTTTGAGTTTTAGTTGTGTGCTCATAGATTACTGCGAATTTTACGGACATTCTCCAGGGGTGTATGTGGACATGGAGAATTACAGGCATTATCATGAATGATGTGGTAAGCATTCGAGATTACTCAGTCTCCTCGTATTACGAAGAATTTCCGTATCCACTAAGTATTTCTCAGGGGAGGTTTTTCCTGATGTGAGGCATAGCTGTCCGTGATGAAGAAGGTTTCGATCATGGACTGGACCTTTGCGACACGTATGTATGAGCAGACCGTGACCACGACCTTCTAGCCTTGTAGACTTCGACCGTTTTCCTGGATCCACTAAACTTGGCATAGATGTACTTATAATGTTGCGAGTTGAACTGACGTCGCAGTCTCTATTTGGAAGTATTTGTCTTGTGGCGAAGCACTTAGCATACATAGCTTGGACCAACTCGGAGTTTAGTGTTGTTGTTACCGCAAAACCATGATGTCCGTCTTCGTCTTCTCAAAACCTGCAACTCCACCAGCACGAGGGTATACAGCGCCCTAGGCACCGGGAACCAGCACGCCATCGCTGAGTAGGAGGAGCAAACTAGACGCACTGCCCGTTTTCCATCATTCATACGGCGCCGCCTATGTTTTCACTGTAAGTATTTTTCCGCGATAACGACCGTCATATTCGAAGGTGTCAACATATGTTAGCATGCCCGCAGCGACTGAAACTCAGAGCGTTGTAGGTGCTCATAGGTGGCGAAATCCAACATTGATCTACAGTGTGCAGCGGACAAGGCTGAACAACCGACGTAGGTGATTATAAGTTCTCAGGCGGATTCGTTGTGACCGCGGCGGGCGCTTAGCCTCGGTCACCACTCGGGGTCACCAAATCAGGCATGCGCCACCGCCCTCTTCGCGGGCGGTCACCGCCTGGTCGCGCTCTGCTCCACCCACGGTCACAACGACTTTGGCGGGCGCGGTCACCAACTCGCAGGGCGCAGGCTCGCGTTAGACACGCAGCCAGATAGGGTAAGGACGATTATGTCAACCCATTTTCACGCCACACCGCGCGTCTCATGCAGAGTAAGCCTGTTGAGTCAGCTCTTGCAACCGCCTCCACCTCCCGTCTCCTTCACTTCTGCCGTCGATTCACCGCGTGCCCGAGCCGACCAACGAATGCTCACTACCATCCCGGTGCACTCGGAGCTACGCAGCTGCCGCCCAACAACAGGCTGGACTGCCGTCCCCGCAGACTGCCTGACCATCGCGCCACTTAAACACAAGTTCAAGTTGGCCAACGTGCCCGGAACGCAACAGAAGAGTGAGGCTTCCGCTGCATATATAGTCCGAGCATACATCACTTACCGTTGCGCTGACAGATGAATTATTTGCTACACCGCCCTACCATCGCTTGACGTGGTTGCGCGGCACATCTGCACCTGGAAGGCTGTAACGCGAGTTCAACTGCTCCATTTGCCGCAAGCAGACACTGCCTGCGCAGCACATGCAACGCGACAGAAGATCAAGGCTGCGAGTGCGTTTATCGTCGCGCCGGCAGATCAATCCGCCGCTCTCCTCACTTGCCCGCCGCAGCACGGCGTTGCTGGACCAGGCATGTCCGACTCGATACAGTGTGCAGCGGACAAGGCTGAACAACCGACGTAGGTGATTATAAGTTCGCATCAATTACAACTTGACAGCTACTTTAGCTTACGTCCCCAGTACAGCCTCGAACGCCACTACTGCCGCTATCTGCACCCGGCACCGAACCTCCAGTCGCCGGGAACCAGGCTTCTCCGCCAAGGGCCGCACTGAACAGTGAATCCTCCACTATTGAACCAAGGCGGCCTTCTGAGGCACCGGCGTAATGACACATGTGGGTGGTAAGTACGAGTGACTGTGTCTTTGTGAGCTAATCTGACACCTCGTCCCAGACAGCTGTTCCTGATGTCACTGTATGATCCCCGCGTGCGGGTAAGCACTGCGCTCCGCTGGGTTCCCACTGGCAGCGGTATCCCCTCTCGTCCGAATTGTGGCACGGGACTGTCCATTCATTTCCGTCTAGGCTCAGCAGCGCCTCGGGAACGCGTGGTCGTATAGGGCCCGCCGCACACTGATCAGCGGATATGGGCGTACGGCAAGACATGATGTGTTATTGGGGTGGGCTACCGCGCCATGCATATCAGGGTCTGGTCTGTGCAGCTCGAGCCTAACCTCCCCAGAACTTGCGTATCCACCCCCTAGAATGCCAGACGGAGGATCCGTAGCCACTCTGACCGTTGAGGCCGTCCCTACCGCTCGCCGGGCCGATGTTCTCGAAGAGCCGACCGGCGTGACCATACACCTCCCGCCCAAACCGGCGCATACCGCCGACGCTGCTCCTGTCGTCCTGGCACTCTCTGGCGACAGCGTCGACGCCGTGGAGGAACTACGCCAGCGCTATGTTCACGCGCTCACCGACGGCACGATGTCCCTCGTCGACGTCGCCTCCTCCGCCACTTGTGCCAATGGCCCACCAGGGAAGTACCGCCTGGCGGTGTCTAGCAAGTCGAGGGAAGAGCTCGCGGAGAAGCTTAGTGCAGCCCAAGTCGTGCCCGTTCCCGACAGCCCACGCAAGGTCATCTTCTTGTTTTCGGGACAAGGAGGGCAGTCTTTCGGGATGGGAGCGGCGCTGTACAGGGCCGTGCCTACCTTCCGTCGGGCGGTCGATGAATGTCAGGACAAGCTTGTCTCGTGGGGATTCGAGGAGATGCTGCCTTTCATACAGGGTACGCTATCGAAAGATGAGAGCGGTCCGGTCCTTGAGGCGGAGCATACCGCGCTCTTCGCGCTCGAGTACGGTCTTGCGCGGATGTGGACGGCGTGGGGTGTCAAGCCAGACGTCGTGTTGGGTCAGAGGTGAGAAGGCACTTGGTTCACTACTGCCGCCTTCAGTTCTGACAATACGCTAGCCTAGGGGAGTACAGTGCGCTCGTCTGGTCAGATGTCATCAGCCTGGACGACGGCCTTCGGCTGGTCTGGCAGAGAGCAAGACTTACGAGGGAGCGATGTCCGCGAGGCTCGTCAGGGATGCTCGTCATCATGGCCGCCCCCAGTGTTATTGAGGAGACAATACGCGAAGACCCGTGCTACGATAAGCTATCCATCGCATGCCACAATAGGTCAGTCGTCTTCCGTTCCCAGAATTGTAGTTGCACTGTATTGAGGGCGATCAGTGACACAAACGGGATTGTTGGTGGCGACATGGAGCAACTCAAAGTCCTGGAGCAAGTCTGTCAGCAGAAGGGATGGTGGCACCGCATGCTGACTGTCCCCTACGCATACCACACAACCTGCATGGAGCCCATTCTTGACGAGATGTTCAACCTGGGCAAGACTGTGACATTCTCTCCACCGACCGTCCCGATTGCAGCCGCACTGCGCGGCATCGTCGTCGAACCGGGCGACCAGTCCGCCTTCCAAGTGACCTTCCAACCCGACTACTTCGCTCAGCACGCGCGGCGCCCTGTTCTCTTCCAGGAGAGCATCTACGCGTTAGCCGCACGGGACCCTGCGCTCGCCTCAGAGGGCATATGGTTGGAGATCGGCCCGCACACGACGATCCTCCCATTGCTCCGGATACATCGCGCCGTCAAGGAGGAGTGCGTACAGATGGGTAGCCTGCGCAGAGGGGAGGTGGATGAGGAGGTTCTTTGTCAGGCGTTGGCACGTCTCTACTGTGCGGGCGCCACAGCCAATTGGCACAACGTCTTCCGGGAGTTGGCTAGCCCTCGGGTCTGATATGACACTCCCCGCACCTGCATGATGGATGTCCGCTGTATTTGTGTAACGATTACGCTGGAAAGTCAATTGTTAAATACGGGTGGTTAGTGAAAGACTCAAATAAATCTTGCGACAAATCTTGACGATCCGATCCCGATCTGTGATCGTACGTGGTTCCTGACAGCCACTGTGCTTCCTTCGACCTGGTGCAAGCTTGGTCGAAAACTGGTCGAACAAGTACTCATGTTACCGCAAAAGCATGCCCTCGCTCCTCGCCCCGTTTTCTCCAGTAATTACCCATTCAGCTCTGCGACATCCAGCATCCAGCAAACGCACAGCAGACAGGGACAATAGTTGGCACGACTAATGCGACGTGGCCCCAGACGCACGACTGGAGCCGTTCACATTGCGGTGCGACCGCGACGGTATCGCGCAAGTCCGGCTTGACGTTGGTGGAACCTACAGTTCTCTCTGTGACTCACATGTCCTCCGTTGCACCGTGAAGAAGATTCTTGGCATAGCACCAGTCCCGGCGCACAGTAACGCGCGTCGCTCGTCTTCCACCAGGAATGCGTTGCCGGCGCATTCATGTCCAGCTGCCGACCCCTCGCATTCCTGGAGATGATTCTACTTTGGTGCATGTCCTCTTCGCAAACATATATTGGCAGCCGCTCTTCGTTGCTACCCCCGGCGGGACAGAGAGACACCACGTAGGTGCCAAACGTCGACCATCGCTGGGCAACAGCGCCGGTCAACCGCAAGTTTGAGTGAGACCTGTTCCTACCTGATGTTACGATACAACTGACATAACGCACACCACGTAGGCGCATCCATGCCTGAGTCTACTCCACAGCCGGCGGGTGTTCCATCCGTCAGCGAGGATATATACGTGCTAGGTGGACAAGGAACCACGGCGACCTCCAGTGCTGAAACAGTAGCAACAGCTCTCCAAGATGCTCAGCAACCTCTTGGGAAGGTTCTCGTATCCGCATGTCACGTTATCTTCCTTGACGAGCTCGCCTCGCTCTCTCCAGCCGAACTGACACTATGCGGACTAGACCCTAGCCAGCTCCAAAGTGCTGCTACGCTGCTGGATGTCCCCACTGACTTACAATCGCACCCTATTCTTGCCAACGTCAATCTGTATCTCACACAACTGCTGCGTTTCGTCGCCAACACACATTCTTCCGACCTTGCTTGTGCACGCCGTTCTGCCGTTCTTGGCTTCTCCACAGGTCAGCTCGCTGCTTCAGTCATCGCTGCTTCAACAGGAATCTCGAGTTTTCTTCATCATGCGGTCGCAGTGCTCCGTTTCGCGTTCTGGTTTGGATACAATGTGCACAAATTCGTCTCCGGTGGAGAACATTCGAGCACCAACAGCTCTCCGTGGAGTGTAGTCTTGCTTGGTTGGTCCAGAGATGAGGTTGCAGACGCTGTGGGTGTATTCAACGACGCTCATGTAAGTGGCTTAATGTCCATTCCGACCGCTTGCTTAAATTACGACACCTAGCCGAATAGTCCCCCAGTCTACCTCACCGCCGTAACGAACGAAAGTTGTACGACGGTCTCTGGACGACCGGAAGCTGTCTCCGAATTCGAAGCTACCCATAGACCTTCCTCAACATCCGCATCGCACTTCGCGCATATACACGCCTTGTACCATGCGCCTGTCCTCCGACCTACGAGAGAACGCGTCCTCGCCGACTTGCGAAGGCGGAATGTACAGTTTCCGGCCTACGGTGATCTCAGACGAAGCCTTCGCTCGTCAATAGACGGCAGTCTTATCGACTCGCTGCATCACACTTCCGGCTCGACACTCGTTGAGGACGTCCTTGACATGCTTCTCCTGCATCCTGTCAACTTCGATAAGGTGGTGGAAGGCATTCGCATTGATCTATCTACTAAGGATGTCCAATCCATCCGCTTGGTAAATCTGGGACCAGGTACAGGCCTCTGGCGTAGTGCGGTGCGCGACCTGCGGACTCGTGGTCTGTCAGTCGATGCTGTCGACTGGCCTCCCCCAACCTCCGTTTCCGATGTGATTTCCGTACCTCGTCAACCATCCATCGCCGAAAGGCATTTTCAGAAGGAGCCTATCGCGATTGTCGGCATGGCGCTAAACTTCCCCGGGGCTCCAAATGCCGCTGAGCTTTGGAGGGTGCTCGAAGAAGGCATCAACACAGTCAGCGAGGTGCGCATATACCCATTCCGTACGTTCGCGGACTAACATACATAGCGCAGATACCTTCTGAACGCTTCGACGTTGCCAACTACATGCGCGACGCGGATGACACGGGGCGATCCTTGCGGTCTGTCCGCGGCAACTTCCTCGAGGACGCCGACGTCTTCGACAACGCGTTCTTTCGCGTGAGTCCCCGCGAGGCGCGCAGTATGGACCCGCAGCAGCGCGTCCTGCTCCACGTCGCGTATCATGCGCTCGAGGACGCGGGGTACGTCCCGAAGGCTACGGCGTCGTTTGACCCGGAGACGTTCGCCGTGCACGTCGGGGTCGCTACCAATGACTACGTGCAGAACCTGAAGGATGATGTGGACGTGTATTACAGTACTGGTAAGTGATGGTGTCGAATATATATACTGGCATGCGGCTCATAGAAGAGATCATAGGCACATTGCAGGCGTTCCTGAGTGGTAAAATCTCGTATGCATTCGGGTTTGGAGGTCCTTCCGTCGTCGTCGATACGGCATGCTCATCCGCCATTGTCGCCATGTACCAGGCCTGCCGGTCGTTGCAGGCTGGTGACTGTAACGCCGCTCTTGCTGGCGGCGTCAATATCATTGCAAGCCCTGATGTGAGCGCATTCACACTTCGATATCCCATTGTGCCCGTGGCTAATACCTCAAAAGATGCACGTCGGGCTTGACCGTGCCCACTTCCTCAGCCCCACAGGACAGTGTCGCCCCTGGGACGCCTCCGCAGATGGCTATTGCCGCGCGGAAGGTTGCGGTATGTTCGTCCTCAAGCGACTCTCCGACGCGCGCGCCGAGAACGACCGCATCCTCGGCGTCATCCGCGGCATCGAGGTCAACCAGTCCGGGACGGCCGACTCGATCACACACCCGCACGTCGCAACGCAGACGAGGCTCTTCAGGAAGGTGCTCGACTCCGCGGGCGTGCGCCCCGCGGAGGTGAGCGTCGTGGAGGCCCACGGGACGGGGACGCAAGCGGGCGACCCTGCGGAGATCGAGGCGCTGCGAAGTGTTTTTGGTGCGGATGAGGAACGGGAGTGTGTGTTGCGTATCACTTCGGTGAAGGCGAATGTTGGACATGCGGAGGCGGCCTCGGGCGCGGCGAGCCTCGCGAAGCTCGTGCTAATGATGCGGCATAGAAAGATCCCAAGGAACATCTCGCTGAAGCGGCTCAACTCGAGGATCCCGCCGCTCGAGAAGGATGGGCTTTGCATCGATACAGAGGTGTCTGCTTGGGACCTGCCGAGGAACGTTGGTAGGCGTGTGGCCTTGCTGAACAACTTCGGGGCTGCTGGGTCGAACGCGGCGTTGGTACTTGAGGAGCCACCTCTGCTGCCCGAGTCGACGGCTGAAGAGAAGCAGCGGACTGTTGTCCTTGGCCTATCCTGCGACAGCGTCGGAGCTCTGGAAGAGCTCCGTGAAGGGTGTCTGGCGGCTCTGGGCGATCCTTCGTTGGATGATGCTTCACTCGCCGACTTCGCCTACACCGCAACAGCACGAAGACAAGCCTACAGATACCGCGTAGCTGCCCACGGCCAGTCAAAGGAAGAGCTATGTCGTGAACTCCGGGCAGCGCCCGTCGTGCAGGTCGGCGAGCACACCAAGAAGGTCGTCTTTCTGTTCTCTGGGCAAGGCGGACAGTACTGGGGTATGGGCTCGGGGCTATACGAAGTCGTGCCGAGCTTCCGACAGGCGGTCGATCTGTGCCATAAGAAACTGGTCTCTTGGGGATACCAAGGAGTGCTCGATATGATCAGAGGCGTATTTGCTCGCAACGACAACGGGATCGGTGCCAGTCATTGCCTGGAGACGACGCATTGCGCGCTCTTCGTCCTGGAGTACGCGCTGGCGCGTATGTGGAGATCCTGGGGGGTACACCCTGACATAGTCATTGGCCATAGGTATGTGACAACTGACTTGTTATCGTGTCTGTTCTCAACCTCTTGTGCCTAACGTAGCCTCGGAGAATACGCCGCGCTGCTCTGCGCTGAAGTCATCAGTCTCGATGATGCCCTTCGTTTGGTGGCCCAGCGAGCCAGGTTGACGAGCGAGCATTGTTCACGAGGCACTTCCGGGATGCTCGCTGTCAGGGCAGATCCAAGTCTTGTCACAGAAATGTTGAAGCAAGACGCGACTTACGAAGGGCTCTCCCTTGCGTGTCATAACAGGTGGGCTATGATGCTGTGGTTCATATAAAACGACTGAACCCGTTTTGGCAGTGATACAGATTGCGTCGTCGGCGGGCATTCGACTCAGCTGGAGCTCTTCGAGATGGCCTGCCAACGCTCCGGGTACCCATGCAAGCACCTGGACGTCCAATATGCGTATCACACATCTTCCATGAACCCGATCGTCGATGGGCTTCTATCTCTTGGCCAAACCATACAGTTCTCGGCTCCGAAGGTACCGCTGGTGTCCACAGTACTTGGCGGCGTCGCTCGGATCGGCGATGATGCTTCGTTCACTCCAGACTACTTCGCGAAGCACTGCAGAGATCCGGTGCTCTTCCGCCAGGGCATACAGGCCCTCTTCCGTCACGATCCAAGTGCCAGGGACGCGGCATGGCTTGAACTCGGTCCTCATGCGACGACATCTCCGTTGCTACGTGCAAACGGCTTGACCGGAGGTGGTGTGGTCATGTCTACGTTGCGCAAGGGACAAGCGGACGAAGACTCCGTCTGCCGTGTCCTCAGCCAGATGTACTGCGCTGGCGTCGAGGTCGACTGGCGTAGCATCTTCGCAGATCTAACGCCGGGCGCCAAGGTTACAGACACTCCGTCGTATCCTTTCACTAAGACGCGCTTCTGGGTACGCTACTCAGAGAGCAAACGACCGCGAACATCCGGCCCCAGCCGCAAACCGTCGTCGACATTCTCCAGCAACATTATAGGTGGCAAGTGCATCCATTGGCCAGCAACAAACGGCGATCTACCTGCGCTGTTCGAACTTGACATCGCCCAGCTATCTCAGTTCATAGACGGCCACCAAGTTGTGGGATCCCCCCTCTGTCCTGCGTCCGTCTATCAGGAGCTCATTCTCGCGGCTGGTCATGCCTGGTGCGAGAGGATAGGGCTTCCCCCCTTTGCGTCATCGCTCGTACTGTCCGGTATCACGTACGAGGCTCCTCTCGTCTATGCTTCCCATCGTCTGAGTACTGTGAGAGTCGAAATCTCCTCGAAAGGCGCGGAGGGTGGCTTCAATGCACAGTTCGTAATCCATTCCGCAGTCTCACGTACGCGGGGACCGTGGCAATCGCACTGTACGGGAAGCGTATACGCGGACCTCTCCGACTCTATCAAGGAGCGTCTCTCGCGTTTCCAGGACAAGATCCAGGAGTGCATCGAGTCTCTTCGGATAGGGGCTCGGGACAGCCGCACACTGTACGCGTCTACGATCTATGAAGGCGCGTTTTCTAGGGTGGTCGACTACTCGAACTTGTTCCGTACCATCAAGGTCATCACAATACGGTGCGATGGCGCGGATGCGTATGCGCTGGCGCAATCGCCTACGGCGGATACCGGGCAATACATCGTTCACCCAGTCTTCATGGACACGCTCCTGCATACAGCAGGTTTCCTCCTGAACCACGAATCCGATGCTGACGGCCACATCTTCGTTTGCAGCCACGTTCAGACCGTCGTGGTGCTCCCTGACTTCCTCCGCCCATCTGCTATGTTCGGGGTGTACTGTCAAATTGGCTACCTCTCGCAGACCATGGCCATTGCTGATGCCTATGCCATCGACCTGGAAGGAGGATCAGGTCAAGTCTTCGCGCACATGGGCAAGATACAATTTCGCAGGCTATCCGTGACGGGCTTCAAGGCGATCCTTTCCATGAGTGTCGACGAATCCTTCCACCGTCTCCCACCATTCCCTGCATCTGATACCCCGGGCTCATCAACGCAGCTTCTTTCTGTGCAGGCTTGCATCCTCCAGCTGGTTGCGCGAATGTGCGACATCCCTCTCGATCATGTCAACCCCGAGTCGCGCCTCAAATACCTCGGCGTGGACTCCCTGATGAGCATCGAACTGATCGGTCGCCTGAATGATACATATTCGTCGCTCAACATGAGCCCGCGCACATTGGGTCATCTCGAGCGAATCAGCGACCTGGTCGACTTCGTAGAGCAGCGGATCTTCCTACAGGCAGATGCAAGCCATGACTCCGGACTACCCGATGACGCGCGGCGAGGCAGCATACCTTCTGTGACCCGGGTCACGGCCGAGTACGTGAAGAGCGTGCTCGCAGGTGTCCTGGACATACCGCCAGAGAAGTTAGGTGATGACGAGCACCTAGACCGCCTCGGACTCGATTCGTTGTCGTCTATAGAGGTTCGACATGCGCTTAGTACAGCCTATGGCTATCGAATCCCGCTGGATGTCTTCGCTAGATGCAAGACTGTCAAGGACCTCTCAAGTGTGCTCGCAGGTTGTGCAGCTTGCTCCAGCCCATCTGCAAATCCTTCCGTGGACCTGGGGGTGGGGACGAGCCCATTTCTTTTGCAAGATAGCGAACACCAGACGGCGACTCCTCTAGTGCTAATCCACGATGGCAGCGGAATGGTGCATCCGTACATGCGCCTAGGCGACCTTGGTCGGTGCGTCTGGGGTATCCACAACCCCAAGCTATCCACGGGAGATGAGTGGAAAGGCGGCATCCCAGAAATCGCTGAATACTATGCGAGCCTTATTAGCGCAGCGTTAGATGCGGACCGTCCTTGCATACTTGGAGGTGAGTTCCAGTCTGTACCTGTCAAACCGAGTGCTGATGAGTGTTCTCGCAGGGTGGTCCTTTGGCGGCGTTGTCGCATTCGAGGTAGCCCGCCTGCTGATTGAAAGCGGACATCGAGTAGAAGGCCTGCTCCTCATCGACTCCCCACACCCTCAAATAAGCTGTGCGCTTCCGGAAGCGGTCATCGACGCCGTCGTCAGCGCGAAAGTGGCGAATCCCAGACACGCCGAACTCATGCGTCTGCAGATGCGCTTTGCGTCGAAGGCCTTGACGCTCTACGACCCTGCGCGCTCACCTGCGTGCCACGTCGAGGCACCGAGGACCGTGATGCTGCGGTCCCAGGAGGCTTACGACATCGATATGGAGGGATGCGAGACCGCGGTGTTTCTGACCGATAGACGAGATCGAAACAAGGCTGTCGAGGGTTGGCAGAGATTGCTCGGTGCAATGGTCCCCATCATCGACATCCCCGGTAATCACTTCCAGCCGTTCGAACATGAGAACGTACGTATCCAAGTAAAACGGACTCCCTTCGCGATGTTGACGTTCTGACAGGTGAACATTGTCTCGCAGAGAATGCGGCAGGCTCTGGAGTTGCTGGAAGATAAACATTTTGTGATTGCAGGCGAATCTACCGACTCATAAAAAGTCATGACCAAGATCATACATACTGCGCGGTATCGTCCAACCGCGAGGGCAAGTTATCCATCAATCCCGATCGTAGAGACAAACTGTACGGCGCATACTACATGATTACAGGCGAGCTAGAGAATACGTACCTACTAGACCGTCGAGGTGTGTCGTCAGGGTGAGAGAAGATGAAGTAAAATAAGAGAGGTGGAAGAAATAGCGATATATGACAGGTAAGGGGGGACGGTGTCGCGGAAGAAGGGAAGGGGAAGAGCACACTATTACACAGCGGAGAGCAAGACACATGGAGGACAGGTTACAACATTCGGCCACCCGCAGGCAGGGTGGGCGGACCCCGGTGCACTTTCAAAATCTATATCGATAGATAGTTCTGCACCGTGGGCAGAAAATTGCTGTTGCGCGCAGATCAGTACCATCACTATGATACGACGCATGGAAACTTACATAGCTCCCCACCCCACGGCGAACGCGAGGGCGCCCCAAGCAAGGGACTTGCGTTCCGGAGGGATGTTCGCGAGCATGGAGACCCTGCGGTTCGTCGCAATGGCACGTTCGCCAACTTCGCCCGAGGGCTCCTTGAAGTCAAACTTGAGCTCCCCGTCGTCGCGCGGCCGCTTGCTCGCGGGCTTGGCAGGCGACACCTCCTGTTGCTCCGCGCCAGACTCGGGCTCTGACTCTTCTTCATCTTCCTCCTCCGGCTCGGCGGCGCGCCGCACACGCTGCTCCTCGCGGCCCGCCTTGAGGCGCGCGATGAGCGCCTTCTGCTCGCGGATGTCCTCCTCCATCACTTCGTCTGCGAGCTTCTGCGCGACGGGGTCGACTATCGTCTCGGTGACTTCGTAGGACAACTCCTCCTTGATGGCCGCAGGCGTCGCAGTGGTCTTGCGGGTGCTGCGTGCGCTCCGCGGCGTCCGAGTCGGCAGGGGCGCGGAGGGAGGCGGAGCAGGGCTCTTATGCCGGGTCGACCGCCTGGACGGTGTCTCAGTTTGCCGGGTGGTTGACGGAGGTGGCGTAGGTACAGTGGGCGCAACCGCAGCTGGCGCGGCGACGGGGGTGGGCACGGACGCGGGTGTGTGTTTAGACGCAGGCGTCGCCGGCGAGGCCTCTCTGCGCTTCTTCGCGGGTGCAGGGCCGGGCTCCTTGCCTGCGGCGGGAGACTGCTCGGGCGTGGGCTGCTGTGCGCGCGTGGAGCGGCGGTAGACGACGGTCGGGTCCGGCTCGGCCCTGGCAAGGACGGGGATGACACCGCTGAGGTTGTAGTCTTCCGCGAGCTGGACGGCGATGTCGGGCGTGACCCACGTCCCGGCGAAGCGCGAGCGGCCACCCTTGTTCGTGCCGCTGAGGTCGAAGGAGGCACGGACCCAGTTGGCCTCGAGCTTCTCGCTATCGTCGCTCGCGTTGGGGAAGGCGGCGCGGAACATGGTGGTGAGGCTGACCGCGCCTGTATCGAGGCGGCGGAGGATGAACGCGTGTCCGGAGGGCTGCAGAGCAGGCGTGAGCGGCGCACGACGGCGCGAGTGAAAGGACGTACCGTCTGGATCTTCAGGCGACCAACCTGCAAACTGTGGTTAGATGGCGTAGAAGATAAGTGCAAGGGCCACGCACGATCGTCGCCAGTCCATCGCGAACGATCTCCTGGAACTTCACGGGCGGAGGTTTAGAAGGATCCACTGAAGGACACTAGGTTATGGTGAGGTTATCGCGAGAGAAAGAAGGACATACTCTGGTTAAGATGGGGGTTTGCATGCTGGAGTGGCAGCGGAGGTCGCTGAACGGCGCCGGAGTGCTTCATCGCGGGGTCGTGAAAGAGGGAGGAGACGCGTCGCGTACACACGGGCAGGGCGCGCTGGTGGCAGTCGGGAACAACCCCCGCCACGCTCGACGCCCAGCCCAACATCACTTTCCCACGCCTGCTGACGTAACCTCCGCCCAGCATGCTCGTAGTCGGAACCTGTTGTGGCTCAGACGTTGAAGGTCAGTCGCATTGCATACACGACCTATGCGGGCGAGCTACAGGAGCTGTGGGGCATGTACACTAGGTCTACCATACGAAGTATCGCGGAAGGCGAAGGAATTTCGACTCGGATATGGCAGCGGGCAAGTCGACGTCCTCCGAGCTCAGGACTATCTCTGCATGATCTGCTATAATCGGTATGATGGAAGCGGCACCCGCGTTGGATTACACTCTACTTGCTTTGTCTACGTCTCTATGACTTACTCGCTACAACAACTTGAAGATGTTCTTCTGCTACTCAATACCGACGCGAGTCCTAAACATCCACCGGCAGGTGCTTGTCCAACAGCTGCTGCCGCGCTACAAGCGTCTCCACCAAATCCTGGTACGGCTCCCACCACGCGTGCTTTCCGCGGCGGTTCTGCATATCCGCATGCGCGACCATCTCCGTGACGGGCACCCACTTGATAGTCGTCCCCTGGATCGTGATCACCGCCGCCGACTCGGGTGGCGCGTGCTTCTTCCCGTGCTGCCGGAGCAGTGCCTGGTGGTGCTCCTCCACGAAGGACATGCACTTCAGTGCGAGGCGTACTGCGCGCGTCCGGTCGAGCGGCGAGGGAATGCCGCCCTGCAGGGTGTGGCCGAGCATCGCCGCACGCGAGTCAAAGAGCGAGCCGCCCTCTTCCTTGAACATCTTGCGGATGAAGTCCGTGCTGTAGACGTCCGACGACGACTCATTCCTGGGTGGGTCGTAAGACATTAATCAAAGATCCGTGACAGCAAGACAAACCTAAGCACCAGTCGTCCCTCTGCCTTGCCCTTCTGGTCAAGGGCGTACCGCCTCTTGAGGAACCGAACGTCACGACGCAGCATGTCCAGGTCGATACCCCGCTCTGGGGTGTACACAATGACAGCGCCGGTCTAAGATCCTCATTCAGTCAACCATTCCATTTCTCGTTCGCCGCCGAACTTACCGCCAATGCACCCATCGTCGCAATATACCCACACTTCCCTCCCTGCGTCTCCACCACGAACACCCTATTCCTGCTCGCCGACGCACTCTGCTTGATGGCATCGCACGCCTGCACGAGCGCATTCAAGCTCGTGTCCGAGCCCAAGCTAAACTCCGTCATCGGCACGTTATTCGAGATCGTCGCGGGCAGGTGGACCATCGGGATGTGGAACGCGGGGTAGTTCTTGCGCGCGCCCTCGAGCATCGTCAGCGCGTGGAACGCCTCGAACCCGCCGATCAGCAGGAGCGCGTGGAAATTGTGCTGCTGGAACTTCGCCGCGACCGCGCCGAGGTCGATGTCGGGCAGCTTGCGGTTCGTGCCCAGCTCGGACCCGCCGCGCGTCATCCAGTTCTCCACGCCGAGCCAGGAGAGCTGGTGTACGTTGTCGTCGAGCAGCCCGAGGAAGCCGTTGTGGATCGCGAATGGCTTGTGGCCTTGGCGGAGGCAGTAGCGTACGGCGGTACGTGTCGCGGCGTTCATTCCGCCTGCAGGAGCACCGACACTACGTATCAATCAATACATTAACCCCACCACGCGCAAACTGCAACACGTACTGCATGATACCAACACGCATTCGCTAAATACGCAATGGCATGAGTCGTTGATGGCCCCGGACTTTCATGTAAGACGCACCAAATGATGGGGCAACTTGGGCTCCTTCAACAACACCGACGTAGCGTAGAAACCCGCCAGCATCTCCGCAAACTCTGGGTCGCGCAACGACATGGCCTTCTTGAAGTTCTTCTCCGAGATCGCCGTGCCCACGGACCGCGTCTACACACCCACAACCCAGGGTACGTAAGGATACATCAGACACTGTATCGCAGCTCGAACACGAGGCAGACCAGACACACCAGAGCGACAGCCTCCATAAGCGGGACGCGTGTAACCTTGTTTTCGCTGATGCCGATCATGTACGACGGTGTGTCCGGCGTGGACTCGAGGAGCGCGTCAACCGCTTCGATGCCCTGCAGCGTCGGCTACACACCACACAAGGACCAATCAGCCTGACGTATTCCCACAGACGAAGATCTGGAGGCTACCATGATACGATCGTACGCCGCGGGCGCACCCCCGCGCTGCGTGTGTCCGAGCGTGGTCACCCGCGTGTCGAGGCCCAGCCGGTCCGTGAGCACGTCCTTGATGTAGTCTGCACGGATTGGCTTGAGATCCTTGTCGATCGCGCCCTCCGCGACGATCACGATCGTCTTGCGCTGCCCGGTTTCTCGGTGCTTTCCGTAAGTCGAATCTCAGCATTCGTTATAGCGCGCGGTGAGTGAGAGAGGTCTTACCGTCTGGATCATCGCACACATGCTGTCTTCCCAGTTGTCCTCGGAGGGAGGGTCTTCGGGGATGAAGATGAAGTCCGCACCGCAACTAACCATGCTCGTGAGGTCTTCCGAGGGCAGTCTGAAGCGCGTCCGCATACCTTGCACCAGCCATGAGTGCGAGCCATCCACAGTGCCGACCCATGACCTCCACCACGAACGCGCGCGAGTGCGACACGGCCGTCGAGTTGATGTTGTCGATGGACTCGCATATGCGGTGGAGTGCTGTGACTGCACCGATCGTCAAGTCCGTCATGGACATGTCGTTGTCAATGGAGCCGACGAGCCCGGCGATGCGCAAGTGATGGTGGTTCGTGACTTGCTCATCGGTGATCTTTCCTTAGGGAGAGTCAGCATTTGGTTGTTCAGGGAGGGAGCTTCGAGGCGTTCTGGATCCAGAAGTCAGGTGCCGCGCTGCAACAGGCTCTGGGGCGTCAGGTGAAGGGACGCATGCTAACAACAGCAAGCCCGACGCTCGAGGGTTTGTGCAGTGCATATATGCGGGTGTGGGCTCGTGGGCTCGCATGCTACGAAGCACCCTGACTCTTTCAAGAAGCGCAGAAACCGGGAGTCCCTCACAGAACATTCAATTCGACATACCTGCTGCTCGCAGTGCCTCGACGTGCTTCGGCCATTCGGAGCGGAAGACATCTGCACCAGTGAGGGAGCCGTCTCCTCCACAGACGACTAGAGCGTCGATGCCCTCCTTGATCATGTTATATACGGCTGTCTGCCGGCCCTCTTGTGTGCGGAAGGTGGTGGACCGAGCCGTTCCAATGAGAGTACCACCCTAGTAGGCATAGTCATTTTTCGCTGTCCGAGTACCACTTAGGAGGTGCTCACCTCGCCAAACCACCCGCGCACATCGTCCCATCCTACGCGGACGATGTACCGCCCCTTCAGCGTGCGCCCGCTGATGTAGTCACCCGTGCCGTCTTTCAACAGCTCTCCGTCGCCAAATCGTAAATTGTGCACAAAACTCGCGTCCTCCCTTACGGCGCCGGAGTCGGAGGATCCATTGGCATTGCCGCGAACGAGACCCTCGTACCCCTCGCGGACGACCCAGGCATCGCAGCCTCTATGAACGGGTGATCAAGGTCAAATGGAAGACGAGAAAGGCCGCAAGGAGCCGCACTTGGCGATGGCCGTCTTCACTACTGAGCGGACGACGGCGTTCATGCCGGCGCTGTCCCCGCCGGACGTGAGCACGGCAATCTTCATCTTCAGCTTTTGCGAGGTCGTCGGTGTCGCTGTATGCGCCATGGTTAGGCTGTATGCACAGGAGAGGGGGTAACTGGGACAGGAAATCCCGGAGATAGGGTGGATGTGAACAAGGGTCGATGAGTGGGTCTACCCCGAGTTTTTGACTGGCAGAGACCGCAGAGACCGCGTCAGGCGCCAATACTCGGACGATTCAGCCAGGCGCGCCTCGACGCGTCGTGGGCTCGCCTCCGCAAATATAGGCTCGACGTCGTGTGCGTTGATGGCCCACGGTGCTCGAGGACGGGCGGAGCAACGACGGCGAGACTTGGACGATATGGCAGAGGCTGAGCCCGATGCGTGTGCGGCGAGACTAGTCCACGGCGAGCCCGCCTATGGCCGCGGCTGCAGCCACACACGCGCGTCACTCTCTTCCGCCGCTCACACGTTCGTCCGTCGCGGAGGCCGACAGCCATGGTCCACGTCCGACTCAACGAGCGCGAGACCAATCCCAACCCGCACATCAACTTCATAACCACCCTTCCCATGCCAGACGCGGCGGACCAAGAGGACGCACGCCAGCTACTCCGCGCACTCGCTGCTCAGGTCCGGCCAGTCATGAAAGCACATGGCTTTGTAGTGAACAGCTTCGAAGAGGTACGATGAGTACTTGCATGGCCAGTGTGTTGTCATTCCGACCACGAAATAGTATGAGTACAACAAAGTGTTCGCGGGCAGAAATTGGAACAGTGGTGAAGTGGTGGGTAGGTAGCCTGCATAAGATGCGGGGCCGACTGAATCTGAATGGACATCCCCAGAATTGGTGCTCAGAGGTCCCAGTGGGTCCTTCCAGTCATTATCATGGCTGATGAGCACGTTATGCCACGAGGTACGTCAACTGAGTTGATGTTGTCACAACGAGCAGTTCTGAGGTCTCCTGCTCCTGCGAAGTTGGCACACATTCAGGTAGGTCTGCACATACTTGGAGGAACTTCCAGGACCTAAACCGTGGTCAGCACATGAACCATGGCCCTGCCTTCCAAGCGCTGTGGGCTAAGCTGCGCGCAGAAGTGAGAGCGCTGCAGAGCAAGGGATACTACGGAGATGGTCAGGGAGCTCGCCCATGTGTCCGCAATCGTGCTGACTACTGAGGCGACGTAGGTTACTGGTCTTCTGGCACAAGACTAGCCGACTCCGCACGCGTCGGCGGTGGAACGCTTGACCCAGGAGACCTCCCAGAAAACATGGTACGCCGCCACACCAGTCCTGTTTACACTGCCTCATACGTACTTCGCCTTCTAGTGCGGCGGTGCCCAAGCACGCAAACGCCCAACCTCCCTCCGCCGCCGACGCAACCACCAGGCAGGCCCTTCCAACCACACGGGCGCCCAGACAGCCAAAAAGCGCAAAGCAGGCTCGCGGATCACAGCAATAGGCACGTTCCGGGGCTCCGGACATGCCCTCAACGAGGACGCGAGCGACGAGGAGCAGAAAAAGTCCGGTGCGGGCTTCAGGAAGAAGGCGGGCAGCAAGCGCGCGAGGGAGGAGAGGGCGCTCGCGGCGGAGCGGAGACTCCTGGCGTTGCAGGGTGGGGGTGCGCTTCTGGCCTCCTGTGTCTCGCTACGGCGATATTGACTCTGAGTTTGCTCTAGCCGGACCGTCGACGCAGTCGCCGAAGGATGAACCCGAGGAAGACGAGGATAGCGACGTTGAGATCGTGGAGGAGACGGACCAGGAGAGACGGCGTGCTATGCTTGACGCATCGACGCAAAACGACTTGGACGACATGAAGAGTTCTCGCACTGACTTCTCGTCGGACTTCATCTTCCCGCCAATGTCATCGGATGACGATGAAGGACCCTCGTGTGACATACAAGTCTTACCACGCCCGAGTGCAACGGCTGCCTCCGGTACGGAGCCATCAACGTCTCGCAAGGGCAAACAACGCGCTAGCCTGGAAGTGGTAGACCTGACGGAGGAGGAAACTGCGCGCCCAAGCAGCAATTCAAACCCGCGAAAGAAGGCGAAACGAGATATGTCTTACGGCAACCTCATCCAGGACGAGATGAAACAGCGCAAGCTCGAATCCCTCGGGCTGACAGGCAACGGCCAGCGCCTCGGTGGCGACCGGAAGGCTCCCACTCAACCGCACGCGAAGGCGAGCGGACCCGCGTCAGGAGCGATGCGCAGCAGGAGCGGTCAACCGACTGGCCCTGATCAGCACCAAGACAAAGACAGTCCGGAGTGGACGTGTCTCGTCTGCACATTGTGAGTAGGCGCGCTTTCCTGATTGTTTTCGCGAGATGCAGCGGGCTCATCCTCGTGGATCTGGCCACGGTGCTATGCCTTCTTTAGGTCGAATGCACCTGGACATCTCGCATGCGCTGCTTGTGCCACGCCTCGAGGCGAGTCTAGTTGGGCGGGACAGCCTGTGTGACGTTCACCACTATGGTCTTTGCCCTCATGGATCTGTCAGGCTGATGAGGCTGAGGACACTGGATAGTCAAGTTTTCGACTGTATTGCGATGAGGTACGTAGTACATCAGCCGACCGAATGTACTGTTCTGTTGGTTTATCCGCCGAGTAAATCATGACATAGGTCTCAAGATATCTAGTGTACAGGCTACTCTGATACTTTCCCATTATTATCTGTTATCAAGTCGATTGCGTTCAGTTTCAGACTGTTGTGAGCGTCGTCCGGGTTCAGACAGCGATTCACCGCCAGCACCTATTCGCAAGATCCATCAAGCAGTCCCTGCATTCGACACGCGCAACACTCACAAGATCTCGTAATTCTCGTGGATGACGTGTTCGCCGCCACCAAACGCAATGTTGCATCCACCCTGTCAGACAGTCCACATGTCAATTGCATGCCCACCACGCATATCTCAGCTAGTACATACGAGGTGCTCGCCGGTCTTGCCTGGGACCCTGGCGCCCTGTATCACGGCCAAGGCATGGTAAAGCTTTCCTCCGCCCTGCTCATACCCGCCCTCGACGGGACGCCGGCCGGGAGGAACTCGCCCCTGCGAAGTGGGGACCCACTCCATCGTATTGGGATCGAAGGGCAGGAGGTCATACCGCCCGTTGTGCTCGTGCTCGCCACCACCGTAAGGCACGCGGCATGGCGGCGCCAGGTGCGGGCCGATCTTGCAGGGGTGCACAGAGTTGGGGAAGATCGCGGAGCCGATAAAGATGGGCGAGCGACCGTCCGCGTCGTAGCAAACCGGTGGACCGAGCTGCTGCAGAGCTGGTAGCTCAGATTGGGTGCTGAGCGGGATGCGGAACCCGGACGGTGGGGGCGCTTGATGCGCCTGATAGGGAGGCGGAGACTGGTGGTTGAAGCCGGGTGTGGGGAACTGGGGAGGCGTCTGCATTTTGAAGGTAGGGCTGTCTGTCCTGCTCGAAGGTGTACTCGCGGGAGCTGCGCTTTTGGCCTCGCTCGAGAATGCTGTGTAGACTGCGATGCGGTACAGATCAAGGGATATCAGTGGCAAGGCGATGAGCGCTGTATACCAGCACTGGCACTGTGGCACAGGCCTGACAGTGACTTGGCGCCCACTGCGAAGCTGAACACGTGCCGGTCGCTGAAATGAACGGAAGAACGGGCAGAACGAGCAGAACGAGCATGCAGGGAGCAGAAACATTCACGTTGCGTAGGCGTTTTGTCCGACGATCACCCATTCTCTCCTAAGCGACACACAGTGGATCAGCCATGCATACGATCAAGATACATACATAGTCACATTAACCCATATGACCTTCTTAGCCCAGAACCACGTATCTTATCCTCGGGGGCGATGCTTTGAGTTATGCAGAGCTGGTGCAGGAGGTAGTTCCATACTCTCCCACTCATCGGAATCTGGCGGAGGAAGACCTAACACTGGGGCACGAGGAGGTTCGGCAGGCGGCTGTTCCTCTTCTGGACGTTGCGCAGCAAGGTCCCCTGGAGGAGAAGCAGGAGTCGCAGGCGGTGTCAAGGTCACTGAACTCAAGACCCTCGTGAGGTTGCTGTATGGGGTTTAGGCCACTGTGGCACCGGATGCAGTACGACGGTACTCACTGGATTTCGCGTTTCCGCATATTGACCCAGTCTTTGCACGTGTCTCTGAACTGTGTCAGGATAGTCGCAAAATCATTGTAGAACTGCATTTCATCTATCAGTGCTAGGGCAGCGAAACATCCCCGGTTCCATACTGACCTTCAACCCTTCGTCGAGATTCCGCGTTATCTCCTTATACTTGTGATACGCGAGATCTAGTGACTGCAACGCATGTTCACGCTCCTTGATACTCGTGTCTTCTCTCCGAGACTGCAAAAACAGTTCGTTCCGCTCCTGGTGTACAGAGTTTTTGTCAGCGGGCATCAATCGCGGAGCAGAGATCAGTTTACCTTGATTTGCTGCAACAGCGACCCTTGGTCGCGCGCAGTCTCTTCCATGCCCACGCGGAACTTGTTATACTTTGCGAGTTCCTCCTCCAGCACATCTTCGAATCTAGCCGGCTGAACCTCGACCCACTGTTCGATGGCATTAGCTGCCTTGATGATCCGAGAAGTGATATCTTCAGATTCTGCAAGGCGAGTAGCACGCCTGACATGATCCTCTCGCTTTCGCGTCACATCATCCAGAGATTCCAGAAGCACCCGCAGAGCGCGGGCGTGCGTCTGTGTCGGATTGGTGCCGGACCTCGAGGATGGTCGAGAGAGTGACACGGTTGATGACGGGATGGACGCCTCGAGCTGTGCCTGTCAGACAATTACGTGGATGCCTTTCACACGAACCGGAACAGAGACCTACCTCGTCCCATGTGAATTCCACTATATTCTTCTCCCATTCATCCCACTTCTGCCTGACGTGTTCGTCGCTTTCAGACGCCTGATCCAGGATGCTCCGGTAGCGCTCGGCCTTCGCTGTCAACTCCTTGTTGGATTCGTGGGACGGTGGCCTATCCGCTTTGGCTTCAGCTCGGAAGGCCTCATCTTCTTCCGCTTCTTGGTCCAGGATGTCCATAGCCTTGAGCGGAGATTGCATCGCATCAAGAGAATTTAGATAAGTCTATAGAAAGAAGACCCACCTCATTTAATATGTCCATATCTTGCTGTGCAAGCTTTCGGACATTCTCTGTCGACGTCTCTATCCTTGTCGGTCCATCATCCGTTCGTACCTCTTCCGCCTTCTGCAATAGGCTTGGGGGCAAACCTACGGGCCGCTCCAGCGCCTCTAAGGCTGCAGGAAGGTTCAGCGATTCGAGGGTCCTGACATTCGCACGAACGTCAGCAACCACAATCATGCGAGGTGCAATGGCGAGTCGCTTACTTCGTGGCGACGTCATCAAGCTGCTGAGCCCTGTCTAAGACTTCCTCTTTGATCCAATTCTGCCGTCTGTCATTATAAATATCTGTTGTTGCACAGGATACGCCCTCAGCCATTGAATGGTAAGAAACGAAAGATTAGTGGGGATCTTACCTATCGCCACCCTTGCACCCCATCCGAGCAGCTCAGCAAATATCACACCATCATCGCCGATGACAGTCTTAGGGTCCGTCAACGCTGTGTGAACTGAGGACTGGATCATAGACACCCCTTGTATCTGAGGCAAGGCTGTCGAAGAAGGCACATCTTGGTGATAGATGAGGTCGTTATCACGTTCTGCGCGAGCGGAATTCTTCTGAACTGTGTCAAGCAGGGACTGGAGGCAATGTCAGATGTCGCGCATGTCGAAGAGCGGTCTCCGGATTACCTTGACGTCCTGGAAGACAGAAGGCGTGACACCCCCGCGCCGGGCGATATCGTTGCCTTTCTTAGCTGCCGCTTGTGCTTGCGTTAGGCGTGCTATCTCATGACCGTACCTTCAAGTTTGTCACAACGTCAATGCTGTCGTCTCTAACGGAAGGCTTGACCAATAACCTGCTGGCCTCTAGATCCTCCACGCTCTTCCTGTAGTGTGCAGCTGCCTCGAAGTGCAATTGTTTTGTTTCGAGGTGGGCTAACCAGTGCTAATCAATCATCAACACGGGCGGCCGGTCCAATAGACACGCCAAGGGCCGCACCGACGGGAACACATGCCGGATGGATGACGCTCCTCTGATCGTCGTGAGGGAGTCTCCGTAGAAGGAAGAAACCTATAGACCCCTTAACGAAAGCTTCCGCCGATCGAGAAAAGACCGTCACCTTCATGGACAATTTGGCGATGAGTCCATTCTTGTAGTTATCTGTGCTTGTTGTTCAGTCGGAGGGCGGACAAAAATAAGGGCAGAGCTGACCCATCACAGCCCTTTGCCACACGCATTCCTGTGCCTGTGCTAGCATCAGTGATTCCAGGCTTGTGACAAAGGCCTCCGTAAGATCTTCAGGCATGTCGTCTTCAGCAACAGAGGCTCTCAATTGCGGTACTACAGACGAAGCAAGGTATCTCCATGTTCCCGCGGCGCTCTTGCAACATCAGTTTGCCACCATCAATGCGTTGGGTCGGGCAGCTCACCTGGTAATAAGCAATCGCTTGTTTGAGGCCTTGGGCTGTTGAGCGGTCCTCCGCAGCGGCCAGTTGAGAGAACAAGGCTCCGAGATTGAATAACACGCCAGCTCGTTCGAAGATCAAATTTGAAAGCGTGACTGGGAGCGCATTGGGGGCAAAGACCGGTGCATATGCAATCTCCAGCCCAATCTGGCAAATGAGCAGCTTCAGGATCAACATGCGCCGTTACAGGAGAGAGACCGACATCGGCTGGTAGTTTGGTCAAGATAAATACAAGTTGTGCATGATAACTTCTCGAGGTCAACGTCAAGCTGGATGAGGATATGAAAGCACACACACCTTATTGCCGATTTCACTCTGTCAACATGAACAACACCGCCTACTCCGTCCTTGCGTAGGGACTCCCAGCGGCTGATGTCCCATCGGAACGCGTCAGGGTGAGTGTCCGTGTGGTTCTTGAATATGTACTCCCGCACAGCTCGTCGGATCTCGACCGTATAGGTTTTCTTGAAAGGCACAGACACTTGATTTGGCATCGTAAGCGGTCAGGAACGGACGAGGTTCTTAGTCTAGGCAGACGTGACCTGCACACTGGCAGTTGTAGACTCTTGGCTTCACTTCTGTCAATCCCGGTCGTAGGTGAGCCTGCTGCACACGCTGCTCGAAAAGGGTCTGCTGGGGCGTGCCTTTACAGCGTGAACTTTGACTTCGTTTGATAGGTTGGAATTAGCACGAGTTGGTGGCAGTCGGTGGCGAGGGAGTAGTAGCATCGCGATGAAATCATCATGAACGACATGACCACGTGCCCGTGTTGAGCGCTTATTCCCGCTCCCACAGCGGGCCTTGGATATATATGGCATGATGCTTCGAATTCGGCGCCAACCTCTCTATCGACTCTCCTCCTCAGGCTACTGTCCCGGACCACTTGTGCGCATTCCATCCGGTGCTGTCTGATTCACAACTTGACCCATTGAACAGTCTGATTTGCCGACGCCTGAATAAATGCGGATAACATTACAAGCCACTTAGAGATCTGACGCAAAGAGATGGAAGGTCCGGGATGGGTAGCATCCTCGTTACGTCCGAACACGATTCCAGTGATTAAACATTACACGACGATGAGATGTCGATCACACACACAGGGACCCGATGACAATCGAAGCTCCGATAGCTTGGTACTTTTAACTCGCGGTGAACTAACAACTTATGACTGTCAAAGAGCAACGCCCCGGCATATAGCATCAATATGGCCCAAAAGTCTACGCCAAGTGAAAGCTGCTGCTTTGCACGAGCGCACCTCTGTTAGCCTGCGATGGCCGTACGGACTCTGGCACGGGGCTGCATCTGCTATCGCGACTCCCATGGTTCAGTGACGCTGACCATGTCGGGGTAGGCCTCCGCTCCTCTACCGACCATAATAGTACTCCCCCGATGTAGCTCAAATTCGTGTGAGTTAACCATAAATATATCTATGGGATTGGCGGCCCTATCTTAGCTTCGTGGAAACGACGTAAAGAAGGCCTGCTCCGTTGATCCCGGAAAAGGGACATCTCCTCGGCGAGTCGACCATCCTTGTTACTTTGCGATCTGGAGTTTTTACTCATCCTAATGCGTGTAGCTACTGTTCCCGCGCCCGAGCAGAACCATGGCTCTGCGGTTTGGTACGCGTCAGCTGCCTGCCTGACTATATAACCCGACGCGAGGCCGTCCTCTCGAAGCACAACCCCTCCCTCCACACGCCATGGCTCCCCAGTACAAAATGGTCGCTCAAGGAAGCCCCTCTCGGGTCTCGCAGACCCATAATGTATGACTAGACCATCGAGCTTGACGGCCGTCGAACTGTTAACATAAGCACATAGGTCAACAGAAGCAATTCGTTGCCCACCACCACAGATGTGCCCACAGCTTGTTCTATGGCCCCTAACGTAGGTCACGACGTTGCGAAACTGCTACAGCTCGCTTACGAGCTCCTTGAGTAGGGAGTCGCAGTGAGTATCCACCGGATTGTCGGCTGTCGATCGAATAATCGACCTCGAAACAGGGGAGCGGAGCAGTCTCCGAAGCATCGAAGCAGAACACTCAACTCAGAGAGGTCACCAATGACGTTCCTCGCCGGCAGACGACCGTGAGGCTCTCGGCTGTTCACACGTCCTCCCACAGCTGATAGTTTCCGCTTTCAGCTGTGATGACCGCGGTACCGTCGATTGGTCCGGGGCGCAGGAACTGAATGACAAAACGAAGCATTGACACCGGCATTTAGATATTCTGTATGTACAATAGGTCTGCCATTCAAGGGTGTTATGGCGTGGATATACATATATTGCATTGCGAATGTGAGAAACCCTCTGTTTGCTGGACAGTACATATTAAATTCACAACTACGTCGCGCAACTTGAACGAGAATGCTTACTTCATGCGGTCGATCGCCATACCGGGTTGATCCGGCGTATCAGCCAGCTTCAATCATTGCAGCGTGCTTCGCTAACTTACCTCGGAGAACACACATACGCATTCTTGCTTCTCCGCGCATTTGACTCGTTGCGGGGCTGTGGCGTCCGTTGATCATCTCCAGACACGCGTTTGCCACGAATCGACCTTTGTTGATCCGTTAGCCCCGTTCGTGCATGACAGTGTGGCCATACACCCATCATCCCTGCCGGACCACACAGACGTAAAGATAGCCCCTTGTATCGTGCCCGAGGTGCTCCTATGACCACCTATATCACACGACGCCGGCGTGGCACTGACCGGCTTGCCGACGGAGCGGCAGGCGCAGCTCACCTGAGGACCCTGCAGTAATGTCCTTGTCCGTAGTACCGGAATGACCCGCAGTCGAGGAGCCACATCTTGGGTTTCCATCGGACTTGAACGTCGTGCAAACGACCACCGTAACGCACGGCCGAGTCCCGACGCAGCCTTGGTGGCCGCCTTTCCGGTTGGCAGAGTGAGACCCTGACAGGCAGCCAGGGTCCGGGCTTCTGGTGAATGACAACCGCAGTGTCAGCATTTTCAATCAAGGCCCGCTGAATGGCCAGAGGTATGCACAGACCTGAAACACAAGTGCTGTATCACCGAGCAAGACTAGTTGGGATCGAGCGTCTTGATTTCGAACTACTAAAGGCTGCCCCGCCATGAGGGGCATCAGTCACTCCATGTGGGACGGTGTAGGAGTATGGACTTCGAAGGAAATTACAGGCCTTCAACTTGGATCTCGAGCGGGCGGTCTAATTGTAGGCGGTATAGCGCGTCCATGAGGAGTGCGTCTCCGTGTCCGATGTCAACTTGAATCTGCACGGTTAATTCGCCTAGAGGAAGAGGTCCACCTCTGAACCTGAGCCAGGACCCTACTGCACTATTGCGTAGTTGGGTACCGGCCTTTGGCCTGAGTTCTGGATTTATTTTCTACAATCATGCCATCACGGGCTCGACGATTTTGTATGGCGACGTTAAAGATTCAGGCGGAGACTACGCGAATTTCTGGAAAAGGGTTTCAACGAATGGCCGGGTGCTTGAACCGTAACACAATTCAAAAACTTGCTTACCCAAGCAGCCCGGAGAACAGCCACGATTTCGAAGACTTCGAACACTGCGTGCAACTGCCCTCAGCACGTTCCACATTTGGGCGTACTTGGTTCCTATGACTGTATCTGCGGTATAAAAACAGCAGCACGGCATGATAAAGCTTCACTCGACATCGCTGTTCGCTAGCATCATGTCCTTTAACATGAAGCCCCATCCCGTCCCACTTGCCCAGCCTACCAGGCCCCTCAGTGTTGCCGGAGGCTCCTCAACTTCGTACAGCGGGGAAATGAATGGCTCCCGTCCGGAGCAGCCAAGTCAGACAACGGCTACTACGTCGGCATCAGCATGGCGAGTGCAACTCGACTTCGTAAGTTCGCAGTGTCACTATCCTAAGTATCGTGTGAGCTTACATACTCATAGGGCCCGGTAACACTGACATACCTCGTTGCTTGAGTGCCGCTGATTCTCCCAATCATACAGGGTCAGCGAGTCGTGGTTAGGCTGAGGGGCCAGTTCTGGGTCCCTGGCACAATTGTGAGCTTCACCCAGCCGCGTTTCGAGGTGGGTTGGTTGAGTCTTGCAAGCCATTCGCGAGGACGCTGACAATTAGAATGGTGATTTGCAGTGGCAGAAAGTCGAGTACAAGGTCGAATACGAATTCGGCGGCTCGTTATCGGTGGGGTTGTTCAATGCGGAGGACATGCAGCGGAGGTGCTGAGCGTTCCATCTTCCGGAAGCTGGATTCGTGAGAATATCAGCGGTGTATTATGACATGCCGTAGAGAATGTGCTTCCAGACTCTCGTCACTGTAAGATTATGCTATGCGCACCTGTTGAGTTACTGATGTCAATCGTGCGAGTGGCTGGGCGATCGTTGACTGCGATGTTCAGAAACTCACTGATCAAAAGTAACGACGTGCCGCTGATCTCAGGTGTGGCAAGGCTCGATTGCCAGTGGTCGTACTTGATGAGAGCCTCACCACGTCTGATTGAAGACGTGGATTATGCCACTAAAAGGCACGCAACGTCGATGAGACAAGCCCGAGCACGTAGCGGTGAAGATTGAGCACTCGTGCGTTAAAATCATGCCGTCGCAAGTTGCCCGCCGCATGATGGGTGGAAATAAGAGGCGACAGCGCCGTGATACTTGTAGTTCGCCCAGGCGGATCAGTATACGACAACCGTTCTATAGATCGTATATGAGATCTACTTATCGCAGTGGGCGCTTGGTGACGCGGCGGCGGGCGCGGAGTTCAAGGTTTTCTAGGCAATGTACACTCAGCACACTTCGATCGTCCGTGGCAATTGCTGCACTCCCTGCAGTATTACATATGCGTGTCTTCGACGCAACACAAACTGGCGACGTACATTGTATGGCGCCGTGAACAAGCCCGATTTCCACAATACGCAAGCCGGGCACCCTACCCCGCTCGCCACGCACTCGACACGAGTTGAGGAGCGCCGACGACGTGCCACCGAGGCCACTCCGAAGCCTCGAGGAAAGCCGCCGAGCCTCTTGGACTGGCATCATTATGCCCTCTGCCTCCCACTGATGCTTCAATGACCCGTACGACCACTCACCTATTCCTCCTCCTTCTCGCGTCGGCAGCGACAGCGTCGGTGGAGGCCCAACAATGCCGGCTCGTAGCCCATAACAACCTGGGCGTGCCTACCCAGACTTCTGGGTCCGCCGGGGGATCGCCCGCATCGATCTCAGCGACGGCTACCGGCGCACAGCCTTCCGCTTCCGCAGCATCCACAAACGCCTCTTCGTTCAACTACGGGACTGATGTTATCCGGGGTGTGAATCTGTGAGTACTGTCGCGGTTAGGCGATGTTGGAGCGCAGCTGATGGGTGTGAAGCGGAGGGTGGTTCGTGCTAGAGGTGAGTGGCCCAGTGGCGTTATAATTCACTGGCAGGGCGCTTTCTATGGCATGCTGACGTCTCCCTTCACCTAGCCATGGATCACTCCGAGCATCTTTGAGAAGACGAACAACACGAATATTGTCGACGAATATACGTTCGGCCAGCTGTTGGACTCAAACTACGCGTCTAGCGCGCTCGAGCAGCACTGGGACACTTGGATCACCGAAGACGATTTCAAGGCTATCAAGGCAGCAGGCCTTAACCATGTGCGGTAAGCCGCTGTTATGTGCTTTTGACAATGACATGCAATTCACATCTGGCCAGGATACCAGTAGGTTACTGGTCCGTGCCAATCACGTCCGCCGACACGAGTTATTCGACCGACGCCTCTCCGTACGTCACCGGCGCATGGCCTTACCTTCTCCGAGCCTTGAACTGGGCCAACGAGAATTCCGTCCACGTAATTCTGGATCTGCACGGCGCGCCAGGGTCGCAGAATGGCTTCGATAATTCTGGGCATAGAGGATCCGCCAATTGGGCGAACAACTCGACTAACATAGAACGGACCCTGGATATTATTCGATTTATGGTCGACAAGGTCGGCGGCATGGTGAATGTCATAGAGCTGCTCAATGAGCCCGCTGGATGGGTTTCCGACGTCGGCTCTGCCATTGGGACCTACTGGAAGGACGGATACTCCATTGTCCGGAATATCACAGGGACGGAAAACACTGTCATGATTGGAGATGCCTTCCTGGGCGTTGATGTAGGCGGTCACTCGTTCTGCGCATAGAGTCCGCGACTTACCCACGTGTAGAGCTGGCAGAATTTCTTGCTGCCTCCCGAAGGACAAGGGGTCATCATGGATTATGTATGTTCCCCTATGTTCCCATCGTTTATCCCCGCCCGCACGAATTAAAAATTTGTACAGCATCAATACCAGATATTCAATTACGATCAGATAGAACTATCGGAGGACCAGCACATAAATGTAAGTCTCCGGCCTTTTACCCGGGTCCGTGTCCTTATCAGTATGGTACCTCAGTATACTTGTCAAATCAACGCTACGCTGGCACCGTACGCCAAGTCTAACTTAATGACTATAACTGGAGAGTGGTCGAACGCTATCACGGACTGCGCGCAGTGGCTGAACGGACGAAATGTCGGAGCCCGATGGGACGGAACCTTTGCCTCCGGAGAGCCTACTTTTGGCAGCTGCGACGGCATGACGGGCAATTATTCCACATTCAGTGCGGACTACAAGACCTTCCTTCGAAAGTGAGTGGCGTCGTTGTCTCAGTCAGCGCGGGCGTTCACGCTAGTTTGACTTCGCCCAGATACTGGGAAGCGCAGGTCACTGTCGGCGAGAGCGTACAAGGATGGATATTTTGGACGTGGAAGGTGAGTGCTTCGGATGGTATCGATCTCCCCACGACATGCGGAGCTGACTGACTTGTCTCTTTAGGCTGAGAACGCGGACGATTGGAGCTATCAGAGGGGTCTCGAAGGCGGCTGGATACCACAAGACCCAACGGACAGAAAGTACCCAGGCATTTGCTCCGGGAGCTCGAGCTCGTAGGCTCGGCGGACATTCGCCTCCGGGTCGGGCGCAGGATGTAACAACAAATGCTGTACGAACATTGCTCTTGAATGCCATCTGTGTATACCGCTTCGGCGGCAGGGTGACTTGGGCCGTGGTTGCAGGCACTGGGCAGACCGCAGACGGGCTGTAGCAAGGCTGTGGTCGCGACTCAAGATCAGTCACCGGACTGTCTTGGACATCGTCATCCGCCGCCAGCATCAGCGCTTTCTCGCCACTTCTCGCCCAACTCCAGAAAGCGGGTCATGCGTGACCGTGACATGTGATGCATTTGAGAGCTGTGATTGGCGGAGGGATGCTAATGTCACGGGCGCTTGTGTGAGCAGCGCACGTGGGCAGCCGTTTACGGCAACTGCGGGCTGGAGGGCGGCTGAGGGACGCCAGCCTGACTACTTACAGCACTCTCCTTTGCACCCACGCAAGCTGCGCTTTCGCTTCCCTTCGTTCGTATGTCGCTGGGCTCGTGAATCGCGTCTACAAAGCAATGTTTCTGGTCCTCTTCCTCGTCGCCCTCTTGGCCGTCCTCCATGCGTGCTCCGCCGCGGTCCCGCCCTCGACGCCCGCGAGGCTCAGGTCACGCCAGATACTGGAGGATATCGCCAGTGGTATGAACACGACGACGAACCATGCAACACTGCTTGGGGTGGACCTATCGACGGACAAACAGTACGTGTGTGCGCCGTCTGGCTCGCGAGCATGACCGGGTGACGCTTTCACAGGTCCTATTATACCGTCGTTTCGCTGGGCAACATGAGCTTCCGCGTCGCGCTCGACACGGGCTCGTCTGATTTCTGGCTGGTGTCTTCGGCGTGCTCTAGCAGTGTCTGCTCTTCTCTTCCTAGGTATCAGCTTGGATACAGCAGCTCGACTTTTCAGGCCGTGAACGGCAACAACTCCCTGTTCAATGTCAGTTACGCGGACTCTACTGGTAAGCTATGCGTTCCTTCTCGTGAATCTGGGAATTTCGGGCGACTGTGGGGCTGTATGCCTTGAGAGCGCTGGTATCCTCGCTCGCCGCTCAGCGCAGCGCAACACAACCGAATAGCCGGCAGAGTTAACGCTCTTGCTTACCCAAGGCATGCTGCGGATGTACGACGGTGCCGAGCTTGCCAGGTCGTCTTCTCGTGCACAAAATGGCTTGGTGTTGTACGAAGACCCACTTGGCGAGTCCAGCGTCCCTTGGACATATCCACAGATTTTCTGTTTCATCAGCAGCATCGGACATTGCGAGTGCTGTCTGGCGTCAATGCTGCTGTCAACATGACATTTACATCGTGTTGCCGCGACAACAGCACAGCATTCCTTCGGGGATGAAACCTCTTGCCTGTGGTCGTTAACCGACGTGTCCAATGTGTAGCGATTCACGTTGTCGCGGTTCGTATCTTCTGAAGGGGATGCTGACTGGTTCTATGCAGTTGCTTCCGGCTTCATTGCGCGGGAAACTGTCGTTCTACAAAATTTGACTATTCCTCAGCAAGCGTTCGGTAAGTGTGGCTCATTGCGGTCGGATCGTGAGCTCATCGTGCCTCTCAGGTTTGATGAATTTGTCCAATGTTACGTTGAACAATGACATCAGCGGTGTATTGGGTCTCGGTTTCCCTCGTCTGTCTACTATCTCGAGCACTGTCGCGAACGGTGAGTTTCTGCGTGAACTGCTTAGGCCATGGTCGATAACTCCGTGTAGCTACGCCCATCTTCGCATCTGCGGCATCGCGGGGACTTCTGAACTACCCCTTGTTCGGGTTGAGCCTCAGGAAGAACGGGACCGGGAGCCTCACTCTAGGTCTGTCTTCAGTAGCAACAAGGGATAGTAATATGGCGCTAAACGAAATCACCAGGCGCGATCGATGCATCGGTCGTTACCAACAGGAGCGCGATTGAATGGCATGACGTCGTCCCATTCGCGCCCTTCAACGGCACCAATGACACGACGGCGAGCTATCTCCAGTGGGCGATCGAGCTCCGCCAGACATGGGTGGGTACAGTGCATACTCGTTTTATAGAGTCCTCGTCTCAATTTGTGTAGGTCAATGGCACAAGCGTCACGCCTGATCCGACCTATTCTCAGTCGGATTCCAACACTTCTTTGGCTCTTTTGGATGTGTGAGTGCCGATTTGTAACTGATCAGTGACTAGGATGTTGAACATACCTTAGTGGCTCGTCTGGTATTTATGGACCCTACCAGGATGTGAGCTATCTTAGCCAATCGACATGATTCCTATCTGATTGTTTGGTAAGGTTGAGCGAATCTGGTCGCAGTTCAGCGGTAGTCGCCTGGTAGACCAAACAAGTGAGTGCCGTCTTGGTTCCTCTAACGACAATCTCACCTACTCTATCTCATAGACGGTCAATGGGCGATGCCGTGCGATTCAAGTGAGACGATTACATTTAACTTCGGGTATATTACTCTGGTTTCGCTTTGCTCTAACTCAATATGCTCACGCCGGACTCAGATACGGCAACTTTACTCTTCAACCTACCGACTACTTGGTTGGGCCTGTCGCGGGCGATTCGTATTATTGTCTTGCTTGGCCGGCTGCCACTTCACCTCGATCTGATGGCATAGACTGGCAGCTAGGTAAGCGAAGGCAATCTAGCCTGCGTGGAAGGTTGTCGCTGAAGCATCGTACAGGCCAACCTTTCTTGCAAAGCGTTTATTCAATCTTCAGGTGCGTTTCGCAATGCATTTACTTAGCTCGTCTGGACTGAATTGCGGTCGTGTCGACAGTTACGGCATCGATACAAAAGAAGCGCCCTTGATAGGGTTGTATCCTCTCCACAACGCGACTGATGTGGCACAGACCGCTAGCGTGGTCAGCTCTTACTTCTCCGCTGCATCCGCGACCGTCAACACAGCCCTCCCGAACTACCTTGTCCCCACGCCATCCTACACGACCCCCGATTATATCTTCAACACGTCTGTTACCGCTCCGGCCGGCTTGATCGTATCGTCAGGCCTCGGCGCCAGCACGTACTCGCCTGTGCTCGGTACGGGATACCTCAATCTCAGCGCTATTCCGACTGTCATGCCCTCGCCGACAATCGTCACCTTACTCATTACCGAGTCTGGAGGCGTGTCCACATCGGTGTCGACAGCATCACAAGCCTCCATTACCCTCGGCGAGCCCCCAGGCTGGAGCAGCGGCGCAAGCGCCTTGCACGTCCCGTTTATGACGGTCATGTTCAGTTCCTGCCTCTTGCTGCTCAGACTCTTCCTCTAGAATTCGTGGACCTAGCTGTACTATCCCCGGCCTCCACCCCCACGCGCCGCGCACCTTACGGCATGACGTTCGCTACGCCGCTCTATAGCATACTTACGCCTCATTCTGGACTTTCGCACGGACTTTCGACCACAGACTGTTTTAGTAACCGTTTTTGGAGCCCTAATCTCCTGGTTCCTTCGTTTGCGTCGAGCAGTAGCACTAAAGTTATTGATATCCATCTCGTTTTCGCTCCGATATGATACTGGGCGGGTGAAGTACCAAGCCACCGCTGCAATCTGACTCCATCCTCGGCTTCCCTCGAACAAGCAATCCTTCATTCAAGATGACTCGCTGGTCAGACTCACTGCACAGGACGCGTTGACATCGGTCTTCTGCCGCGTTCTGCGTATACGCCACAGTCGCCATCACGTGCTCATGAAAGATTGGATCATCGAGTCGAGTTCGCGAGCCCGATCGACTTTGCATGCACTCGACCACTTGACCACATACTCTCGCCGCCACATATCCGCTCTCCTCATTGCTGCAGAAGTGGCGGACAAAATGGAGCAGGAACTCAACCAGGTCGTCCAGGCCATTGCCATCGCGTCCGATCCGAGTCAGGTCGCTCTCCACCAACAAGCCCTGCAGTTTCTGTCCACTGTTCAGCAAAATGCGGAAAATACGTGGCGTCTTGCGTTGGCCGTCTTCGTCGAGACCAATCCGAATGGATCGAGAAAACATGCCGCACAAGCTCGATTTTATGCTCTGCGGGTCCTGGACGAATTTCTAGACAATCGGTGAGGCGCTCTGTTCTGTGTATGGCGTACTTGTACTCATTACGTCCTACCGTCGTAGATTTGAGCCGCTAGATGACGATTCTTTCCAGACATTGCGACAAGGCCTAGTGACCTACATCCAATCTGAATATATCTACGGGTCAGCAGAGATGGATGCATCATGTGCGTATAGTTTCGTACGATGTGGCCGCCAACACTTACCCTCCTTGTAGTCCTCCGGAACAAGTTTGCACACACACTCACGCTGTTTTTCCTCTGCACGTACATGGACCAGTGGCCGACATTCTTCACCGACCTCTTCACGTTGATTCGGCCTGCAGAGTCAACATCGCAGACCACCTACAATCAACATGTCTCTCTGCTTTTCTTCCATATAGTGCTCGAGATCTCTGGGGAGGTCGCAGACCAGATGATCAAGTCCGCACGACAATTCAGCCAGGCGCGACAAGCACGCGATGCTCGTGTTAGAGATGCCGTACGCGATCGGGATGCTGGGCGTATCAACGAGGCAGTCTTGACTATTGTGGCCGATGGTGCGGAGAGGATGACCGCGTTGCGCAAGGCTGGGACGGCGAGCGCTGGCTCGCGCGAACTCGATGGTGCTGTTGAGGTGGTGGATTGGGGCGTCAGAACCTTTGCGTCTTACGTCGGTGAGTCAAGCGGGTGCCTCCGGACGACTTCACTAATGCCGATGCCCGTTGACAGGTTGGATCGACATCAACCTGACCGTCACTCCGACAACTGTGCCATTGCTGTTCTCGTTACTGTCCGACCTCTCGCTGGCCATCCGATTAGCTACCTCTGCGGCGCTGCTCAGAATCACCTCAAAAGGCTTGAAAGAGCCTGGGGACAAGCTGCAGCTGATCAAGGTCTTGTCCCTTGGGCAGGTGCTTGATGCATTGGAAGCAAAAACACGCCTCGAACAAGCCACACGAGAATCGGATGTGGACGAAGGCGAGGAGTCCTACCGGGAAGCCCTTGGCCGCCTGCTGAACGTCCTCGGCCTTGAGCTATGCAAGCTTGTCGAGGTAAGTATTCTCCACTCAATCTCGTACAGCTCGCTCACGAGCGGAGCAAGGAGGCTACAACGGACGATGTACGATCAGAAGCGTCACAACTACTCGACCAGATCCTTCCCGTCATGCTGCGCTTCATGGCAGACGAGTACGACGACACAGCGTCCACCGTATTCCCATTCCTGCAGAATGTCCTCAGCAACGTACGTGCATATGTTGTTCATGCTTCCACCCTGGCCCGTGACGCCTCTTTGATTAGTATAAGCGCGGGCGGAAAACATCGTCGGAACCTCTAGAGGAGTCAAAGCGGACGTTCTTGACGTCGCTTCTCCGAGTCGTCCTCCAGAAGCTCAAGTGGGAAGAGGACAGTGATCCGGACGACATGGACGAAGACGATAAAGCTGCGTTTGAAGATCTGCGCAAGGTACTACATCAGCACATTGGTTGCACAACACTTCTTTGACCGATTACCCAGGATCTTCGCACATTCACGGACTCCACTCATGTCATAGAACCGTCCCTGGTCACGGATGCGGTGCGGACATTGGTGCTTAATACTTTCACGGCATATCGCAACGGTGCCACCGTGAAGTGGAACGATGCTGAGCTCGCCGTGTACTTGGTGTACAGTTTCGGCGAGATCAACAAGAGTAGGTTTCATGGTGATTGACCCAACTCTGCGTCGCTAATGGGCTTGTCTAGGTGGAAGCAAAGGGCGCGCAGCGTTCTGCCTATCATCATCCGTCGCGAAGGAAAAGCGAAAAGAGGCCGACTATTCGGAGTATCCTCTGACTCCTCACGGGGAGATGCTCTACGCCATGATCGAGTCCGGGATCTCTGCGTACCCGCACAAAACGGTCGTTATGCAGTTCTTCGAGGCTGCAGCCCGATATGGGGACTTCTTCAAGGTACGCAAGGAGTGCATCATGCCGACACTACAGGCAATGATGGACGCTCGGTGAGTGAATGCCGCAAGGATAGCGATGGGCAGCCGCTGATTCGCGTGTAGAGGGCTGCATAACCCCGAGTCCAATATGCGTGCACGGGTCTTCTATCTGTTCCAAAGATTCATTCGAGAAGACCGCAACGAGATATCCCCCGAGCTTGCGGTGTCTCTCATCGAGGGTATGCGAGACCTCCTCACCGTCCAAGTAGAGCTGCCCGAGATCGAGGAAGGCCAGGATCTCCTCTCAGAAGCCATCACCAACCCAGGCATCTTCGACTCTCAGCTGTACATTTTCGAGACTGCAGGCATTCTCGTTTCCCTCCTGTACAAAACGCCGGGCCAGGCCTCCGCGTTTCTCTTGTCCATCGTGAAGCCGCTGCTAGAGGACCTGTCCGCGAGCCTGCAGGCGGTCAAGGGTGCGGGTGACGTCGTGCCCATTCTAAAGGTTCATCATATCATCATGGCCCTGGGAAACGTTGCCAAAGGATTTCCAGATTATCCTTCACCCGTCCCTGAAGGATATATCTCACCGCCCTTGGAAGTCTTTACTGAGATTGCGCAGGCTATCTTGGTGTGTCTAGAAGCTATGAATATATTCAAGGTCATCCGAGATGCGGTGAGTGCGCATGTATTTGGTTATGAGCGCGTCGGGTGACATGTTGGCACTAGACGCGCTTCGCCTTCGCTCGGATTATCGGGACCACGGGCCCTACCATCACACACCTGATCCCCCCGCTGATGGCCAACCTGCTTGCCCACTTCGAGCCGTCGGAGCTGGTAGACTTCATGAACTTCATCGGCCTTTTGATTCACAAACTCCAGGTATGTCTGTATCTACTTGACTAGTGCCGCAGCCAGTTCATGATATCGGTTTAGGATGATATGTTCAGCGTGCTCGATCAGCTTATTGGCCCCTTGAATGCCCACATCACTGGCCTTCTGGTACAACCTGCCAATGGTACCGACGACGAGCTTGCTCGAGCAGATACGAAGAAGGCCTACCTCGCTCTACTGAATCAGATCCTGACGTCCAAGTTGCAAGGGATCTTCACCTCTGAGCGTGAGTAACTTCAGCACGACGTCCGTTTGCCCGCTGACGCCCTCGGCAGGGAATAATACACAGCTCGAGGGCCTTCTAGCCACTATGAGACAACTGGTGGAGGATGTCTCAGATCCTGCGAGCCAGAAGGCTGCCCTGTCGTTCTTCGGACGTTCCGTTACCGTTTGGGGGCACAGCCTGCCGTCAACGGTGACGCGCAAACACAAACGTTACCCGGCTTCGAGCGTTTCATCTACGAAGCAGTGATCCCGACTGCTTTCGCGATCTTGTCGTCGCCGCAGTATAACATTAAGGACGGCCAAATGCTTACCGTACGTTATGACGCTGACATTCCTTTGTTCAAACTGACGATGCGTGCAGGTCTTGCATGAGATCGCCCACCTCCTGCAGACGGTGTTGAAGACTCGGGGCGAAGAGGCTTTCAACTTCTTCGGAAACGTCTTCCTCCCTTCGCAAGGGTGGCCTGCAGATACTATCGTAGACTTCACGACAAAACTGCGGGATCTCGAGCCGAAAGCCTTCCGAAAATACTTCGCAGACTTCGTGCGCGCCTCGCGCGCGGGGTCATAATCTACGTTCACGCAAATTAACTCCGTAATTGTGTCTATACTCCATGCACCATCATGCTATCCTACACTTGCAATCTGAAGTCAAATATCGCTGTAGCTAACTCCACTCTTCTCTCGTGACACTTGTGCCTCAGGATCTGACCAGCACGCGCTGTATTCCCTATCATGCTCGCTCACGTACTCACCCCACCTGCCCTACGACACCGTTTACTATACTTCGTACGCAGCACAAATCAATTGTATTCCAATAGTACATTCTGTAACAGCCGGCATCAACCACAGGTCGTACGCAGCATACACACGCTAGTATGGTCCATCCCAACGTCTTAGGCAACACCACGGAGAATGTCAGCCACTGTACGAGGGGTCAGACCTGTCCGCGTCATGAGCCACTTATGCCACTCACTGTATTCACCAACACAATACGCGACAGCTAGCGTATGCGCTGCAGTCTCGAGCGGTACAATGGACACGTCGGCCACACGAAGATTCTTGGTCCCGTACACCTAGAGGTTTCTCAGGTCATTACGGTCGAACCCATGCGTAAGTGGGTTGCGGTACTGACCTTCAGCTTCGAGTCGACGACGCCGTTCTTCTCGCGGGGGAGCATACTGCAGGTGCCGCACGCATGGAAGCATGTGTTGCTATACTTGCGGATGTACTCTGTTTAGGTATGTTTTGAGTCATTTACGAGGTAACGGCTACTAAGAAGCAGGACAACAGACCCTTGATCTCCTCATCCGTCTGCGCCGTAGCACCTGGATCGACCTCGCGGACGACGCCCGACTTGAACGGCTCGACTTCTGCAAACCGTCGTGTAAACTTGACTAGCTCCGCGAAGATGTCCAGATCTGAGGTGGCCATGGGAAGGTCATTCACATTTTTGAAGTGGAGGTAGCATACCGACAGAAGCCGAGAAGGTGTTCGGATCCAATTCGGGTGGCTCCAGCGGGTCGCTGCTCTTTGCATGCTGGAGGTATACGTGTTATTGGTGAGTGGCATGATGTCGCCAATCTGAATCAGGACGTACGACTGAGCCACTGCGTCGCCTACGTCAGAAACAGTTGACGGCTCATCGAATGTATGAAAACTCACCGCGAGAAAGGATGTTGGGTGACACAGAGGTTGGTTGCCTAGAGTGATTCGAGTAAGAGTTGAGCTGCCTCCAGTGAATTCTCGAGACACTCACGTAGCATTTACCTGCCTCCGGTGTTGCTGTAATCGATAGTACGTATCAGTAACAGACGATCCCGTATTGGGAAACACGCACAAATGAAAGTCAAGTAGCCAGGAAGAATGACGGCTTCTATGTCTGGCAGAGTGTCGTCCTTGAGCATGCGCAGCTGGATGTCATATTGTTCGGCGAGTCCGGGCGGGAGTTTCCCACTTCGCTTCTTCTCCTCTACGAACGCTTCCGTGCGCTCGATGATGCTGGATGCATCGTTCGGACTGCTGACCTGGATCGGTGAGTAGTAGCAGGTGTGCACACCCATCCGGTGCAAGTTATCCTGGTCCAACCCACTGTTGAGGGGGAAAGTACCAATGAGATAGGGTACAACGGGGAAGGCGAACAGACTTGCTGTAGTCTCAATTGCTCCTTGGCGAACTCTGGGTTGCGGAGCAAGTCTGTGGTCTTATGGGCCACCTTGGGATCGAGTTCGTAGGATATGCCTGCAATCCACAAGGCTCAGTGTACAATCACAGATGTCATCGTTCTCTGCTTACCAATGTACGAGTGATCCTGCATGTTTTCTCCTACTCCCGGGAGCTCAACTTTGACCGGCACTCCAATCTTCTCGAGGATGTCGCGCGGTCCAATCCCTGACAACTCCAACACCTGAGGAGACTTCAGAGTGCTATTTTGATTGTCAACGTGACAGGTTTAATATCTGGTATTGTGTCTCTCACCCGGTTGATATGACGACCTCTTTCCTCGCGTGTGCCTTATAGGTCTTCCCTCCGTGTACGAACTCGACTCCAGTGGCAAGGAAATCTTCTCCGTCCTTCACATCACTCAGAAGGACCTTTGCGCCGACGGCCTCGGTGAGCACCTGCATTTTCTCATTAGTGACGGGAGTTGCGACAGTGCAGCTATTGAGCCCACCGTAAACTTCGGGTTGTCCTTGTGAGGGACATAATGCGCCGTGGCGGCGTACGAGCGTGTCCACTTCGCTGCACGGTCCAGGGTCACGGCGCCCTCCCAGCAGCCGGTGATCTGTAACGGAGAGCAGATGTCGGTATAGTGGTACGAGCAACAAGGAAGGGCAGGGCACTTACATTTCCACCGTACCCATCCTCAAGCAGAGGCAGGCCCAGCTTTTGCGCTGTCTCGAGGAACATCTTCTTGAGGAGCAGAGGTTCCGAGGGGACCGTGGTCTTGATAGGTCCGCTCACGCCACGGAAATCCGCCTTGTGAGTGTGCGCATAGCTTTTCAGCTGCTCCTCAGAAGCTGCGGTGAATCTGTACGTGACTTGATGCTTGAGCAAGATACACATCACGCGGCAGCGTAGTGACGTACTGTTCGGTACGCAGGGTGTATTTGAGATAAGTGTCCCAGTTCCAGCCGGGATTTCCGAGCTCTTCCCAGGCGTTGATGTCTGCTGTCGGTGGCTTGGACCAGAGGTAGAAGTTCATGGCCGAGCTTCCGCCTGACATGAAAAAATGATTAGTGCAGTAACGCGATAGAGGGGTGCGAATATACACACCGAGACCTTTGCCACGCGACCACGTTATGGTGCGGTCATTACAATATTTCTGCGGCGTGCTCTCGAAAAGCCAGTCATACTGAGCAAGCAACGATCGCCTGGTTAACACGGCACCAGATTGACGGACATTAGTTGAGGGAACGTACCTTGGGGTCACCGAAAGTAGCGCCCCACTGGGCACCGAGCAGAATCTTGGGGTCGTCGAGGTTAGGCTGGCCGGCCTCAAGGACGAGGATAGAGCTGTCGGTGGTCTCCAGAAGGCGAGATGCGATGGTCAATCCGGCGGTCTGTGAAACGGTGTTCAGTTCACGCTCGAAGCATGTCTTGTAGAACTTATGCTTACCCCTCCTCCAACAATGATATAGTCGAAGGTCTGACCCGCGACGTCATTGAGCTGCGCAACCATTGTGAGCGAAGAGTGGTGATATGTACTAGTTCTGGTTTGCAGATACCTCAGTGCGAGTCGACTACTTATACGTTTCGAACCCATCGCCATGGATCGCGCCCATGTGCAGCAGGACATCTCGATGAATCTGCTTACTAGTGGTGCCTTACCCTACTAGAGCCCTGAGACGGCGCCCACGACGGCGGTCCATGTGTACCGACGTGAGGCTGAGGATCGACCGGCCGCCCATGCCTATAGACCCCACCACGAGGCCGATAGAAGAATCCGGTAAGGGGGATGGAGTCAGGACGCCCACTGGCAGGCGGCACCCATCGAAGAGTTCTATCATCTGAAACAATGTGCGCATGAGCACTTTGATTCCTTGCTTATACGTTCAACAACAGACCTTCAATGCTCTAGTGCTGCCGTTCCATCTGGCAATATCACCGCCAGCGCGAACAGCATGGGCTCAGTGATCTTGGCAGCGCGGAGTCATGCGTGCATATGGCGCTGAGTTCGTCTTGTGTTGCGACTCCGCGGAGGGGCTAAAACTGGCTAAAAGTTGCTTCATCACACATTCACTCTTACGAGTGATCGATCGCTAACAGCGGGGAAGAGGCAGCACCGTCAAATATGAATATCATCGGTCCCCCAAACAATTACACCTGTGCATCGCGGCAAGAGACTTACGACACTCACGGCACTCGGGGTGTACAACAGCGTTTTCTCCGTGATATCTATCCGACACTCGGCCTGATTGGGCACGGCTATGATCATGTCTCAGTATGTCATTGTCAAGATTTACATAACTTAACCGAACTCAGGAGCTCGTCACCTAGCATAACGCTGCATATACTAGTAATGGCGACAAACCGGCGTGTCACGAATGAGGTGCTCTCGCTGATCTTGAAGGTGATGTACGTACTGCACTCTGGCTGGCAACAGTTGATTATCAAGTCAAAGGCTTGCGGTAGTAGTCGAGCTTGAACGATACATAGACGTTTGAAGTTTGAACTAGTACCAGTGCAGACGAAGCGCCCGGCGGTTCAGTAGCGCGCTGGATGTACGATACACGTGATCTAGTCGCGTACGTGGCACGCTGGTGGCGCGTCCGGGGCGCGTCTCTACAGGCGCAGCGGCCAGCCATCCACTCAGACTATCCCCCCTCCGCACCCGAAGCTGCCTCTGTCTCTGTGCAGGATGTGGCCTTCCTGCTGGCTTGCTATATTGCTACTCTTTCTGGCTGTTCTCACTGAGGCTGCGGACCTCTATCAAGCCCTCGAGCGTCAGTCCAAGGCGCGCACTCTGTCGGTCAGGCCAACGGCTCACTCATGCGGTCACTCCAATTACAGTGTCGAAATCAGCTTCCGAGCAGGATATCCGAAAGGCTTACAAGAGGCTCAGGTATGAGTACACCATGTGTCTATGTCTGTTCGGCTGGCTGAGGGTATGCCAGTCGAAAGTACCATCCCGACCGGAACCAGAAACCAGGCGCGGAGGAGAAGTTTATCGAGATTGCACACGGTATGTCGCTTGTAACTGTTATCCCACGCTGCTCATCATGTATTGTGGTAGCATACGAGATTCTGTCAGATCCTGAGGCAAGTGCTTTCGGGTCGGGACGCTTTGCTTCATTGACCGATGTCTTACGATGTAGAAACGCCAAATATATGACCGACATGGAGAGGTGTGTTCGCACAGATCATAGGTTGTGTCACGTCCTCAATCATATGTAGGAGGGCCTGAAGGCCAGAGAGGGCGGCCGACAGCATGCAAACCCTTTCGACATGTTTTCGAGCTTCTTCGGCGGCGGCTGTGAGTTATGCACGAAATTCGCCTTGCCAGCTAGCTCATTCGCCACATCGCCCAGTTGCTCAGCAACACCAGGTCCATAAGGGCCCAACCGCACAATTCGATGTCGAGGTCACATTAGAAGACATGTGAGTTACGCTCCCCTGTCGATCATTGCCCTTCTACAGCTAACGGACGCATGCAGTTACACAGGGAACCACATTGACGTATGTCGCTGAATGAAGTGACTCGCCTTACTACTGCTGACGACAGTACCAACCTAGCTGCCCGTGCGGAAACGTATTCTCTGCGACCACTGCCGCGGCTCCGGGGCCGCCTCCTCCAACGACATCCATACCTGCCCCGCCTGCAACGGTGCAGGCGTGCAAATCGTGCGGCAGCAGATCATGCCCGGCATGTACTCGCAAGCGCAGGTCACCTGCAACCAGTGCGGCGGGCGCGGGAGCATCATCACGCGGAGTTGCCCGCACTGTGGCGGCTCGAAAGTCCTCGAACACACGCAAGTCTACTCCATTGAGATCCCCGCGGGCGTGCCGGAGGGGTGGGAGTATGTGCTCGAGGGCGAGGGCGACGAGAGTCCGGATTGGGAGCCTGGAGACATTGTGTTGCGGATTAAGAGTAGGAAGGATAAGGGCTCGTGGAAGCGGAAGGAGTCTGCGCTGTATTGGAAAGAGACCATCGGGGTCGATGAGGTACGTCTCATCTCGTCTCAGTGCCGCCAGTGTGCTGACGGACCCTTAGGCCCTTCTAGGCTTTGACCGCAATGTCACCCACTTGGATGGCCATGTCGTGCGCTTGAAGCGCGACGTCGTGACACAGCCAGGTAATTACCACATATCCTTTAGATGATTCAGCCACCCACCTGATCACTGTACCAGGATTTGTTGAGGTTGTGAAGGGCGAAGGCATGCCTGTACACGAGCACGGACATTCTCATGGCGATCTCTATGTCGAGTATACCGTAGTCCTGCCGACAGAGGTGTCGCCCGAGAAGAAACGCCGTAAGCTACACTGTCGACTCAACCGTTGAGATGGTGACGCTGACAGATCATGCTAGAACTCCTGAAGGTATTACGGGGCGCTGAGGAGGGCCACAAAGACGAGCTATAGAGCGAGTGTTCGCCCCGGCCTCCGCATGGCCTAGAGCATGGTAGAGTAGCAGTAGATCGTGCATTGCATGGTAATTTATTTCATAACATGTCCTCCGTGCACACCGAAAGAAGGTCCGTGGATGGAAAGCACAGATGATTGCTGGAATGACAGTGGTGATACAGTGAGGTATTGAGGTACAGTATACATACGTCTACGGGCGTACAATTTATGCCTGCAGGTACGGTGAGCACATTCTGATAAAGAGAAGATCGACAGCAACGTACCAGATAGTTATATGACTTGCGGTCTTCGCAGCGCTCCAGATATTCTCGCTACCATGTAATGAGTATTTCGATGGGACTGCGCGGAACGCAATGTGCTCTCACCTCGATCAGACCTTCAATCCGCTTCTTGATGTTCAAAGGATTTGGTTGGAATCGACTGGAGAGCTGCCGTGCGACTTCGCTGACGAGGTCGTTATGCGTCATATGCTTACGGTTCTTCATGATTCGCACAATGCACGCCTGCACGAGCGAATGAGCACTGGCCCCGTAGAGGCACGACTAATCAGCGCATACCTCTGTCTGGTGCCGCCGCTCCTCCTCCACCCTATCCTTCGTCTCCTTCCGCTCATCCGTGCTCTCCACCCGCGCAGCAACGGTACTGATCTTGATCTTCTGCAGCGGCGCAGAGAAGTCGGCGTTGAACGTGAACGAGTCCTCCGGGTTCACATCCCTCCCGTACGGGTGCTTCTTGAGGATCTTGTACTTTGCGCATGCGAGCGACTGCAGGTTGCGCTGGAGGTCTGTATCCGGTATTGCCGTTGCCGACTTGATATCCTGCGAAGCACGTCAGAGGCGGAAAGGGGTCAGCTACTCAATGTGGCCACCAACCTGATAGCTCAGTGATGTACCATCCGCGAGGTCCTCGAAAAGTAGCAGGATGACAAGCGCATACGTGGACACGTTCAAATCGTGTGTCCGCGAGTTGAACCGCGCCCGAATATCTGCATTACCCAGTGATGGCTGCCAAGTTAGCCGCCGACCGGAGTGCCGTGACAGGTAGAACTGCTCGAACGACTTGGCGGTCTTCAGGAGCTCGGCTGGGAAGTTGCATGGTGAACCGGAATGCGACATTGGCCAAAAGGTCGACGTCATGACGATGACGGAGATCTCGACGTCCGGTGCCTCGAGAGGAGTGAGCAAGTACACGAATCGAATCGAGAATGATGCGCACCGAAGTAGTTTCAAGGTGATTGCGGTACGCCTGCATCGTTTCGGCGGATATCTTCATGTCATGGAACATGCCCTCGAGTTTCTGTGTGAACTGGTACCCGCACTCCACCTTGAGCTTCGCCAACATGTTCCGCTCTGCGTCGTCTGACACAGATCGCCCGAGGCGAAGCCGCTTGGCGAGATGGCCCTTGTAGTACCGCTCAAAGACGTCCTTATCCGCGAGGAAACGAAAGATCGTGATCGTCTTGTCAAGGACGGTGTCTACTTCGGCATCCGTTTTCTATACTGCAAGTGAGCAGCATGTCTCTGTGAACACTCCTCAGGGCTCACCCCTTTGAGACCCTTCTTGAGATTATCGTCGATGAACAAGGAGATGAACTCGGGCGCCTTCTCATGCATATTGATGAACGCCTCGAAAGCCTGCCAGATCGTTCAACACCCGCCGACCTATGCGCATGCGCGCCACGCACCTCATTCGTACTACTCTCGACGTCGCGGTCACTCTGGAAGGCGCCCGACCATGTCTTGTCGAACTTGTCCTTCATGTCCAAGACGTCTTGCACCCACTTCAGCGCGAGTGAAAGCACTTGCGAGCCTGCATTCCCGGCCCGCGCCTTGCCCTTGCCCTTCGCCTTGCTACTCTTCTCCACATCCTCATCCTCCTGCGCTTCCTCCCCCTCTAGCGAAAGACTGGCCGAGTTGATATCCCTTCCCCGTCGAATGATCGTCTCCCTGAGAGCCTTTCGGAGGGTGGGGATGCCCGCAGGCACCATGACGAAAAGACGGTAGAGCCGCGCGAGGTCGTCGATCTTGTCCAGATCGATCATGACGTCCAGCCCGGAGTTGGGCATGGAGATGATGGTGGAGAGGTGTGGGCTAATGAGCTTCTCTTCCAGTATTCGGCGTAACGGGAGGCTAGTCTGTGATGACAGGAAGTGATGTGCCCGTGATTCTTCTTGATCCAATCGACTCTCAACCTACTCGAAGTCAGCGAGTGGCAGTCAAGTCCGCATGCAGTGTTACATACCCGTCGTAGGTATTCAGCGGCATCACAAGTCTCCAGTAGATGGCTCCCTTCCTTCTGGTAGAAGGCCTCGCTTTCTCTCAAGAGGACGGGTTCCAAGTCTCGTTTGTACACCGAAACGTCCGCCCGCTCGTCAAACAACTGCAGAAGCACGTCCACGCAGCCTTTCACGGCGGAGCGGTTGATCACATACCCATCGCGTTCCGTCTGTACCTGGTTCAAAACGGCCGAGATGATGTGCCCCTGTATTGGTGCGCGCACGATGTGCTCAATGAACGAAAGTAGCCCGGCGTCCCAAATCTCTGGTACTTGTTTCGATTTCGTGTATACTCGGTCCTATGTACCTTTGAGGAGACCAGACATGCAGCACTAAATCGGAACGTACCATGTACTTCAGGACGTCTCGTAACTTTGAGAGACTGGACGTGTGGTCGTCCCACACCTTCCTCACGGCCTTTAAGAGCAGCTCTCCAGCCTGAGCCTTCTCCAAGGGGTCGGCATCGACATGTGTGGGGAATGCGGGGACAATGTACTCGTTCGCAAGCTTGTCCAGATTCTCAGCTATGAGCTTCTTCGTCCCCTGGTACAGCGTCTCCCCGTGCTTGTACAAAACCATGTTGTATGCGAAGCGATGATTCTCTTCGTACGATAGATTGGCCGCATTGTGGTTCTGAATTTCGACAATGTTCTTGGACAACTTTGCCCATGTCTCGTCTATTGAGAATTCGGGGCCATGCTACCGAGCATATATGCTCAATTGGGTGCATACCAGTGCATGAAACAGTGTCCTACCTTCTTTGCCGGTTTCTGTCGCGAATAGTTAGCTGCATCCGAGCCGAAGGAGTGACATACTGACAATCTTCGGTTTCACTCGTACACGCGGAACTGTTGAACTTGAGTTGGAGTATCGCACGCCTACGTAGTATGTGCTTACCGGCTGCCATAGCTCGACTATAAGCCTACACACTTCTCTGACGTCGCGCCACAAAGTAATGACCCGCGGATTGCTGATCTCCTCAACTCGACGAGTAAGCAGCACGGATAGAGTACCAATGTATGGGAAAGCAGGATGAAAGGATGAAAGGCGAGCCAGAGGAGTTCTCAAGGGGTCCTAATCGAGAAGTGAAAGGCAGCTTTGCAGCCACCGGTGACCGCGTAGCGGCTAGCCTTCCACCGATCACGTGCACAACGTAGCCAGAGTCATTCCGGCTTAATCGGGACGACCAGGGACGACCATGAGACGACGGTAGGTACTCATTGACTGTGTTGCGGTAAGTACTTCCTGTTGTATGTCTTCAAGACTAGTATCCAGAAAGACGATGAAGACGAGCGAATGTCTGCAAGACTTGACATTCCAGAGTGTATCGTACGCGTGATTGACAATGTCCGATAGATGCTACGAGACCTACAACAGCAGACGAAATTAGATCCATGCCGGACCTCAAGCACGCTGCCCCTGGTGTACATAGTAGGAGCGAGCTGCCCGACCGATCCGCTACAATACGGGTGACCGCCTCCGCGACGGCAGTTACAATGTGTAAATAACTCATAATTTGTAGGCATCGGAGAATGGCGGGTGCTATAGCGCGTGCGCATCCTTCATGTCGATGTCCCGTTCGCTCCCGCTCCCGCTGTAGTGATCAGTGGCCCATTCTGGGTCGGATTTTGCATTCGGACCCGAGACGTCGACGAGCTCGTGCGTCTCCACGTTGACGACGAGCTGGATATTGCGACAGCCGTTAGCTCCATGAAATGCTTGGTAAAGAACACAATCCACACCTGTGCTGGTCGCGTTGATATCCTGCTGTGGTTAGTGATCATGCCGCTGATATCGGTGTTCTGAGAGAACGTCGTCGCGTTAGCGGGCGGACTCCTCAGGCTCATCAACCCGCCGCTCTCGCTCACCCTGCCGGAGATTGTGGGGTCCTTGCCGCCAGAGTAGCTCTTGTCCGACGTCGACAGCAACGTGCGCGAGTTCAAACTTGACATCATGGAGTTGCCGTATCTGTCGAGCAGAGCAATGTCTGAGTATTTGACCTGGTCGTATAGCTGTATAGAACGTACAGCTTGACGAGAGCGTAGTTGAACGCTACATGGATACCCCGGGGCTGATCGACAGTAAGCTGTATTAATTTATGACGGAGGTCCGCGCGACATACCGTAGAGAGGAACGCGACGATGTCAGCCACAGCGAAGCCAGCAGTGACCAAGCCATTCGACACAGTCACTGGAGTACTCGCTCAGGGAAGATTGTGCAACAAGGGCAGGTGATCACGTACGCTGGATGATTTTGGAGATGATAGTGTCTGTGTGGCTGAAGCCAGTCCGTTGTTGTCGCTGCCGGTGTCTCAGTAAACGCGTAGCATAGCCAACCGGAGAGAGCATACCAGGTGCCACGAGAGCGCTAGCGTGATGAGGACGTCGCATACGGCGGCACCCATGAGCCACAAGATCACGATGACCTAGGCAAAACGCCCGCTCAGCATCGCCGGCTCCGACCTGAGTCGGGGAAGATCCTACCTTTAGGTGCTGGAAGCCTGCAAACGCCGGCCGCATAGCCACCGCTATCGCCGTACCGATGCCTGACACTGTGAGGCGTCAGCCAAGTGAATCATACCTGCACTAGTAGAAAAACGTACGTCCGCCGACCAGAGACGCCGCGACGATGACTGCGACGGCGATGTAGTTCCGCGTCAGCCGGAGGATTCGCCATGCAAAAAACATTTGGACAATCATGGCAATGATCCCCTGCAGTTGAATGTTGTCAGCTTCTCTGAGAAGGCTTCGTAAGGGCGTACGTACCGCTAGAGCTTCCTCTGTGTTTCGGGAGGTTCTGTTATTAGCACATACCCCCGCGTCCGCAGCAGCGAACATACCTGTCTCAAATACTGGAGGTACATATCAGTCACCAGAAACCAATGGCAAGAGAATTCTGAATTACGTACACCAGTCTGCATTCTCAAGCGCAGCAACGTCGCCTAGAGACAGTTGATATGTCAAGTTACGCAGAGGCCGGCCTCGGGGCAGATGGACATACCAAAGTTGTTGATGAGCACGTTATAGATCCACCACATATTGAAGATGGAGTTTAACGTGTCGGCGAGGAGCAACAGTGCCACCTGTAATGTGCGATGTTAACGGCATGTTTTCCGCCGTTGTGTCGCATATGCTCACATAGCATTTCAGCCATTTGGGGTCGCTGACAAGTTCTGAGTGCGGGGCATTGATGTCAATGAGGATGTCGACTGACCTCTTGTACGTTGAGAAATAAAAGAATGACTGCGAGATCATCACCCCGTAAAGCCTGAAGTTCGTCAGAAATTAGAATCATCGCCCAACGCGCCGATGGCCTAGACTCAGAACATACATGATGTTCATGAAAATCCCAGCCAGACTGGGCCCATGGCTTGTGAAACATACAAGTCAACATACACTCCGCGCGCGACAGTTCTATCCGGACGTACGCGACCTGGGCGATGGCAGCCGCCGGGTTCGTCATTTCGCTTGTGGCGATCTGCACCTACGGGGGCGAGACTATATAAGATAGAACGAGAAGGGGGGACGAGTATCGCCACGGGGGGACGCAAAAGAGTCGCGCGGCCCGAATGTCACCGTCATTGAATACTTATCACCTCATTGTCCACTCCAACATTGGCGCTGACGAGCGAGGAAGCCGGTGAGCAGTGCGCACGGCGTCTGCGGCTGAAGACCCGTCTGATCAGTGATCTAAGAGGACGTGTCGGATTCATCAGGAAGTCTGTCCTAAGTCTGTCCCGGTCTCCCATGGCGCTGATACCTGGGATGGTTAGGACCCAGTGCGTAAGCGCGGCCTGACGAACTCGATCCGACCTTCTCTCCGGATGGGCCGACCGATAGTCTCAGTTCGCAAGTGCATCTGACAGCGGGTCCCGAGGCCGTACCATACGGAGCGACCGACATTTGGGCAACCTCATGCTTCAGGATATAAATGCAATAACCGGGTGGAGGTCGATGTCCTGGCTGGAGAGTGACACACACCTCATCAACGCGGGGCTGTCGGCTCAGAGCGAAGGCAGGTGCGGAGACAACAATGATTGTTCTACGTTGTCAGCTTCACAGCACCAGTCGAAAGAGAAAATGTGAATACATGCCTTGTCACGACCGTTGTTATTGGACATTGGCTTCGTGGCGTTGAGACCATAAAAACACTGACCGAGATGATTGTACGATTGTATCACGCTGCGAATCTCATGTACCGTTAGCATTGAGACTCGTCGCGTAGTTCTGAAAGGTTGCGCATGCTTCAGCTTTCCATCAGCATTTGAACTGTGAGGCACTTCGCTTGTGCAGAATTGAGAGGCATCAACTGACCCGCCACCGCTCCGAGTCCTCATGATCTGGAACAGCGCTCCGAGTCCTCATGATCTGGAACAGCGCTCCGTGTCTGCTCAAGATATCCAGATATACCCAAGTTGAAAATCAGCACGAGCTTTAGATGAGCACCGAAGGACCCCTGATTGACACACACTTTGATGCCGTACTTAGTACTAGGAGGGGAGGACAGTGGTAGTCTCGGATGGGACGGTAAGTCCTGGGTGAGTCCGTAGTGGCGTTAGCGCCGTGTCCCTGTTCGCCTAACTTATCGCCCATCAGATCTCAGATCTCAGATTCGGGGTTTCCGCTCAGCGGGTCCCAAGCGGGTCCCCACATACTGTCCCTCCTGCCATCAACCGCTGTACCATATGCCTCCGAACGACCGCGGGCGTAGGCAGCACTCGCACAAGCTTCATCTCACAGTTACTTACCTGAAGGTGAGAGGCCCGACCGATATGATCGAATTAAATTCCTCTCACCATGTCTATCCCCAGAACCTCGTGCGAGTAGTATGTATGGCTCTCACAATGCAGAGGTTTCATCCATAGTGCGTTCGAATCGCCAATCACCAAGGTGACAGGTATCACAAGCTGAGCGTGCTAGCCTTCTCGGTTCGCGTCACTTGTCAAGATTGTCCAGTACCGAGGCTTCACGCCGGCGAGCTCAGTAGTAGCATTGTCACTGTGTCGTCCAGGCGGGCGATCGAAGTTCGAGCACCATGCGCGCATGGAGCACGCTCTGCACAACATTATGTACGGGACGCCTCGGGAAGCAGTAAATCTTCACAGGAGAGCTCCTCATGCTCCGGGGCCTCCGCCTGCTCGCTGCAGCATTCGAAGCGCTGTACTAGACCACGACTCCGCAGACAATACAACCTGGGCGGCGTCCGACTGCATGTGAGATAGGTAGGTGTCAGGTACCATGTCCTCCTACCGACTAGAATTTTCTGTAGCATGTGACGGCTAGGATCGGACGCAATAATGTGGACACGTTCAGTCGACGTTCCAAACTGCCGTGAATGAATGCCAGAAATCAGAACTGGTACGCAAGCTCATCAGTATCCCAGCTTCCATGCCCATTTGCGACCCATTGGCTTCCTCTGTTCTACGCTAACTTACTTCAGCATCCTAGAGTTCAAACTTGAAACATCAATCAGGGATTAGTGGTGGTCATGTCGTGTGTGGCGAGCGTCTCCCTTGCTGGGGATGGCGCCGCGATCGCAGAGTGTGCGTGTCAGGCGTTCGGTAACTTTAAGCCTTCCTCCAGCGGCCTGGGGTCTTCTGGGGTGGCTTCGAGCGGCCTTCGGCTATGAGCTCATCTGGCAGCCGATTCTTCGCTCTGGGGTACACTTTCTCTGATGCCCGATGACGCCGGTAAGTGAGACTGACCGATCTGCCCAGGACATATAAGAGGGACGGCAGGCGAATGGTCGCTGACCGCGACTTTTGTACTCCATACGATGGTGGCACAAGTTTCCGACGTCGCGGACAAGACTTTCGACTATGTCATCGTGGGCGGAGGAGTAAGTCGTCGCGCCGCTGTCGACGGCAGTATGAACTGAGCAGCATCCACAGACAGCTGGCTTGACGATCGCGGCGCGGGTCCTGGAGAACACGGACAGCTCCGTGCTTGTTCTCGAGGGGGGTGCACCCAACTTGGATGACCCAAAGATCCTCTTGGGAGGTGGATGGGGTTCAACCTTTGGTGATACTAAGGTATGCTTCCTATGAGTAGCTTGTCTACACTCCGTGCTCACCAACTGCCGTCTTACGCACAGTATGACTGGGCTTTCATGACGACGCCCCAAAAGCACTGCAACGATCGTCAGCTGCTCTGGTCTCGAGGAAAGGGCCTCGGTACGAACCATCCCGCTCTAATGATTCCCGATTGACAAATGTGATACTTGCCCATTGAACCAGGCGGCAGCTCGGCCATTAACTTCTACGCCTGGATCAAGCCTCCTGCGGCTGATGTCGAGGCATGGGAAGAGCTAGGAAACCCGGGTTGGAACTGGAAAGCGTATACGAAATACACGTTGCGCGCGGAAGGGTAAGTGGGTCATTTCGCACGAGCGCAGTATCACTGATAGAGGAACATCCAGGTTTACGGCAGCGTCTGAAGACCAACTCAAGGAATATGCCCACACGCACAACATTGAGTATCGGGGTCAGAGTGGCCCGGTCAAGACCACGGTCCCCGTGACTCCGCTCCAGATCAACAGGTTTTTCTTGGAGGCAGCGCAGAAGCAGGGTCTCCCCCTGCTCGAAGATGCATACGGCGGGAATGTTCGTCTTCTCGGCCTTCTGGTCTCCACGCCGGTCCGCTGATGCTGGAGATTCTTTGGATATAGACCACTGGCTGCTGGGAGGGTTCAGCCAATTTGGACCGCAAGTCGAAGTGGACGCGCTCGTATGCCGCCACTGCGCACTATTTGCCGCACAAGGACAATCCGAAGCTGAAGGTACGTTTGGGATCTCTGATATGTTCCGAGACTGTCCGCGTTCCGATGTCAGACGTTCAAGCGCTCCGGTATCGCAGGTTCTCACGGAGGCCATTGGCGCCAAGGTACTATTCGATGACGCAAAGGACGGCGAGGATCTCGTAGCGACTGGCGTCGAGTTCATCCATGGCGGAAAGACGTACAAGGCATATGCGAACAAGGAGGTTGTTCTTGCTGCAGGGTGAGTTCGCCTACTGTTGGAGTACGCGATCAGGCGCTGAGCGAGTGCCAGCACTCTGAAGTCTCCTCAACTTTTGGAGCTATCAGGAATCGGTCGGCGTGATGTCCTTGACAAGATCGGTGTTCCGGTCAAGCTGGAGCTACCGGGTGTGGGAGAGAACATGCAGGACCACACCTTCATAGGTGCGCGACTCTTCCTCTTCCTATGATGCTCTACACGCCGGAGTACCTGACATACTCTGCGCGAAGGCATCTCCTACGAACTTGATCCCAAGGTATCGCACAAAACCGCCGATCTGTTCCGGAACCCCGAGTTCGCGAAGGAGCAAGTTAGGCTGCAGTGAGTCCTTCTATGATACCGTCAGGCATCATTGTTGAGGACCTACGACCCCCGCGCTTCTCAGGGACCTGGACAAGGAGAACATGCACCGGCTGGGTATCACGGCCTTCGGCTATGCCCCCCTCCAGCTCGCAAGCCCCAACGGCGCCTCCAGCATTGTGGAGAAGATGACTGCGTACGTCGAGGAAAAGAAGCAGAGCGGCACGCTTCCTCCCGGACTTGCCGAGCAGTGGGACATCCAGCTCCGCGTGCTCAAGGATTCGACACTCCCTGACATAGAAGTCATTGCGTTCCCCGCCTGGCTGACACATATCTGTAAGCGGTGTCGATTTCTTTGCTCACCGCCCGTCGCTGATTTGGGGCACCTCAGCCCAGCCAGAACCCGGCAAGTGCTACGTATGTCTTGCAATTATCCACATAGGGATACATCATATAACTCAGCATGCGTTGTATAGCTCTCCACCCTCTGTGTGACCCAGCACCAGTTCTCCCGGTAGGTAGCCGTCATCGCTGTTGCGCACGACAGTGCTAATGATATCGTCTGGTGACAGTGGCTCGGTGGTATGTTTATGGAAAGACATACTTGCATGATGCCATTGACACGCACTTCTGCAGCACGCGAAGAACAGTGACCCTCTTGAGCAACCGGACATTGACCCAAACACATTCTCAGTACCATATGGTACGTCCATTCTCGCTCTTCAAAAGCACCACACTAATGACTCGCTACGCAGACCTAGACATCTTCACAGAGAACTTCAAGTTCGCCCGGCGCCTCGCGGACACAGAGCCGTTCAAATCTGGCGTCGTCCGCGAAGTCGATCCTGGTGCGACGGCGAAGACAGACGAGGAGATCAAGGGTGCGCACTTGTATCGCCTGCAATGTCTTAGTGGTGGGCTCGACTGATGGTCGCGCACATAACCACATCCAGAATACCTGCGGAACGGCAGCAACACATGCTACCATGCGTGTGCCTCCCTCAGCATGCTACCGCGCGAGAAGAATGGCGTCGTCGACCCCAAGCTGAAGGTCTGTTTTTAGTTCTGATGTGGAAGTGTGCGTAGCAGCACTGACGGTTGCGTCTGATCGAATTTCCCCCGATGCCGAACGGGATAGGTCTACGGCACTAAGAAGCTTCGTGTCGCAGACATGTCAATTGTGCCCCTAGAAGTCGCTGCGCACACCCAGGCTACCGCCTACTGCGTCGGCGAACACAGTGCGTAGCCTCTACTGATGACTGGCAACGTTCTGACGTGATGCATTCTGCCCTAGTGGCCGACATCCTTATTGGTGCCGCCTAGAATCTTGCGGAGTCCTTGTCAATGTTATACTGAAAATGCTGCTAGATGTTGTACGGAGAAAGTCTGGAAGGGTATATAACCTCGTGTCTATGGCGGAATGTATAGCAAGTCAGACATGCGAGCCAAATCTGTATCCATCCTATTCCTGTCCCAGATGAAGCGATGATACCTACAGTAGGCGTTATTGAGGGTTAACCGTAGCCACCATTTCAAGTAGGTTGTGGACACGCGATCGCAAACATTCGTTGTACCAGCGAATCCCAATCATGATACCTTGTGAATTCAGACGAAGTCCATGACGTAGATCTCCCCGTTAAACAGCCCAAGGCATACCCGCCCAGTGACCTCGTCAAACGCCAACGAATGGACCGTATCCGGCAAGAACGGCAGCGCCGCATCGGGTGGTAAGAGCGCACTCACCGCCTCCGACACGCCGCGCCCGTCCCAGCCGTCCTTGCGCATCTGGAAGCGCAGGATCCGCTTGTTCTGCGCCTCCCAGTCATGTTCGACCCAGACTGCACGCCCGCTAGGGCCGACTTGGGCGAGCTGCGCGGAGACGTGCGAGGGCATGCTGAAGTAGCGCGTCGCGCCGGGGAGGTGCGGGCCGGGTCCCGCGGCGGGCAGCGGGAAGCGCGTCACTTGCCCGACGCGCGGGGAGGTGTCGTGGAAGGAGCAGATGACGAGCGCGGAGATGGACGTCGCGGAGGGCGCGGAGACGCTGATGATGTCTTGGAACTGCGAGTCGTGCCGCAGCGGCTGCTCGTACTCGCAGATCGCGGGTCCCAGGTCGAGGAACGGGCTAGCCGGGTCGGTAGCGAGTTTGGTGCAGAGACGGGCGGGCATCGCGTAGACACGGAGGATGATACTTTGACGCGCCGGACCGAGCAGTAGAAAGTACCCGTTGTAGGCGTATACCTTGACCCATACGTCGGAGAACCGCTGTGCGCCAGGGTGAGTAAGTCAAGAGGCGCACGAAAGGATCTGACGTACTCGGAGTTGCTTGGGGTCCAGCCACTGAGACACTCTTGACTTGATGTCTACCAAGAACACTTGGAGCAGGCTCGACCCAGTCTGCCCCATGGGGTCAACGACGGAAACAACGAGCTGTCCATCAGAAAGAGAGAGCTGGTGGATGAACTTCGCGGACTGCCACTTCACCGTAGGGTGCGGAGGCAGGCGGATCGTCGTTGTCGGCGTGAGGGTGGGCGCGGTGTAGAACAGGAACTCGGAACGGTCTCGGAACGGGACTGAGTAGACGGCGACGGCTCTGCGTGCTCGCTGCGGTCAGACAACTCCGGGCTATAAGCTGGACCATGAATCTCACTCTGTATCGTCCGTCTCATACGCGACCGCAAGTGTAATCGACTGGCTCCCCTCCTTGAGCTCCATAGTCGCGGTTCTGTAGAAGCCTGCGACGTCCACGCAGGCAATCGCGTACGGCTCGTTCTCCAGCGACCAGACCTCCAGGTGCGAGCCCGGTCTCCCTCCCCTCTGTCGAGGCCGCTGCACGGTCAGGAGCCATCTGCCTCCTGGGACTAAGTACATCTCGTCGGCATACTGGCCTTGCGTGTCCCAGGGTAGTAATCGTATGGTCTTCAAGCGCGGCAGATGCCTTCGCCAGTTGGCTTCGAGGCGGAGGGCCTTGAGCACGATCGGCTGCAGCTCATATTGAGCAAGCAGGCTCAGTGGGGTGTCCAGAGGAAGATCAAGGGGTATGTCGATTCGCTGGACTATCCGGCGCCACAGGTAGTCGGTAGACCCGAACGCGTACAGCGCACGACATGTCTTGAGGAACGAACAATGTGGGTTGGGTGAGATCAAACTGCAATCAGATGAGTGCCGGTGTAGCCGTACCTGTTTGAGCGACAGGACGTCGAATACGGAAAGATACGCTGTGATCTCGAGCAAGAGATCCTCGGGCAGGTATATAAGGACCACTGGTTCCGACATGATAGGAGCAGTTCACAGTTACTCAGGGATTGGGTGGATGGCCCGAGTCGAGAGAGGTTAATGAAGCCCGCCTGTGCGGAAGAGTACACTTATACATGATTCTGTCGTCCGATAGCTGACCCGCGTCGGACATATGGCGACATCACGATACCGGAAACAGACCGGAAAGGTACTCGCACTCAAAAAGGCTCTTACGCTGCCACCTCGTTGCTAGAGCGAAAGTGATACTCTGGCAGACCTGGAGATCGCGTCGGCCATGCAAAGTGATCATGCTCGAGGTTCAGCAGGGCTATGATGTTCGTGTTTAGACACCTGTGCATGTGCACGGGTCTGCAGAAAGCAGCTCCCTCTTGACTCTGAGGATGCACTGCCATTGGCAAGTACTCATATTAGATCAGGATCATCGGATCACACCGCTGGTAGGCGAAGATGCATGCGTCGCTGACATGCCGCTGCCGCACGAACTGCAGGCCCAATGTGGACCATCGCTTGCGGGGCAAAGCGCGCTAAAGCGATGTAGATCATCTGTTGCTTCGGGTGCGACTCAAACAGTACTATGGGTACGAGACAACGTTGCTTCTTCAAGTTGGCCACGCCGGCTTGTGAATGTGGAGACACTCAGCATATCAATTGCGATGCAACTGAAAATGAAATGTCCCGCTCGCCATGGCAATCACCCAAGCTATCGCAAACGGTCCTCGGAAAGGGCGGGCCAAGGAGAATTGATAGAATTTGTACACGTCACACTTCGTCAGAGACATGCAGTGTACAGCACATGGATGGTCAGGATCAGCAGGAAGGACGTGCCAGGCCTTGCGAGCCTTGCGTGGGCAGCGTGTGGGGCAGCCTTCCGACGCGAGTCCGGATCCGTCATCCGTCGCTCATGACCGATCGCGTCGCGGTCACGTGGGGCGCGTCAATGTCCGTCGAGAGACTTCCCGCATCTTTCCACCACTATTGCCTTTGTTGTTCGAGTTCTCATGTTCGAACTGTGTTCTATGCGCGATTGTCTGCGACGTGTAATCGTAACAGACACGTAGCAACTGGTTTTGACACGACGGCCTCCAAATGGCAGTTTATCACACCCGGCCCGAATAAGGCAGGAGCAAACATGTACAAAGCCGGCGCTCCTCTCCATATAGATCGCCCTCGCCCGCCTCGCCGCTCCCTGCAACTACCAATCGTCCCTACATGCCACGATCCATGGATGCCACTGACCCATACGCTCTGTCGGAAACTGAGAACCTGTCTGATTCAGACTGGCTAGATATCGCAAGCAGCAGGGCGTCCGAGGACACCGACTCCGTCGTCGGGTTCGATAGCGATCGCGAGCTCGACCAGGACGACAGGCCCGCATCCAGACATTCGTCCTGCAGCACGAGCAGCTCGCGCAACAGCGAGGTCCAAGCCTGGGAAGGTCTCCTCGAAGACATCCCCGATGAGTGCCACACCACCACCCTCCCACTGACTCGACCTTCTGCTCTCAGCAGCAGCGGCGAGCATGCAGCCGCAGTACAGGAGGACCCAGAGGAAGAGAAGCGGGTGAAGGATGCCCTCGATCAGAGCATGATGAGCACGCTGAGCTCGTCGCGCTCGAACACCCTCAGTGGCTCGCACTCCTCGCTCGTTCGCTCCCGCGATCTCCGGCTGTCCTTCCCGGACCCGCTCACAAGCTCCCGGGACGAGTCACTCAACGCCTCCTACGAAGCCGTCGCGCCCCTGTCTGGTGCCGATGCCGACGCATCCCCCGCAGCCCACTCCGGCGCTGACTCCAGCCCGCACGCCACGACCGACATCGATGTAGCGCTAGCGCCTACGACTGCGGATCCGGGCTCGCTTGCCACGCCCGTGGTCCCAGATGTGGAAGAGAGCAGCTGCGAAGACGAATGCAAGGCTGACTTCTATGTCGCGCTCTACGGCTCATCGTCCGCGGTGAAGTGGTCCCTGATTGATAAGCTGCTTGAGAAGGCGGCGGATGGCGCGGGCCTCAGGCTGACCTCGCGGATCGTCGGGCTCATCGACGGTTATGTCCGCTTCCTATCGTCCAATGACGGCCAGGACAGCCGGACGGTTTGGGTTATCGACCGCACGGACTGCATTGATACTGTGGGTATACTTTATTACTGTTCACTGAAACTAACTTCATCCTTCATCAGTCGAGATTTGACCCGCTTGACCGGCCTTCCTTAGCTGTTGTCTTCTTGCCATCGCCTTTGTCTTTCGTGCCGGACCATTCCCTCTACCTTCCGGTCTTGGCACATAGCCCGAGCGTGTTAGATTTCCCCTTCTCAGCTGATCAACTTCTCGATGCCGAGCAGCAATGGGACACGCTCAACCTTCCCAGGGGCAAGGTTGTGCCTTTGTCTCGTTGCTCATCCTCTGTCGTGGACGTCGATGAAGTCGAGCGTGTGGCACCGAAGCCGCTTGCGCGCGCCTTGCGTCCCCTTTTCTCAGGGGGAATGCGGCAGTCTACTCGTTTCACTCAGCGGATAGCTCCAAAGCACGCTCTCACGATGTACGTTATTGTCGCTCGTGTAGTTGATGTCTATGCTGACAGCTCATCGATAGCCTCGCCATATTATCGGTTGTCCTAGGATACGCCATCAAGGGATCATTCAACCCATCTGCGACGCCCACTGTTGTAGTCTCGCAGCCACAACAGACCACGCCCACATTTGGCTTCCCGCCAGTCAGCGTGTCTATCAACCATTCGACCCCGCAGCCGAGTTTGAACCCCGCAACGTCTGGCCTCGTTCGGTCGTCCCTGAAGGATTTCGCTTTGGCCGTACTCCCCGCGCCTCTCGTTGCTTCCACGTCTAGCAACCAGCCGTCTGCCGTGCCACCTGCCCACCATGCCGACCCTGTCACCTCCATGGACGTGCCGTCCGAGTGCGCCTGCGGCTGCGGACTGATCACCTGGCCAAGCAAGTCCAAAGGCACCACGGACCTGACACTTCGCTCGACGCCCGTGGCAATGACTGTACACGAGGACGACAAGGCTAGCCTTTCAGTGCTCTCATCTTCGCACCCGCGCTACCCCGCGGACAGCGGGAAGGGCAAGGCGGTTGCCCGCGGAGACGAGACGATGTTTGCTTTAAGCGCATGGCGGGGCGCCGGCTCGCTCGCCGAGCTCTTCGGACTCGGGTACAGCGCCCTGGCGAGCGTCGTCGCGCAGGACGTGCAAGAGATCCTGGACGCACTGGACGAGCTTGCGCGCGCGATCGGCCGGCAGACGGCGCTGGCGTGGGCGCAGTCCGCGGGGGCGGTGCAGGGTTTGAGGTCCATGCTCCACTCGCGACATGAGCGCGCGCGTGCGAGGGCGACGGAGCTCAGGAAGATGGGTGGCTGGCTGATTGAGTCGGTCCACGAGAAGATGAAGGGGAGGGTGAACAGGGCGAGGGAGAACGCGCGGGCGACGAAGGACGAGATGTTGACGATGGAGGCGTGGCCGGTGAACGGGAGGCAGATGGTCGAGGCCGTGACGGCGCGCAAGCTTGCGAGGGAGCGCAGAGCGCAACGCAAGGCGCGGTCGGCGCTCACGCACTGAGGTGCTGTGGGGCCGCGATATTTCCTATCATACATTCACTCTACAGGTATACACCCCTCATCTTTCTTCCATCCTGCGACAGTTCTCGTGCAACCAACGGTATCTTATTCACACTGCACTCATGTATTATGCCATTGTACTACTTCACTGCTCCCATCTTATACAGAGGTGACCCTTGTACCGTGTAGTCCCACTCACTCCCCTCCATGTATGTACTGACCGACTATGTGACTCGTATAAACGTATTGAGTACGTCTGAGGATTGTGAAGCAAGTTTGGTAGCCCCTGGGCTTGGTCGTCAGCACGAAGAACACTGGCTACGTAGGACTAGGTAACTCGGTAGTACAACGACTGTGAGACGCGACGCGTTAACGCCTGTCACGTGGGACGCGTAGCATGACGCGGGGGCGCGGCCGGTGCGGGATGTGCCAGGTCCGCCGTCGTCGCGGTGGTCCGCAGCGCCGCATACTTAACCCTGATTCCTGTGTATTCCTGTGTACCTCCTCCAGCTCTTCTCGTCGACCACCTCTCTCAAGGCCACCCTCTGTATCTCCCTGCGATCGCTGCGATGTACTCCTCACCAAGCTATGGCTCGCCACCCGCCGAACTCTCCAACAACCCCTTCATCGACCATCCCGCGAACGCCCTCAATCGCTACCCAGACATCAACGCAGTAGAAAATCCCACAGGGCTCTCAGTACAGCACGCACAATGGGCGCAGCAGCCAGGCACATCCTATGCGCCAAATCCCACAGGATACCAGGGCCAGATGTACAGTGGCGGGTACCAGCAGCCGCAGCTCGGTCCACAGCAGACGGGGTGGAATCCCGGTGCGGGGTATGGCCAGCAGCAGGGGTACGCGTCCCCGGTGCAGAGCCAGCAGTCGTCCGGGTTCCAACCCACGAGCTCGTTCGGCCAGCAGCTCGCCTCGCATGTGAACGGCGCATACACCGGCCTCCCGCAGCAGCAGCAGCAGCAACAACAACAGCAACCGCAATACGGCGGGTACCCCGCTGGCCAACCATCCCAGTTCGGTGCGGGCTACCAACCCGGCTACACACAGCCCCAGCAGACTTCGTCATACCTAGCGGAGTTCGATCCCTATGCGCAGGGCGGGGCCCAGCAGCAGTCGCCATACGGCGGGGCGCCTGCACAGGGGCCCGCCGGTGGCGCGCAGGGCGGGGTCAGGCCGCCGCACCCGCGCGAGTACGTGCAGCAGCACAAGCAGGAGCTCGAGGGCTGGGATACGTATGCGTGGAAGCAGGTACGTACGCCCGCGCCGCCGCATGTTGCCCCGCCCGACTAACCCCGCGCAGATACAGAACTCCTTTGACGCGCTGAAGGAGGCGTGGGGCCAACGGAAACACGAGGTCGAGGGAAGGGCGCGTTCCATTGGCGGCGCAGGGCTGTTTGGCGGAGGGATGGGGTATGGTGGGTACTATGGGGGCCCACAGCAGGAGGCTACAAGGCTGGAACAGCTCGCGAAGCAGGCGGAGAGTAATTTCGGTGCGTCTTCTCTTCTGACATCTGCACTATGCGCCGTATTCACTGAATCATCGCGACCAGATTCCGTTGCGGCATCGTCGTTCCAGATGCACGAAGTGTTCACTGGCTACCGCCAATCCGGCGACCTCGCCTCGAAACGCCGCGTGCGCGAGGCGATCAACGCCGCACTAGTCAGTCTACCAGACTGGCCCCCGCAAACATTCTAAGGACGAATGATCGAGGTTTCCGCCCGGGGTGTATTGGATCAAGGTTGTACTTTTGCTTTCTATCGGACTTGCTCATGTCTACATGTATTGCCTCGATGCTGTACGTTGCTGTACTTCGATGACCACGTTGAGTGTAAAATGAGTGTAATATGAAACTCACTGACGATGAGTAGTGATGCAGTACGTTCGATGTACACGAGTACAGTTGCCCGCTAGTCTGAGGTTGAAACGTTGAGCGCTTCTCGCCACTCGCCTCAGCTAAGTTACCTCGAGTTTAGCGGCGAGATGGCGGTGACTCGGAGGAGCCGTTCTGATAGTACGAGCCTGGCGCATCATGGCATTGCTTCGCAGCTACTGGTACGGAATTGTCACTGAACATTGAGAAGTTACGCTCGATCATCTCTTGGTAGCGCATACATACATACAGCAGGGCTTCTGGCCGGAATATCGCGGAAGCTCAAGCCAATAAAACGTTCTTCTGCTCCTCTCCCAGGGCAAGCTCTCAGTGCGCGCTGATGCGATGTTGTCGCGGACACCACTTTCGTGACAGCAACGTAGACATCATATCAAGAAACCTGCAGCGACTCACCCTAGTACAGCTTCAAGGTCTCCGCGAAGGCCTCGCTGCGCAGATACTCATCAATCCGTTCTCCCTCCCCTTCATCGATCTCGACCAGCTCCTCTCCCTTACCACTTTCCGCATCCCCTGAGTCCTCTTCCTCTTCATCGGCCTCCACCGACCGCGACCCTGAGCCTTTATCGTCCCCCACGACGCGCCACCACTGTGCCTCTCCACGGAAGCTCGACCCTCCAGGTGCTGTGTCGTTCTTGACCATGTACCCACTCGACACAGCGACATAACGGAGGGACGGGATCGCTTTTGCAATCACAGGCTGGGGCGCCTCGTTCTGTATGTCTTCCCAATGGTCGCTCACCAACTCATTCTCATCATCAACCATTGATTCGAACTCCTTCAAGTCGATGACTCTGTCGATCTGGTCAACGAGCCTGAGGCGGATGCAGAGGAGATCGCTGTCGGAGAATAGAGGGAGACATTCGTCCTGCGGTGGTACTCATGCATCAAATGGACGGGAAAAGGATGATCTAGGGTAAGCGGACATACCAGCCACATTTGCGCAGCCCCGGAATGGTCATCGTGCATGAGGACATCGAGGTAACGTAGCCGGGCGGCGGCTTGCTCCGACAGCTCTGCGAGCTCCGTCCACAGTATCGTGTCGCCATAGTGGAATTGCATAGAGAGCACGACCGGGAGGGACATGCGTACCGTGAGGGTAACGGTGTCGTAGATCTGTGATTTTTCGCAGTTCCAGTTCACTTTGATGTAGATGTCCAAGACGCGCAGCTGCGAGGCAACATGGACATCATCTGTGAACTCTGCAGTGCGAGTGTAATGGTAATCGCCGCCGTATCTTGTCCCACGGCCAGCGTCATTTGCTTGCCAGAATGCCATTTGGAGGTACGCGAGGTTTTGGCACAATGGGGCAAGTGCAACTGGGTCCATGTTCTTTAGACTTAAAGTACGAGCGCGGTTCCATCGATAGGTGTGTGGTTGTGGAAGCGGTACCTCCAAGCTATACAAGGTGTCGTCGCATCTGAGCTGGAAGTTGTGTAGTGTGATCTCCGACGCGTTCCGCAGGATTTCGAGCCCAACAAGAGTTGCAGGCTGTACTTGGGCACGAGAATTTGGTATTGAGAACGGCGACAGCGCCTCGAGACGGACTACCCTTGGTCTGCAAGCCAGTCTCTCACAAAGCGCCATACCCCGCGTGGCGACGCAGCGCAGCTCGAGCTCGCGCAAGCGACGCATCGACGCGATTGCATCACCCAATACACTCCCGCCTTCCATCGCAAGCTGCTCCTCTAATTCGGACACGACAAGCGCCCGTAAATTTTGTGCCCTCGCGAGGACGGTAGCAAGTGGGGAGTAGATGTCGGCGGACTTGTGACGCCAAGGGGATTTCGAGCATATAATGGTGAGCTTGCGCAAGTACTGTATCCGCTGTCCGTCGTCCTCTTCGAGCATGAAGTTGTGGAACTCGAGATTCTTGACTGGCGCATTGAGGCGTAGAGAGTAGAGGATGCGCCGCCGGGCGACGGGGCTCACGGTGCGAGAGGTCAAGGCGAGGTTTTGCATGTCGCTGCGCGGGATGAGCGCGATGATAAGGATGAGAACATCATCGTTCAACGATTGGAAGCCGACAACCATCGCCGTTTATACGGACTACGGCAGCCATTCAAGTTGAGCGTGGTCAGACATAAGAGTATATTTTCATGCGAACTGGCACTGTGAGACGCACCTGGTTCATATGTATCAGTACAAAGTCCTTGATTCTTCAGCCTGGCTAGTTATACTTATATGATCTGTTGATACGGGTCCCCTTCCCGCCCGGATCGGCAATGTGAAGACCACGAACTGACGGATACCTTTATCTTGTTTTCTTGAGTGCTTGTAGTGCAGCAGAGTGCTTAAATTGTAGTGCAGCAGAAACACTTCTACGACCGTAACGTGAGTATCGGGCGGGTTGTTGAGGAGATGGAGCAGGCGGAAGACGAGTGATCGTACACGAGCCCGATGAGGCGTCGCGGCAGTTCAAGTTCCTCCGTTGGCAACGTCGACCTAGTTCCAACTGATGACTCATTCCTACTGCCATGTGGCCGAGTCGTTGCTGCAGCAGGAGTTGGCTACTCTGCGAGGCAACATAGGGTCGAGCTCGGGGGCGCGGAGAAGCATCCGTTCGAGTTAGCTCAAAAAGGCCACATCATCTTGCATGGCCGGCGATAGAGACAGAGACAACATCGGAACCAACTCCCCTTCTATTACCTGCACTGCCACAACAATTACTCGAGATAGACGTGCATACAGCGAGACTACCGATAATACATCCTGTTCGCGAAAGACGGGGGGATATACAGAGCCGCGCAGTTGAAGGGCTGTGTGTGACGACGAGAACCAGACAGAGAGGATATCGAGACAAATAGAGAGAGTGACGACCTCAAAAGAGGAGACGGATATAGTAGAGAAAGCGCGAACGAAGAGGCGAGTATAGACAGTCGGGCGGCGGGTGGTGTCGCGAAATGCAGGAGGACGTAGGGCGGTTTACACAGGCATAATGGATCGTGATAAATAAACCAAAGGGGTGAACGAACGAAGGTACTCCAGGGGTAGGCGGTCATCGTTTCGTGAAGATCTTGTTGAGCAGACCGAGCACCTTCGGTACGTTGAGCTGTACGTACTCGAGGTCGAGGAGGTGCTTATTGTCTTTTTGCTAAGTGCCAAGACAATGCATCAATATCCAAGTCTGGCAGCGAGTAACGCTGACTCTCACCTTCTCAAGAAGATCATCGATGTTAAGATCCATCTCGAGGATAGCCTTCTCACGGCCCTTGTAGTGCAGAGCGATGATGAATGTCCCCGGCGTGGGAGAGGTGAAGTTGAAGTAGATGTTGGGTCGTCTGAAGACGCCGGCGGACGTTAAGCGAGGGAGCAACACATCACACGAAGACATACCTGTTGTCTGGGACGTTACTCTCGACGATGATACCTTCTTTCTCCAGTTGCGCATGTGTGAAACGGTACGGCCCATGTATGACCGGCTTCGCAGGCTTCTTCTCCTTTCCGCCAACAGTGACGACGCCAACTCCTGTCGTCGCACCCTTGTCCTTGGTCGCTGTAAGACGCACATTCTGCAGATACGCCTTATATTGCTCCAGCTGAGTCCTGAGGTAGTTGTTGTGGTCGCAAATCGTCTTGTAGACCGCCTCCAATGACTTCGTCTCGGCTAGGACCTTGTCACGGAGGTTCCCGAGGTGGACGAGCTCGGCACCGACTTCCTCCTGCATGAGCTTGTACCCGTCGGTCTTGTCGATGACCTTGTACTCCTCGAGCTCGCGCAGCATCTCCTTGACCTTGATGCCCTTCCGCACCAGCGTGGCGTCCTTCGTCGTCGCTGCACGCTCCGCGATCGCAGCAAGGTTGTAAGGCTTCTTCTCCGTCGGGGGAAGCGAACGGATGAGCTGGACGAGGTTGGACTTGGTCTCCATATAGAGCATGTCTGTCGTCGAGACCGAGTCCATGAGCGCGCTCTGGATGTCCTGAATTGGCGTCTCCCAACGACTGTACAGCGAAAGTTCTATTGCCCGGTTCTCCTTGCGAGGAACCTGCGCAGGTGCAGCGCCGAGCTCATCAGTGAGGATGCGGAGATGCTGCTTCTCATTGGGCGCCTGAGGGAGCAATTGTCAGAACGTGTGCGTCTCACGACCGGATACTACATACTAGGACTTCGACGTGCTGGAGAAGCAGGGAATGCGTGTTGTACAACTCGTTCAGCGTGATATTGATAAGAAGGTCCTTCTTTGACAATGCCATGTATTGGTCCATCTACAGAGCGGTGCAAGGATAAGCCGTTTGCGTAAACGGACTATCAAGACCACTTACCTCCAACGTATCGTAGAAGTCGCCAACTTCGCACAGGTTGTTCAGGAACTGGTTGATCCGCGCCTTGTTGTTCTCAACGAAGGGATTCAGCGTGATCATGTAGGCTTCCTTTGCATAGGACGGCTTGTTCGCCAGGTTCTGCAACATCTTGGCGATCTACAACAACGGCGAAGTCAAAATTTGAGATCGGATTGGTCTCATATGACTGACCAAGGTTAGTGTTCTCCGCGGATGCTTGGCAGGAACTCCCTCGACCAGCATGTAGGCTTGGGGAGTAACAATAGCTGGGTTGATGAAACGCAGGAAGAAGAAACCACCGATGAGTGAGCAGATGGCATAGTCTGTGGCTTCTGGGTACTTTCGCTGTGCAAAACGTAACACCGAAGTGAAGTTTAGAGGAGGCTCGCAAATGGACAGCATATACGCACTCGTGTGAGACTCCTAATCTGTTTGCAAATCCACCTGATACCATAGGGAACACTCTCCATGCTGTCTATGATAGTCAATAGGAAGCTGTTTGCTATCTCCATAAGCATAGTGAGACGTGGCGCGATGATGGCCTGCACATCGGGGTTTGCGCTCGCGGCTTCTGGCGCGACACCACGGGGCAGATTCGGTGGAAGAGTGCCTGTCTCCTCCTCAATTTGAATGATCATCTGCTCGTAGACCTTGACGGGGTTGATCTCAAGGTTTAGGTCCTTGTGCTCGATCAGGCTGTTGATGCGCTCAGCAAGAACGCTCTTGAGATAGCTCTGTCCGGGTCCTCGGCGAGTGTAAGTCGTCATCATCCGTGAGACGGGAGTGTTGGCACGGAGTAATGAACCGAACTCCGTGGCTGTCTCGAACTGGGACGAGAGAACAGACTGGAACATGGTCAGCAGCAGGTGCTCTTCTCGACTCTCGTACTGGTTTCCGTAGAGCGTGAACATCACCGTCTGGAGGAGCGTGTCGATCTCTGTCAAGCTGACCAGCCGGCACAGATTGGCAATGTGGCGTGGCTCAGACTGTAACAGGAAGAAGAGGTTGGAGTACTGTTGCAGCTTGCGGTCGTCGGGGTAGTGACCCTCAGTCGCATCCACTTCTTCGAGGTGCTTCTCGACTTCGTTTTGCTGTGGCGACATAAGTAACCATGGCACAGTTGCACAGCAGTTACCTCAACAAACCTCGTCTAGAGCCATACGGTTCTGAATGAGCAACCCGATACGAGTGTCGAGGAAGCGGACGTCCCGCTCGAGAACGAAGTTGCGTTTCGATTGCGCTGAGATGCGCGACTTGAGCTCGCGCAGCCGCTTTTGAGCTTTCGGGTGGCGCAGTTTGAATGAGCATGCATGTGTCAAAGGAACGGAAGTGCCACTCACCTCGACCCAACTCATCCTCAACTTCTACGTCCTGCTCAGCAGCCATGCTAAATAGGGCCGTCACGCTGTACCGGTTGGTGTTCCGGTTGGTTAGCCGCCTAGAAGACATGCTTCCTGGCGACTGGGGCGAGCTCGGGAGATCAGAGTACGAGGACATCGGCGGGTGGTATCAAGGGAGAAGTGGTATGCTGCTGCACTTGCAAGCGAGAACACGGACTAGGCCGGGAGGCCAAAGAATCGCCAGTTGCAGACCTGCTGTGAACGAAGGAACGTGGTCGATTTCGTGAACAGTCGCCAGGAGGAGGATCTGCGGGGGAGGGTCTGCGGGAGGAAGGGGTAGTGGTCGTTGGAGGAACTTGGAGAAACGGATACGGCGACTGAGAGATTACCCCCGCCGCATTTCACCCGTACCTCGATCTAACTCCATTTATGGACTTATGATATCCAGATATATCCATATACGGACACACCAATCATCGCCACAGCGAAGTTGGCGCTTCGCAACTGCGAGATGCTCGACTCCAGTGCCAGCCACGAGTAGACAGATAGATGCTGATGATTGGAACTAGAATGCACAGTCACGTAGCTGTGCGAAGCGGTGGCCAGCGAAGAGAGTCGGACATCGTTCGCTCGCCGCCCTGGTCTGCAAGGTTGAGGGAGACCGGACAGTCACGGTGGCGAGTGGCCATACAATGCCAGCAGCTCTATATGACGCCGCAGTGTCTCCGAGTCCGTGAGTGCCCCTTGTCTATACGGGTTACCCTCTCTTACTATAACAGGTGAGCAGTGTTATACACTCGGAGATATGATCTGTATCACGGATCCGTCAGACCTACTGCGTTCTGATACACTATTGACAGAACACATTGTACGGCCAAGGAAATGAACTCACTTCCGGGGGCTTGTATTGTTTGTTTGCTATGGAGGGCGCAATGACCTACTGATCACCAATTAATCCACGGTGGATTATTGGTACGCTGTGACTTCGCCTCCCTAGTATCAGTCATTGGCAGGTGAGTGACACTGGTTATCTGGCGACCGCCCTGAACATACTCAATTCTCTGAATAGGCAGACTCTGTGATTGCTTCGACAGTAAACTTGCAGAGCCGCATGGCTGTTGCCCACCCAAAGTGCACTCCCGATCACAACAGCACACCAGTCGAGCATGAGTTGCTCCAAGGGACATTGCGCAGGTAAGTCTCCCTCAGAGCCTATTCTGCCTCGCTCTGAACCTGTCAGAGTCTCGTGTAATCCAAAAGCAAGAATCTTGTATCTCCGGGGGCGAGCCATGGGTAGTGTGCCGAGACGTCCTCAACGTGTTTCACGGAGTGTGTCTACGCCTCGTTTGGGGGCATGCGCTGTTCGGATCCATCCCATTCGCGGCGACAATCCTTCCAGCAAGCCACCGATCGTATACCGACCCCAGTCTGTGTATGACGATTTTCCTCCACAGTACCCCACCATGCCCGTGTGTCCCAGGACTACCAATACAATCGGAGTCGGCAGAACTACTCCAGAAGTCCCTCAACGCTGGTGATTTTCGACTCTCGCAAGTACGCCCTGCTGCTTATGATTGTGACTGTCGTGACACTCATCTTCGCTTGGCCCTGATGATGTATTGGGCCTATTTCCCTGGAACGCTTCAATGTGTGAGACTGGGAGGCCTTTGTCCAATCACTAGGCGCACCGGGATCGACAAGCTATTTTGTCCGCAAGGATCAGGAAGACGATCAGGGAATCTCAACAGGCCTCCATTCCGTCCGTCTTCCTGGCAATGTAGCTCACTTTCACAGCACGGGTCGTTAAGTATGGCGATCCCGCGTCCATCTGCGCTAGATACATCATGATCTCCCAGTGAGTAGCGTTTACGTTACTCGAATGCCTACTGTTCTTGCTCAGTGTCAGTTGTTCAGTGAGTGTGTGTTCTCGGGTCGAGGCAAAGCCAGACTCGGAGGATGTACTATGCTGGAAGTAGTTGTGTTTGGAGCCAACCACGGGCGGCAGGCATAGATCCCGCGCTTCAGACACCTTCCGCGGGGAAGTCCCAACACAAATTGAATGCGTGCAACATTCGGGGCCCGTCCTTCCTTCTTGACGCGTTCCGGTTGATCCAAAGCTGACTACGCATGTAGACTGGTACTGACTCGCTCCGGTATGAGGGAACGGGCACTGACGGAACGGCGCGGATCCTTCTCCGGTCTCACCAAGCCGAGTAGTTCCTGCGCTAGCCTCCCCGAAGCAGGTACAGTATGGCATACGCTCTTCTGGATGCTACACACATCCATCACCGCTCGACCACATCGGCGTCCGCTGGCTTTGGATCATCAGATTCCTTGGAGTAAGTGTCACCGTGCCTTCTTTTTCCATAAAATTGACGCCATGCGGGATTCAATAGGCAGACCGTAGATGTGAGCGAGCCCCCATGCTTTATAGCCGGCTCTGTAGCACAGGCAAGTTGACGTGCACCCAAGGAAGAGGGACCACTGAATCACCACTCAAGAGTATAATGGCTCTAGCTGATTCCATCGTGCAGTCTCTTCTGGTTCTTCTGGTTACATACCTTGTGTGGTGGATCTGCCGAAGACTAATCACAAGATCGCCACTCGACAACATACCAGGTCCGCCCCCTGCGTCGTTCTTGACCGGTAAGACGCCACCACCTATCCGACTACCCTTACGATGCTGATGTTAGCCGCATAGGTCACCTCCCTGCATACTTCGATCGCCATGGCACAGATTTCCAAAGGCAGATTGCTCACAAGTATGGGCCGGTTGTCAAGATGCAGGGCATGTTTGGTGTAGGGCGGTCTTTGCTTGTATGGTCGTCTGCTGACTGAAGCGAACGGATTGGTAGCAATCCCTCCTATATGTATACGATCCTAGGGCGCTTCATACAATGGTGATCAAAGAACAATCAGTCTATGATGAAGAGGAACTGTTCGTGAAGTGAGCAATATTCTCATTGATTTGAATAAGCCTCGCTGACTACATACTTCTGCTAGAGCAAATGTTCTCATCTTCGGGCCAGGTTTGCTATCCGTACTTGGTATGCTCTATCATTTAGCCCTCTCGAAGCAAGATGATAGAACCCGAATTGTCCTCACAGGCGAGCAACACAAGAAACAACGCAAGATGCTGAACCCCCTGTTCTCTGCGGGGCATATGCGCAACATGCTGCCGATTTTCTACAATGTCGCAGAGAAGGTTGATACATCACCCGCTCGTCAGAAGTGCCTCAGGCTTATATCACTCTACAGCTACGGGATACCTTTTTGGAGCGGGTGCACGATGGACCGTGTGAATTAGACGTGCTCAACTGGATGGGTCGCGCCGCCCTTGAGCTCATCGCCCAAGGCGGCATCGGCACGTCGCTCGACCCGCTAGTCGACGACAACCCAGACGCGTATACCAACAGCCTCAAGGCACTTGTGTAGGTTCCAGTCATCGCTGTTTTCCGTGCTATAGTACTGAGGCTATCTCTCACCGAGACCGACCCTGTATAACCTCGGTCTCCTCCGGTTTGCCCTCCTCATACCGTACATCTGCGATGTCGGCCCGGCTTGGCTCCGACGGCGGCTCGTCGACATGATCCCTCATGAAGAGCTCCGCAAAATGACGGGCATCATCGATTCGATTGCAAGCAAGTCCGTTGAGATTTACACACTGAAGAAGGCAGCTCTCCAGGAAGGCGAAGAAGAGACATCGAGACAAGCAGCGGAGGGCAAGGATGTCATCAGCGTACTTAGTGAGTACACCTGTGTGTCGCGGCGAGCGGGTAGGATTCGTACTCAAGAGGCATTGCGTCTTCAGTGCGGGCAAATATATCAGCCTCAGATGCAGACAGGCTGTCAGAGGACGAGATAATAGCTCAGATGACGTGGGTCGGACGACCACTGGCTCAGATCAGTGCTCATGACCACGCTTTTACAGCACGCTATTGTTCGCTGCCATGGATACAACGTCCAATAGCACGGTGAAGATCCTCGAACGCCTTGCACAGAACCCGGATATCCAGGAGAAACTGCGCAAGGAAGTCACTGCAGCCCAGAGTGCGGGGCGACTGTCTTACGACGAGCTAATGCGGCTGCCCCTCCTCGACGCTGTTATCCGAGAAACACTCCGAGTGTGAGTAAACCTTACCATAGTCCGCACCTGGCGAACAGCGACCCAGCTTTCCATAGCGACCCACTCGCCAACCTAGTCACACGACAGTGAGTTTACCGTACCTCGCCGCCCACAACTCGCACTTCCTGATACCAACACTCCGCCAGACCTAAGAAGGACGTCATCCTACCCTTGTCCGAACCCATTCAAGGACGAGACGGCAAAACGATCCGTGAAATCCCCATCCCGAAGGGCACGCAGATCATCGTCGGCGTCCTGGGGTCCAACACGAACAAGGCGCTCTGGGGCGACGACGCACTGGAGTGGAACCCAGAACGCTGGCTCGCGCCGCTTCCCAGTGCCGTCACGGATGCGCCAATCCCCGGGGTGTATTCCAACTTGTGGGTGCAATCGTCCTTAATTCTACTCCCTCGGGGACTGTACTCATGTAATGGGCCCTTCTTTACCCCGCTAGGATGACCTTCTTGGGCGGTGGCAGGTCGTGCATGTGAGTGTGCTTCCTCCCCCCTTGCTTCTTCGTGGCTGACCGAAGTGCCCGTGATGGTGCAGCGGATTCAAATTCTCCGAGTTGGAAATGAGTAAGCCATCTACATCCGTTCATACGGTATGCGTCATACTGACGAGGGCTGACCGCAGAGGTCATACTGTCCGTGCTGTTGTCGACCTTCAAGTTCGAGTTGACCGACAAACCGGTGGTGTGGAATGTCGCCTCGGTTCGGTACCCCACTGTAGGAACAGAGAGCAACTACGCGGAAATGCCGATGAAGGTGAGCTTAGTGTAGGCCTTGGTTGTGGTTGTGCATGTCCTATGTACGCGTCCGATTTTGGGGTGCCGACGCCGGCAAATACAGGTGGTCCCTCAGTATTTAGGGCGAGGTGGATTTGCACATCTATAATTACGAGAAAATGACTGCAACAAAGCTATGCGCGACTATGAGAGATCAAATGCGAATAAACATCGTGAGAGGAACTGGGGTCGGGGAGAATGAAGTCGTGGACGATCATTGTCGAGGAACCTTTGGCGCAGGTATCAGCCCTAGAAGACCGAATGTAAGGGCATATAAACCGGATGCTACAATCAAAGGCGTGTCACTGGATAGGCAAACAACCAAGTGCGATAAAGACAACGTACAGGCTATTACACCCTCAATGACTCCGAACTTCGACCACCGGCCGAGGGTGTAAGATAGTAATGACCAACCCACAACGATAGATGCTGTCAACAGCTAGTTGACATCGCCGCATTAGCATTCTAGTGCCAAGGGATAGGCGTAAACGCGCACAGGGATCACTGACGACAAGACGCCTGACTCTCGCCAACGACGATACTTAATCTGAGGTCAGCCGACTGAAAGCACCTATATGCGGCAACATACATTCGGTTGTTGTCCTTGTAGCAAAGGAATCGAGAGGATGTACATGAATAGGCTGATAGTCAGCGTGGCTGACCCTAGCGAGGCGTATGCAGCGATGCTACACACATCCCACATCGTACGTGTGAGATGACTCAAGGACGCGTCTGATGAGGTGGAATAGTCTACGCACCGACCCCAACCATCAATATCCGCATCCGCATTTACTACACGCCAGAAAGCGGCGTGGCTATCCAAGTAATACGTGATGAGTCCTCCGGGCAGGATGAACTTCAGCTGCTTGAGCGTATGCCGCGAGACCGACATGTCCGTGGGCGACGAAGACAGTTGTAGCAGCCGATAGATAGAGGCGTAAGCGGGTTGTACTATGCAGTCCGTGTGGGGCGAATGCGAGACACGCGATCCGGAGAACAAGGGCACGGCGAGGAGGACAAGAGGTGGTGAGAGTTCAAACGTTCACTGTCAGTGTCAGTGCATTTTCACATGCCGATGCATGCGCGTATCGCCTCGACGGGATTAGATATGATGGATCCCGATCGCGGTTCGCCATCCACTCCCGCTCGGACTCGGAGGCCGCAGTCGTCAGTACAGGAAGACTGCCTTTTATCTGTTCCAGACTGCTTGTTGCTTTCTCGTGGACATTTTCACAAGTCATATTCGCTACTGGTGACACAAAAATTTATCGGCACGTTCAACGACCTTTTTCGATGAAGTTCAGTATGAGCCCATTGACGATGTCAGGTCGTTCGAACTGAGGTGAGTGGCCCACTCCTTCCAAGATATACACCTCGGCGTCATCGTACAGATCCCTCACTTGCGCTGCCAGTTGAGCTGCCCGACAGTGTGTGTCCTCCGCACCCTGTATCAACATCACCCGCCAACTCCTCGCCTCTGCGCGCCATCTCGTCTCGTCCTGTTCGCGATCGTGCGACCACGCCCGGACCGCTGGTGGCTGCGCTGCGAATGAGCCCATCCATTGCAGTTTCACAGGCCAAGGTAGTGTTGCGACCGGATCTGCGACACATCCCTCCACGAAGCGTTGGGCGAAGCGCGCGATAGTATCTGCGTCGGTCGACTGGACATATGGCATGAGCGGCACGAAGGACTCCGGGATTGTCTCGACACAGAGTGCGAGCGAGAGCACCGCGCCTCCGTTATAGATAACGCCGCTGATATACGAGGGTCCTAAGTGATTAGCGATATCCACAGGTATAGTACCTGACGGTTGGAGACACATCGAGGTCCCTCAGCGCGCGGTACTTATGTGAGAGGAATCGGTCTCTTACCTCCAAGGCTCCTGGATTGCGCGTCAGGTCATAGTACCAGGCTCGTAGCATGACTCACCATCCAAAAACCCAGGGTTTCCACACCTGAAAGGCCTCGCACACTGCACGGAAATCTTCTGCCTGATGCACCGATGCATACGCTTCTATGCTCGCTGGTGTATCGCTTCGTCCGTGTCCCCTCATCTCGTATCTGACCATGTACAGCCTGTCCAGCAGTACAGGGTCAAGAAACTGCTTGTCAAACAGCGTAGCAGAGCATGCGAGCCCGTGTATGAAGACGACGGCTGGATTCGACGGATCACCGATCGCTTCAGCCCAGATACGTGTACCGTCTGGCGAGGTTAGTAGTCGCTCGTCGGAGGTCATCTCGAGTGGGCGAGCGGAGCGCAGGTAGTGCTGCATGAGAGTGTTCAACTATGAATAAACTCCACGGCATCGCCTGCCGGAATGCGTGACCACAAAGACACCACGACTCGGATACGTATACGGTCGACGGTCTCCTGTTGGTCTCCTGAGCCATGGATCATCACGACAGCAAGGTATGAGCGTTCGTACACCGATAAACGGTTCAGAGAGTCGCGCTACGGGCAAAGCAGCGGTCTGTGGCAGTCATAAACTCAAGAGTATCAGGACGAGCTGGTCCCCAGATAATTACACGGTCACCTGACCGCGACAGACACGTACTGCCAGGCAACCGACAGTGAGTCAGTGACAGCGATGCATAACCTGGTATGTATCATACGAGCTGTCGCTCATTACAGGACTAATCCACCACTTGTAGAAAAGTGACTTATGTACTGCGTGATCAAAACTCATCACTTCGACACGCGCCGCATGAACTCCAGTAGGTACTGATTCGTCTCCTCCGGGGCCTCCGCCTGCGGGGCATGCCCGACTCCCTGCAACAGCTTGACCTCCACTTCATCGTAGATCTCCTTCGCCTGCTCAATCATCCTCTCATACAGACAATGTGTGTCCTCCATCCCCTGCACGATCAGAACAGGAATCCTACGCGCGCTTTCGCGCCAGACGCGGTCCTCCTGCTCGCGGGTAAGGGAGTAGTGGCGGATGATGGGCGGCTGCATCGCGAAGCCCCCGACAAGAGCCATCTTGGTCTCGAAGCTAAGGGAGGCTGGGTCTGCGAAGCAGGAGTCGACGAACGGCACCGCTGACTTGGCTGCTACCTGCGCGTCTGGCGAACAGATGAGCGGAATGAGGGGGAGGAAGGCGGGGTGCCGGCATTCTTTGCTGAGCTGGAGTGACAAAACGGCACCGCCGTTGTAGACGATGCCCGCGATGTAGTCTGGCCCGTAGTACCGGACGACGTCCCCTGGGATGCATCCTACGTCGTTTTGTGAGTAAAGATATAAGTTATCCTTAGTACGACTTCATCACCTCCAAGACTCCTGTCAGAAAATGCGATCGATCAGTCTAACCGTCCAATGCACATGCGCGGCCTTCCACTCACCATCCGAGCACAATTGGCCTGACAACGCCAAACGCTTCGCACACGGTACGGAAGTCTTCAGCATGTCGAAGGGCGCGGTAGGCCGCGAGGGATTCCGGCATCCCACTGCGTCCATGCCCGCGCATCTCATACCTCACCAGATGCACATTCTTGAGCAGTTCCGGATCGTTGAATTGTGCGTTGAAGGCTATGGCCGTGCAGGCCAACCCGTGGATGAAGACGATAGTAGGTTTCGTGCGATCCCCTGCCTCCTCTCCCCATATTTCGGTGCCATCTGGCGAGGTGAGGACTTTTTGTTGAGCAGGCATACGGATTGGCGGCTTGTGAGGCAGGCGGTCAACGATGTTCAACTGCAAGGCGTACTTCACCTCTTCGCCCACCGGCACCCCGAACCCCGCATTGGTGTCCACGAGTGACCAGAAAACTTCTCATGACCGTGTAGCGAGTGCGCGTCTACAGCTCACGAGGGCGTTGGTCTGTATTTGTCACAGATTATGACAATGCAAAGAGCTATCAAGAGCTAGGCTGTCTCTGCGACTTGAAGCTCGAAGCGTCTCAGGAAGTGAGAACGCCTTGAAATGGTACGCGGTCACCTGACCGCGACAAACGCGTAGTACTTTGGAGAACGTCAAGCTAGACCACTGAGTGTGTAACCAAGGGCATGATACTGTACAACACCGAGTCATCACGTCGATATGTGCCGTATGAAATCGAGGAGGTACCGGTTCGTCTCCTCCGGTGCTTCAACCTGTGGAGTATGCCCTATTCCCTGCAACAACTTCACCTCCACGTCCACGTAGATCTCCTTCGCCTGCGCAATCATCCTCTCATATAAACAATGCGTGTCCGCTGTTCCCTGCACAATGAGAACGGGGATCCCCCGAGCGCTCTCGCGCCAAACACGGTCGTCCTGCTCGCGCGTGACCCAGTATTCGCGGACGATAGGCGGCTGCATGCCAAAGCCCCCGACGAAGGCCAACTTGGTCTCGAAGCTGAGGGAGGCAGGGTCCGCGAAGCACGAGTCGACGAACGCCACTGCAGCCTTGGCTGTGACTTGCGCGTCCGGAGAGATCAGGTCCGGGAATAGAGTGAGAAGAGCGGGGTGAAAGCATTCTTTGTTGAGATTGAGTGATAAGACGGGGCCGCCGACGTAGACGATGCCTGCGATGTAGTCCGCCCCATAATACCGGACGACGTCCACTGGAATGCTACCTGTGCGATTGAGTGAATGAGTGTCCCTGCCACATCATCTATCGCTCGAATGCATCACCTCCGAGACTCCTGTCGACGTGCGGTCGATCAGTTCAGCTATCCCTGCATGTGTACACCATCCCACTTACCAACCGACTACAATTGGCTTCACCACGCCGAATGCTTCGCACACAGTACGGAAGTCTTCGGCATGTCGGATGGCGCTATAGGCCTCAGGGTATTCTGGCTTGCCGCTGCGTCCATGCCCGCGCAGCTCATACCTCACCAGATGCGCACTGCTGAGCAGGCCTGGGTCGGAGAACTGCGCGTTGAACCCTATGGCCGTGCAAGCGAGCCCGTGAATGAAAATAATGGCGGGTTTCGTGCGATCTCCCGCTTCCTGGGCCCATATCTCCGTGCCATCTGGCGAGGTGAGAACCGTCTGTTGAGTAGACATGAGTGCAGGCGACTTGGGGGTGGGCGATCGTTGAGGTCTGACTGGGAGGCGGACTTCACTTTCGAGTCTGCGCCCATCGGTATATATCCCAACCCCGAACCAGAAACACTGGTGTGTCGCATGTGTGCAGGTTCCTTTAGGTCCCCCTGAGTCATCACTTGGTCATCACAGTCATGATATGATCGTAAGACGAGTGCGAATTTATAAGTACTTGTCACATACCATCAACAATGGAAGCGCCTCCCCTCGAAGGAATTCTATGTATAAATACAGTTAGTTTAACGCATATAACCTTGGAACTCGCCCTCTGGACCAACCGCCAGCGTCCGATTTGTCACTGGCTTGTATTGCATAGTACAGTACACTGCGATATAAAATGGCGCATTAACAGCTCACATACGATAGATATGCAACATCAGATCATGGGCACCCCGGACTGCACAGCAAAATGTCTATGAATCAGCGCTGTCAGCTCTTGCTCTTGACCTCCACGATGATGTTCGTGATCATGATCAGCGTGTATGCGATAATCAGTGCGACGCCCCAGCCGCGCGGCAGGAAGTAGCCGTTTAGCGGGACGAAGACGAGCGTCGCGAGCAGGAGGGCGAGCAGTCCGCAGCCGGTGACGACGAGCGTCGTGGAGAAATGTAGGTAGTATGGCTCGGCGGTTTGGCGGATGATGTAGGAACCGGAGATGCCGATACCGAGTAGGATGTTGAGCATGGGTCCGCCAAAGCATGCGGAGAAACCCATGATTGGGGCGAATACCTAAGATCTCGTTAGCATGAGTCCACACAACTGAGATTCACCACTTACAGCAACACTCATGTTCGCCACGAGGTCAGCGAGTGAGTTTCCGACGGCGAATATGGTTAGCCCAATGATGGCGTCGGAGAGACCAAAGATGAACCCGAATGTCTGCGAGAGCTATCATCAATGGCACGGGGTAGCACACAAGCACAGTCACGCACCGTCAGCACTTCTACCACTTCGTCCGCTATTGCCATGATCCAGACTACAGCGACCATGAAGCCCATGATACAACGAGCAAGCAATGCTGTTGGATGCGAGCCCTTGTCCGAAAAGACGAGCACAAGGATACCGACGGTAAACCCAGCCACGCCAGTGGCCAATAGCAGCCATGGTTCGTGTGTTGTCCCATCTTCCCACCATTCGTCAGCTATAGCAGATCACGAACTGGCCGACTCACCGAACAAGATGGCAGCACTGAACAGGGGTCCCAGTGTACACTGCACGGCCATAAGCCACTTGTTGAACTTCAGCTCATGCATCTCCTCCGCGACCTCCTCCTCCGCGATCAGCGTGCGCTCGATGCCTTCCTCCTCAAAGTCCACGAGACGGCTGTCGCCGATGTCTATGACGCCCCGGTCATGGTGCTTCTCGCGTTCCCGTCCGACGTCGTTGTACGCCGTCACCACGACAGGCAATGTCAGGGTGAGGAACATCACGGCCGGCGCGGCAAGCACGGCAGCGATCTTGCCCATGAACGGCTTCGTGCGGAAGCCGTGTAGTGTAGGGAAGATTAGGTGGAAGGCGTGCCCAAGGACTCGCTTGACCCACTGTCTCCGCGAGGGTTGCGCATAGCGCTGAGACTGCACATCCGTGTCGGTCTCAGAGACGACAGGGGATGCGGGGGTATGGGAGATGACTGGTATAGGTGGCCCCTCCTCTGTCGACTCTGGAGGTAGTGCAATAACTTGTGGTGGTGAGCGTTCGTTCAAGGGCACCCCAAGGGCTGCGTCCCATGGGTCTTGGACCTCCGATCCAGGAGTGCGTGACCGCGAACGTGAGCGGCTATGGTAGTGATAGTGACCGCCTGGATAGGGCGATGGTGTGTCGAAGACGTTGAGGGTGGACCCTGCTGCTTCTTGCTGAAGCGACGAGACGATACGGCGGAACTCAAGAGCTCCGACCAGGGAGAAAGACGGCATGGTGCTGATGTGAGGGCTGGATTGCGGAGAAGGTGAACGTGTCTGAGGTCTTTGAGGGAGTTCGGTTTGCAGGCCTAAGCGAGGAGGCCCGGGATGCGAGATAGCACGCGCTCGCCGTGGTGTGGGGACTTGAAGTGTTGACGAGGCGGTAGGAATAGGGGATGCTGCATGGCTGTGAGGGATGATAGACAATAAGGTTGTCGATGTACTCACGCTCGTCTCTGTATGGCTCCTCATCATGATACGGGGCGTGTATGATCGCTTCCTCCCTGAACTCGTCCCGCATGAGTTCCTCGTGTCGCCGTCTGCGCTCCATCCGCTTCTCCCAGAAGCTCCCGCCAACGACGACAGCAACATACAGCAGATACAGGGCTATGAGCGCAGCTGCCTCCCAAGCCTCCAATTCGCTATCCCACAGCACCACCAGCAGTATGGTGACGGCTACTGTGAAGAACCCGACATCGCGAAAGAAGCGGTAGGGCATTACTTTGAAGGGCTTGATGATGCACAGGGAGCCAGCGACGCACGAGACCACAAATGTCGCAGCGCCGAGCAGCTCGCCGATCGCCAGGCCGCCAGAGTTCGCCTTCATAGCGGAGAATGTGGCGAAAACGTCTGGACTTCCATTGCCGAACGCAAGGAAGGTAACGCCAGCCATGTTCTCATCCAGGCCCAGCAGCTGCGCAAGTGTGGCGAGGTTAGGACAGAAGAAGTCGGAGGCACTGATACCCAGCGTCGAGAATAGGAAGACGAGCCAGACTATGTATGCGGAGAAGAGCAGCGAGCGGAGAGAGACATCGGTGCAGAAATAGGATTTCAGGTAGGGTATCGACAGGAATGTCCGGGTGTCAGGACATGAGTCGATAATATGTGCGCATTGGTCCTTCACGGGCACGGTAATCGGGAAGCATGTCTATCATTGTATTGTCGTAAAGCCATCCCTCTAAAGGAGAGATACATATAGCACTCACGTCGTCGTCCTCCCCCTTTCCCCCCAACACCTCTGGATAGGTCCCGTTGACATACACCACATCAAGCAGACTCCGTTTCGCAAGTGCTACGGGCTGCGTGCGGACGGAGTAGACTTGGCCGTAGCGACTATGCGACCACAGGATGCAGTTGACCGCAAGGGCGGCGACGAAGAGGAGCTTGGGTGCACCGTACCCCATGTTGGTGGAGGAAAGGGACAGGGCTAAGGCATGCGACCTGGTCGTATGAAAGCTCGCAAATGAGCCTCGCCGCTGCACGACCTCCGGCGCTCCGTGGGAACCAGCAACTGGCGCCGGAGCGGGTCGCGCACGTTACGCACGTCGATACGGGCAACGCAGAGCCTGCGGGCCGCCGCGGGTGTCGCTGGGAACCTCTGGGTAACCTGGCGAATGCGAGAGATGTAGGATGAGAAATGGCAAGTGCGGACTTGGGGACGCGACATTTCCTCAGCAGTCGGTGGGACGGCGGAACCACAGCTATGTGTGAGGTTATGGCGACCGAGTCATCCTAGCTAGGCAACGTTTGAGCAAGACCCACAGCATTGACTTGCCCTCGGGACAGAACTAGATGAATTGTCTGCATCCAAGTAGCTACGACGACATCGAAAAAGGCAAGTCAGCTTCCATATGGGGTAACTCCGCACTACCCGGCTGCAATACGCAAACGTGAGCGTGCCCATTTCTGTATAGTCTTGCCTGGCAACTATGTAGAGAGATGACAGCTGTAAGCAACCCAGCGCTGGGTTTCACAAGTCTTGGCAGGACCGGAGAAGGTATGGAACATTCATATGGCGTAGTTGTGGCGTAGCATTCCAATTCCGGATGTTCCACAAAAGGCAACTAAGGGCTTTCGATCCTAACAAGAGCAAACAAGGTCGCTTCGGCGGTCCCCAGCGCTGATGGAAAGCTGGCTCTGTGGGCTCAGGTCGTCGTGGGCCAGATCCGCACGCAGCTTCTAGTCAAACATCCAGTCTATCGACAACCTTGCATGACATGGCTTTGCATCACGCGCATACGCATGACTTGCAACCCATTTTGGCACGGTGACGGTTCTTGCTCAGGCGCAGAGGCGGAGAATGACGTCGTGCATGCAGTCACGTCCCCGCGCCTGCTGGTCCAGGATGGTCTTTCCTCTAATACTGTACTTACCTCGACATCTTAGCCACTCAAACGAGTATAGCTGACCGCATATAAGGTGCGTTTGGTCCATCAGTATATGCCTAACGCCGTGGCCTCACGAACGCAACGTTAACTTCCAGCCATGCCCGAGCATCGCGCCCCGAAGGACGGCCTCATTCTTGCTATCAACGCGGGCTCCTCGTCCCTCAAGATATCACTGTACCGCCGCACAGACGGCCACGCCACAAGTCCCGGACACGGCGCCGTCGAACTACTCTTGACGTCCAGCATCACGAACATATCCTCGCCTCCTGCTTCCTTCACCTTTCAACTCGCATCCCACAAAGAGGGACGTGAGGCGAAGAAGGAGTCTGTGGACGGGATCAAAGACCATGCCGCAGCGTTCTCCTACTTTCTGGATCATCTGAAGAACGAGAGCAGGATCGACAGAGAGTCTATCGTGCACGTCTGCCACCGCGTCGTGCATGGCGGCGACTACTACGAGCCTGTGATCATAGACTCGGAGAGTTATCATCACATTGAGAATTTGTCTGATCTGGCTCCTCTGTGAGTCGTGCGTTGATTTTGCGTTGAGGACGTGTGAGTGACCGTGCATGCAGCCACAATGGTGCCGCGCTTTCGGTGATGAAGAGTGCCATCGAGTCTCTCCCCAAGGCAAGCTCAATAGCCTACTTTGATACCACGTTCCACCGCTCGATACCACTACACATCGCGAGCTACGCTATCAACCCAGAGGTTGCACACAAACGTGGTTTGAAGAAGTATGGCTTCCATGGACTAAGTTGTGAGTACGGAGTGATGGTACATCTATCGTCTACTCAGGCTGAACTTTTCCCTCAGACGCGTATATTCTTGGTGCTGTTGGCCACTATTTGCAGAAGGTGCGCCTTTCGCTCGACCTATCTGGACTACAATCTCACAGTCGCCCAGGACACGTCTTCACTGAACCTCATCATCATGCACCTCGGCTCCGGCGCCTCCTTATGTGCCATTCGGAATGGCCAATCGCTCGATACATCCATGGGGTTGACACCCGTCTCCGGCCTCCCAGGCGCGACACGCAGCGGGCTCGTCGACCCCTCGCTCATCTTCCACTACACAAACCGCGCCGGGCGGATCACGCACGACCCGCACCAGGCCGTCGACGTGCGCGTCACGCAGGCCGAGCAGATCCTCAACCTCGAGTCTGGCTGGAAGGCGCTCACGGGGACGTCCGACTTTGGCGAGGTCGTGAAGAACATGCAGGAGCATTTGCAGCACCAGGGCGCGACGCAGGGCAGGGACGTCGTCGACTGGCAGAGCGAGGCCAAGTGGAAGCTCGCGTTCGACCTGTTTGTGGACAGGATCGTCGGCTTCGTGGGGTCGTACTACGTGAGGCTGGGTGGGAAGGTGGACGCGCTTGTATTTTCTGGTGGGATCGGCGAGAAGAGTGTCGAGCTCCGGGAGGCCGTCGTTCGGAATGCGGAGTGCCTTGGCTTCCAGCTCGATGAGGCGGCGAACGCGAAAGTGGGCGAACAGGAAGGCGTGGCGGTCAATGCAGGAAAGAGGGCAGATACCTCGCGTGTGCTGGTGTGCAGGACAGATGAGCAGGTGAGTCAATCTTCGTATGCAAAGAGCGCATGCTTATATGCGTCGCTAGCTCGAGATGGCGAAGGAGTGTGCTCTGGAGGAGAAGTTCTGGCAGTGATGTTTTGCGTGCGCAGATGATGCACAGTGCTACGCATTGCAGGCAGTTTGGATTGAGCAAGGGGCATTGTCACTGCTGTAGGGCTGTCATCTACAGTCACTCGGGGCCCAATGTGTTGAGACCCAGCACAAGTTAGTTAGGAGACATGTATCCTGCAACATAGATGGCGCCGCAACGGAAACAGAAGGATGCGGCTCATGAGGCGTGACATAGTAATTCTCGAACGCCAGTTATAAGTGGGGATGACTTTGCATCCTGAGGGCAATCTGAGGGTAGCGTCAATTCGTATAAGGATTCCCCACGCATAAGACAACGCCCAGTCGCACACCGGTGCGGCATCCATACTGAAGCTCGGTAAAAGTGAGTTGCAAACGGTACTAGTCTCCGTTGCTTACCAAAAAGAGATGCTCTCGTTTCTGCGACATTGACTGGATTGAACGACGGAAACGGATGGATGCACAGATGAAAATGAAAACAAATGCCCATTGGCTGGATTGAACAACCGACCTCACCATGCCCACGATCACGTGACTGTAAGAACCTTACGAGTGGCGCGCTCTACCACTGAGCTAAACGGGCCTTAAGACTATTTTTTCAAGCAGCAATCTGACACGTAGCGCCCAGCTTGGGACGGCTTGGTGACGCACCTTGACGCGAAGACTGACGTCGTTGAGCCCGCACTTTGATTTGGCCACCTGTGTGTTCCACCGTCCGTCCGTACCAGCATATCATCATGCTCAACATGCCCCGGCTTGCGTACTCTTCGCTCCATCCTCTTGTCTGCCTTCCTCTGCAATGCCTGGCCAACAGATTCTCGAGCCTAACCCTCCTCCAGACCCCTCGCAGCTACCCGAGTCATTACTCGATTACCGGGTCAAGCTGAAGGTCCAAGGGACGCTCTCGAAAGATGAGATAGAAGCAATCTCGCACTTCAGACGAGCCGCGGACTACATCGCAGCTGGTAAGTGTTATTTTGCGGTGTCGTTCATCCATCGCTTTTGGAGCACGGTGCTGTACGTCTCGGAGTGGGCATTGTAGACATGTCGGCTTCGAACAGCGCCGGACCGTCATGAATTGAAGGAGAGGAGTGCGAAGTTGCATGACACTCTTCGCCTCGCCAGGAAGCCCCGCTATCGCTCGTGTCAGAATGGTGCAGCACGATACGTGAATGGTCATGCATAAATCTGGAACACCTTACGTCTCCAGGCGATGCAAGCATAACATGCTGACCGTCACGCAGCGATGATATTCCTGAAGAGCGGCATCCTCGAACAACGCGACCTCACTCCAGACGACATCAAACAACGCCTTCTCGGGCACTGGGGAACGTGCCCCGGACTCGTCCTCGTCTACGCTCACATCAACCGTCTCATCCGCAAGACTGACATCGACGTGCTCTATGTCGTCGGCCCAGGCCACGGCGCGCCTGGCATACTCTCATGTCTTTGGCTAGAGAGTACGCTGGGCCACTTCTGGCCGCACAACACGCGCGACCTCACTGGACTGAAGAACCTCATCTCTGGCTTCAGTGTGCCGGGAGGCTTCCCGAGGTGCGTATATATGCGCTACGAGATGACGCGGTCCAGCTGATCCAGGTAATAAGTCACGTCAATGTGGAGACACCCGGTTCTATTCACGAAGGCGGGGAGCTCGGATATGCGCTCAGTGTCGCATTTGGCGCGGTCATGGACAAGCCTGACCTCGTCTGTGTATGCGTCGTTGGAGACGGAGAGGCCGAGACAGGCCCTACCGCGACGTACGTGACGCGTCTCTTTCGCGACACTACGCCTCCTAACAGCACGCTAGCGCATGGCATGGCTACAAGTACCTCGACCCCGCAGAGTCGGGCGCTGTCCTACCCATCGTCCATGTCAACGGTTTCAAGATCTCCGAGCGCACAATTTACGGCACGATGGACGACAAGGAGCTCGTCGCGCTCTTCACGGGCTATGGTTATCAAACGCGCTTCATCGAGGACCTCGACAATATCGACGAAGATATGGCGGCGTCTATGGACTGGGCGCTAGGTGAGATCCATGCGATACAGAGGGCGGCGAGGAGTGGCCAGCCTCAGGTGAAGCCGAGGTGGCCCGTTTTGATCTTGCGTACGCCAAAGGTAGGCACTTGTCCGGACACTGTTGGCGTACCCGCTCACGATGATGATATAGGGATGGGGTGGGCCGAAGAAGCTCGGTGACGAAGTCATTGAGGGGTCGTTCCATTCTCACCAGGTCCCGTTACCCGGTGCGAAGAAGGACCCACAACAGCTCAAGCTGCTTCAGGAGTGGTTGCGCTCGTATAAGCCTGAAGAACTCTTCGACAAGAACGGTGTACCTAATGAGAAGATCCTATCGACCATTCCACAGGTACTATGCGTCTATTTGCAACGGAGCAGCTTATTGACGTGGGTGTAGAAGGATGACAAGAAGGCCGGTATGAGGAAGGAAGTCTACGCAGGATACATGCCTCTTGATGTACCCGACTGGACACCGAAGAGCGTGGAGAGAGGAAACCAGGAGAGTTGCATGAAGGTCGTGGGCGAACTGCTACTTGACGTCATGGACAAGTGAGTAAGACAATGCGCACACAATTACTACAGCTCACGCAGCATCCCAGAAACCCTCACACGTTCAGGATCTTCTCTCCGGACGAACTCGAGTCGAACAAGCTCAACGCGACGCTCCGCCACAGTGGGCGGAACATGCAGTGGGACGTGGCCTCCCGCGCAAACGGCGGGCGCGTCATCGAGATCCTCTCCGAGCACACCTGCCAGGGCATGATGCAGGGCTACACGCTCACCGGGCGGACGGCGCTCTTCCCGAGCTACGAAGCGTTCCTCGGTATCGTGCACACCATGATGGTGCAGTACAGCAAGTTCGTGAAGATGGCGCAGGAGGTGAACTGGCGCCAGCCGATCGGCTCGCTCAACTACCTCGAGACGAGCACCTGGGCGCGCCAGGAGCACAATGGATTCTCGCACCAGAACCCGTCGTTCATCGGTGCAGTGCTGGCGCTAAAGCCTCAGATTGCGAGGGTGTACCTCCCCCCCGACGCGAACTGCTTCTTGTCGACGATGGCGCATTGCTTGAGGGCGAAGAATTACATCAACTTGATGGTTGGCAGCAAGCAGCCGACTCCAGTGTGGCTGAGCCCGGAAGAGGCAGACGAGGTGCGTCTGGGCAGGCCGCAGTCAATTGGATATACTCGAACGATGCGCGACTTCGTAGCACTGTATTTCTGGTGCCTCGACCTGGAAGTTCGCAAGCGTGGACGGCGGCGTCGATCCTGACGTCGTGCTTGTCGGCATCGGCGTCGAGGTGACCTTTGAGGTTATCGCCGCAGCAACGCTCCTCCGCCAGCGCGTACCCCAGCTACGCGTGCGCGTCGTAAACGTCATGGACTTGATGATCCTCGAGCCCTTCGGCACGCATCCGCATGCGTTGACGGAGCTCGACTTTGAGGCTCTCTTCACGAAGGACCGCCCGATCCACTTCAATTATCATGGATATGTCAACGAACTGAAGGTGAGATATACCTACCTATCGTGTTCCGCGCCAGTCGCTTATCTTCTATTGCGCAGGGTTTGCTCTTCGGTCGACCGAACACGCACAGGGTCACGATGGAAGGGTGCGCAGCCCCACCTTCGTTTTCCCTGTCGCGCCACACTCACGCTTCCACCACAGATACCGCGAAGAGGGAACGACGACCTCTCCATTCGCCATGATGCTTCTGAACCATACGTCGCGGTATCACGTCGCGGCGGCTGCGGTGCGTGGCGCAGCGGCGCTGAATCCGCGCGTAGAGGTGGACGCCCACACGGCGATCAGCGGATTTATGCACGAGGCGCAAAAGGCCCAGCAGTACATCCGGGAGCAAGGAGAAGATCCGGAGGGTACATTCGACGTGCCAAAGTTTGAGTAGAGTGCAGAGGGGTGTGGAAGGTGTTGTGTATCGCGACTCGTAAGGAAGACTTTCAAGCTGTTTGTACGATGTGTGCCACAAACCGAACGTTCGTTCGCAAATGCAATGTGGAGTGACCGGAATGACGGTTGGCTCATGATAGCGCTGAGTGTCCTCAGATACCGCCCTTCTCTACTGATACAACGCCCGTGCGTGCGGGATAAGAAGCACTACACGCGTGTACAAGTTGTGTAGATATGCCTCGCTGTTGAGACGGTGCGTCCGGTTCGTGATCTCCCTTGGTCGTGTAGCTTACAGCTGTTCTGCAGGGCTATGCTTGAGCGGAGGTACCGGCGTATGTCTACGGAGACTCATATGCTCCAGCCAAAACTTCAATATGTCGTGCCTGAATGTCTGACCATTCCCGTGCGTGGGGTATCATATTCAACTTCCGTTGAGGATCGTCGCAAGACTCGACGATGCGCTCAAACCGAGAAGCACGATGTGATGCATGTCCCCGGGAGTTGCCTGACAGGTCTTCGATGGGACGCGAAGGCCTCCCAGTATAGAGGATGGTCGATGTCCCAGGTCGTGTTGTCTCATGGGGTACGGAGATGAGTTTACGTGGTGGGTGCGGTCTTATTCTGATTGCAGACGCGCAGTTATAAGCTTCAATGAATTTGATACCTGCAGCTTCGGCAACGTGGTCGCGGCGATGTGCGTAATGCACGATAAAAGACAAGGACAGCCCTTGCTTTGCGCCGTACCGACCCACCATGGACATCATCCAGGGGATCAACAGGAGCCACGGCCTAGCCGCGGACCAAACCCAAGGCTCTAATGTTGACGCTGTCGTCGTAGCGTTGAGAGGCAAGCTGGAGCGAGCCTGTGAGAGGTAGGCAGAAGTGCTGCCTCAGTTGATGTATCTGATTGGTTCGGTGCAGGCTCTCGAAGGACCTCTACAACAGCCAGAGCCACTTCATCCTAGAATTCGTTCAGAATGCCGACGACAACCACTACGATTCCAACGTGGTCCCGACGCTAAACCTACGTATGAGGGACCGTGAAATGGTCATTGAGTGTAACGAGAAGGGGTTCGACGAGGATAACGTGAAGGCGATATGTGACATTGGTGCGAGTACCAAGGCGAAAGCCAAGAAAGTCGAGGGGTACATTGGTGAGTGACATTGGCAAGTGACCGGTTCTATACTGGAGCTGATGTGTCGTGACAACAGGCGAAAAGGGTATTGGTAGGACCCGTGATGTTGCATCTCATGCGCGTGTATTGACTTGAGACTCCAGGATTCAAGGCAGTCTTCGTTGTCGCTCAACAAGTTCATGTCGCGTCGCGCCATTTCATGTTCCGATTCGAACGCGATGGCACGCTGGGTATGATCAACCCTATCTGGGATACGTCGTACCCTATCAATCATGGCTGGACGACGTTCCACCTGCAGCTTGCGCCGGTGGTGGACCGGAGTGATCTGGAGGAGCAGATTGGCGGCATCCAGCCGTCCTTATTGCTTTTTCTCCGGAAGCTGCGTTCGATCGACATCGACATAGCCAAGGGGAAAAAGAAGCGATCGAGTCTGGTCTCAGTCCGACGGATTGACGAATCAGACGACATCATCAGACTCGAACGTCACGAAAACTCCAGATGTGTTTTGAAACGCAGGTACATTGTGGTGAAGAAGATGGTCAACACATACGTGCATGAAGAGAAGAGGAAGGGCATCGAGCAGAGCGAGATCATCCTCGCCTTCCCTATCAATGATGACGGACAGCCGGAAACCACCGAACAATACGTGCACGCTTTCCTGCCCGTGGCAACGTATGGGCTGAATGTGAGCGTTGACTTCCTTACATATGTGCATCCAATGACTCACCTCCAGTCCGTTCAAGTTCGTGGTCCAAGGAGATTTCTTGACGTCCTCCAGCAGAGAAGACATCATTGCGGACTCGCAATGGAATCGTGTTCTGCTGGAAGGGGTCACGGCTACGTTCCTAGTTGCCGTGGCGCGCTTTCGACAGCACCACGATCTCCGAGATAGCTGGATGCGATACATTCCCTTGAACGCCCGAGGCCCTTTCAAGGCTGTCCAGGATTCCATCTTCCAATCACTCAGAACGCAGCGTGTCCTACGTGACGTCCTTGACAATGATCAACTACCAACGAACCTCATCACCATCCCTACCGACTTCCAACTTTCCCGCGGAGATCCCCTGATCGATGCATCGGACTTGCCACCCTCCAAATATTATATATCAAGTTCATACGACGTCGATCGTGACTGGGTTTATCTGTCCAAGCTCGGTGTAACAGCGATGTCAACCCAGCAGTTCTTGGAGGGCTTGCGGACCATGGATAGACGAAATGGATTCGCGCGTTGTTCCGAGGAGTGGCACGAAATCGTCTGTCGGTACCTACGGGTTAACGTCTCGAGACGGCGAGGGCGCTTCGATCGGGACATACTCAACCTTCGCATCCTTCCTTTGGCAGACGGCACTTGGGGTCATGCAGCATCCGCATCTGAGTACTGCTTCCCTGCCGACCTCGATCTCTCACACCTTGTCGGTCTGACATTCATCAGTTCGGAGGTCAGGTCATATACGTCGAGATATGCGTTCTTTGAGGCGCTAGGAGTCCGTCCAGCAAATGCGACCGTCGTGGCCAACCATATCCTCCAGTCCCACAGAGCTTACACTCTATCGGATATGGTCCGCATCGCACACTTCTTCTTCAACCACCGAGACGATCGTGGGTTCCCCAGTCCGAAGTCTCGTCTTTTCGTCATGGACGAAGGCGAGGACGAGGCTCTGGGCCACGAGCTATACCTGGATGTCACGTTGGCGGACGGCCAAAGCCTACGTTCACTCCTACCCCACACCCGGTTCCTCCATTCAGCATATATCCCGCCGTCAGCATATCAGACATCACTGGCGAGCTGGCGTTCATGGCTACAAGACCACCTTGGGATCCACACTCGTCCGCGAATCGTCAACGGGAGAATGTCTCAGGAGTTCCGGGAGATGACACAGTCACTTTCTCATGCTCCCGGAAGGCTCCTTGGTGTACTGCGGCAATGTTGGCCAATCGTGTCCGAAGAACTCTCCCAGGACGGTCTGGGCCAACTGTCGCAGGTTGCTGTGGTCTGTACGGATGGCACACAGCACAAGCTAGCCGAGACGGCGCTCCAGAGGCGCTCTCTCAAGTTGATGCAGATCCCGTCTCAGAGCATTCATTTCATTGACGTGTCGAATCCGGATGACAAGCAATGGGACTTCCTAGGGGAGCTCGGCGTCATGTTGGAACCTAATGCCCACGCTTGGTTGGAAGTCCTGAAAAGACTGCAGACGACGGAACCTGCGCCGGTGACTCTGACTCGTGTAGTCAAGGAAGCATACAAGCAGCTCGATGCCAGGTTCAACGAAGCTCCTGATGACATACGGTAGGTATGGAATGAAACCGAGCAGGCAGTTCTCTGACCACGCGCAATATGTAGCCGAGCTTTCCGCGAACACCCGCTGCTCCTGCGCACACCACGCGACGACACTTTCACAAAACTACAGTGGGTAGGCATGAATGCTGCCTATTGGCAGGGGCCGTCGTACCTCGAGGACATTCTGATCGGACCCTCGCATCCGGGGATGACAGATTTCTTCGTCGAGAAGCTACGGCTACCCAGCCTTGCTCCTCCGAGTGCCGTGATTGACCGACTCTTACGCATCGCGGAGACCCATGCTGACAAAAACTTGCCCAAAAGTGAGCGATCCGTCGTGGAGGAAATTCTTTTGACTCTGGCGTGGTGGTGTGCTCAGTCGCCACGCAATGTGGCCGCCATTTCCGAGCTGAAGAGACTTCGCGACAAGGCCATCTTCCCAGTTTGGTTGACGACAGCAGAGACCGTCACACTTCGAAGTGTGGATGGCTTCTACGTCCATCGGTCCTGTCGTGTAGCGGAAGAGAAATTGAGGGGCCGCGTGCCTCTGCTGGCCACCACACCACGCCTTCGCATCCCTAACATTAAGCCACTGCTGGATAGCGAGATATGGCCAACTCCGATCAAGTATTTGGAGCCTCCTGTCCTGGAGGTGAACCACGAGGTCCGGGGTCAGGCTGACGCAGTGCCGTCGCTCGGAGGGCTATACACCGATCCTTACAGGTTGCAGGTTCTTCTCAGGTACGTTGCGACGTGACACTTATGTGAAACGGTGCTAACTCAAATGCGTAGCATTCTGGGACATACGTTGAGCGATCGAGCTCAGCGGGAGTCTAACGAACTGCGATTCTTAACCAAGATGTCTTCCTTGAGTGTCTACATGGTCGACGCGATCGTGGAAACCATCTCTCTACTCGCCGAGAACTTCTCGGAGGAGACTGAACTTCCGTCGCACCTGGAAGAGACAACCGACGCTGTCGTGGTTTTAGTTGCACGGACTCTGTCAAGCAAATATACGGAAACAGAGGTTGCGCTACAGCTCAGTCGACGCCTACGCATGGACCCTTTGGCATTGATGAACTACACGAAGGCATCCCCTGAACTCCTGGACCACATCCTCGCCAGCAAGGGGATAGACCATCTGCCTGCGGACTACTCCGAAGCTTCCGAAGAGGACAACAAGTTTGCCTGGGATCAGGACCAAGATCTGCAACAGATGCCCAACAGCCCTCAAGCTGCCAACGTCCGCACTACTCGCAGCAATCGTCGGGCATCTAGGCTGCGCGGAGCCACGTCGGGATCGACTGTTGCCACGACGGCATCGCTGTCCGAGCAACGCTTGCTGGATGAACCCCAATCGCTAGGCGACCAAGTGAACGACGCGATCTATAGCCTTGAGGAGCACCTTGGGTCCGTGCCACTCGATGCAGATGCAGTGTACACAGCCGATTCACTGGAGGACACTCCGTCAGAGGTCGACCTCTCCTCTCTGATGACATCGCTGTCGAGGCCTAAAACAAGTGTGTCCTCGACGCGGGGAAGTATGCAGAAACGCGCAGACACTCCACAATCAGCGATGACGACTTCGGAGGAAAGTGATTGGGCTTCAGAGAGTCTATCGGAGACGACGGCGGAGGTCAACAGCACAGTCGGTGGCACCATGGCGGGAACGACGTCAACCATCGCTAGCTTCGTTGCTTCTCTTGCTTCAACAGCCGCGGCGGAAGCCGCGGTGAGTGACTACCAGATCGTCAATGGAATACTGGGCGAGCGTTACGTGAGTGGCGATCATTTCATGGAAACACGCTTACTGAATGTGTCTACTTGGACAGGCTTACGCGATATTCAGCAAGCTTCTAGGTTCAAGCTTCGGGCCAGACAACTGGACGAGCGAGCTTCGTGGGCAGGTACCCGGCTTCACACACTACGAGGGCGGCTCCCTTGCAGACTTCCGCTGTCCGGACGATGATGGTATCTTGACTGGGCTGTGGTATGGAGGAGAAGTGAAGCGGCGCTGGCAGTTCGAATGGCCGACGTTCCATATCGAGGTGAAGTCAACGTCTGGGTCCGGTGAACAGCCGTTCCATATGAAGCGCGCGCAGCTCCGCACGGTGAGTCTCCGAACCGAATCCTCAGTATTGATTATTTGTGTGTTTACATACTTACTGTACGCTCGCAGGCCTTACAATTGACAGGGCAGTCCGAGAGTCTAGAGTCGCCCCCGAGGCATGTCTACGTCCTCATGCGCGTATTCAACATACGCACCCGTCCTGGATACAAAATCTTCTTGGATCCGCACCGTTGCGTCTACAAGGGAGGACTGGTAATCGAGAGCGATGTAGAGATCTCTGTAAGCACGAATGTGCTGCGTACCGCGTAGGAAGCGCGAGGGTGTCGTCGTGAGGTTGGAGCATTCGAACGGGCAATTGTAGGTTGACGTGGGTAAGACGATAGCGCTAAGTATGTTGGGCATGATGACTAGTAGATTCAACTTAGTGTACTCCGGTGTACGCAGCGGCTGCTGAGTGAGTGATATGATGACCTGCCCTGATCTTGTACTTGTACACATGTAGCAGAAGATGTCCATGAGCATTGGAATCAATTTGGGAATCTGACGAGTTTGCCTCAGGCAGTAGTGACCTTCATGTTCAAAGAGGAGGGCAGGCAGACACGCACTTGCGACTCGAGCTTGGACGCGTGCGTGACCGCGCGAGACGCGCTTGTGGCGTGGCGCGGGAAGATGAAGACTTAGATGGTCTCCTCCTCTCCTATTTGTGTCTGGACCGCATGTGTGGCTATGCCATCTGTGAACCCTAATACAACTGCAGCGGCAGCCTGTCTGCCCTGGCACGCGTGTCGTACTGCACGAAACGCCCGTACCTTGTTCAGTTCCTCTGCTATACCTTCGCCATTGTCGCCCCATGGACCTCGTCCGGAAGATCAACAGGAACCATGGTCTCGGCGACCGGGACATAAAACGATCTGGGAATGACCCAATTGTAGTCCTGAGAGGAAAGTTGGAAAGGGCATGTGAGAGGTACGCAGGCAGCAGTAGTCTGTGTTCCGCGAGTAGCGTTGACAACGGCTTGGTATAGGCTGTCGCGAGACCTGTACAACACGAAGACGCACTTCCTCCTTGAGTTCATTCAGAATGCCGATGACAATGAGTATGAAACACACGTCATTCCCAGTCTACAGCTGCACCTCCATGCCTGCGACATGATCATTCGGTGCAACGAGAAGGGGTTTCGAGCGGACAACGTGGAAGCAATCTGCGACATAGGTAACAGTACCAAGAGGAGAGAGACGAGGTCGGAAGGCTACATAGGGGAGAAGGGCATAGGTGCGTGATAGCTTGTTTTGCTGTATCTACATGATTCCAGCGGGGCCTAGGTTTCAAGGCCGTCTTTGTCGTTGCGGAACGAGTTCACGTCGCATCCCGAGAGTTCACCTTTCGGTTCGATCGCGATGGACCACTAGGCATGATCAACCCAATATGGGACGCGTCATATCCCAGCGACCCTGAATGGACGACATTCCGCCTTAATATTCCCCACGACATGAACATGGACGACTTACGCGACCAGATTCTGACTATCCAACCATCCCTGCTTCTGTTCTTGCGTAGACTCCGTGCGATTGACATTGACGTGTCCACAAGCGAGCTACCGGCCGTTGACAGTACTAAGATCACCATTTCCAGGCATGACGAATCAGCCAATATCGTCAGACTCGAGTGCCACGAAAATGGGCGTTGCAAGTCCAGTTCCAAGTACATCGTGTTCAAACAAATCATACGGACCTTCACGGGAGAGGAGAAGCGTTACGGTATAGAGGAGAGTGAAGTTATCCTCGCATTTCCCGTCACGGCGGACGGGGAGCCCGATACTGGCAATCAATTCGTACACGCATTCTTACCTGTCGCCAAGTATGGCCTAGACGTAAGCCATAATCAATGGGTGCACATCGGGCGTTTCTAACAATCGAATATCATAGTTCGTCGTTCAAGCAGACTTCCTTACACCATCCAATCGAGAGGGCATCGTCATGGATTCCAAGTGGAACCTGGCGCTGCTCGAGGGCATTGTCGATGTTTTCTTACATGCCGTCGAGCAGTTTCAACATGACCCTGTTCTGCGGGACTCTTGGGTGCGCTTCATCCCCATTCATGCGCAACCTCCGTTCTCCGCGGTGGCCGACAAGATCGTAACGAGGTTGCAGGCCCGAGAGGTGCTGCTTTCCGTGGACGGCCGCTACCGACGGCCAACGGACATCGTCACCGTCCCCAAGGGCTTCCGCATCAGCCGCACCGAGCCGCTCATTCCTCAACAGTACATCCCCTCGGTCTACTACATCAGCCACTCGTACGACGCTTCCCGCGACCGAGAATATCTGGCCAAGCTCGGGGTCAAGCCACTGTCTGACCAAAACTTCTTCGACGGTCTCGTGGCGATGGATCGCGCGAACGTCATAGGCGTTCAAAGCGAGCAGTGGCACAATCCTGTTTGCGCTCACTTGAGCAGCACGCTGCTGACCAAGGGAAAGCTCGACCTCCGCCTGATTCCTCTCAATGACGGGTCTTGGCGTCCGGCACGAGAGGCTGGGCAGTACGTATTCATGTCCAAACTGGACATCTTGCAGGACGTGGAGTTCAAGTGCATCTCGAACGATGTGAAGGAGAATACCGCGAGATACACTTTCCTGCAGACGCTAGGCGTGCGCCGCGCTGATATAAATCTTATCGCGACCAAAATCCTCATGGAGGTTAAGTCGTCTACATCCCTACCGACGCTGATACACTACGCGCGGTTCTTCTACGACAATCGCAATGAGGCCGGGTTGCCTCGCCCTTCTGCTCGCTTCAAGGTGATGGACGAAAATGGCCGCATTGCGATGAGTGATGAGCTCTACTTGGAGCTGCCCAAGGGTACGCCCGGTCACGACGTCAGGCTTCGCGACGTCCTGCCCTCTGACGCGCGGTTCCTGCACCGGGACTACGTCAGGCTGTATGCCCAAGACCGTTACTGGCTGTCGTGGCTGCAGGACAGCCTTGGCCTTCATACCTCGCCTCGAATCATCTTGGGACGAGTGTCGCCTGAAATCTACTCCATGGCACACAACCTCGAGACCTCTCGGTTCCTCGCTGCTCTCCGTGCCTTTTGGCCACAGATCTCGACGGATATCACACCGTCCGGTCTTCATGACCTATCCAACATCGAAGTTGTCTGCGATGACGGGGTAGCATATTCTCTTGCGACCACGGCCTTGAAGCGGCGGAATTTGTCGTGGTTGCCGGCTGCGCTATCCTCCTGCCTACGCTTCCTGCCACTTTCCGATCCCGATGACTTGAGCTGGAGCTTCCTAGCTAAGGTCGGTGTCACCATGGAGCCCAATGCAACCGCGTGGATCGGTATGCTCTTCCGACTGCAAGAGATCAACAGCACAGACGAGAACGCAGTCACCAGTGTATACCAGCAACTTGACGCCAGGTTCATCGAGGCTGCCGACTTTATCCGGTGCGTGGACCCTGTACATAGCATAGTCGAGCGTACTTCATGCATTCCGTTACAGTGCATCCTTCTACCAGTATCCGCTCATACTCGCGCCGTCAGATGGACAGAACCGTCCCGTGGCATCTTGGGTTGGTTTCCACGACGCGTACTGGGACGGACCGTCCACGCTCCGCTCCAAGCTTATCGTGAAGTCGAAATATGCGGCCCTAGAGGACTTTTTCTGCCGCAAACTGGGGCTGCAGAATGCTCCGCTCGAAGTTCTCGTCGACGAACTGAATACGTTCGCATCTGCACACGAAGGACGCCCCATGACAGAAGACACCGTCGGAGTAGTCGAACAGATGCTATTGGAGATCAGCCAATACATTGCATGGGCACCCGCAAAACAATTTGCTCTCCTCTGTCTCGCCGACAGGCCTATATTTCCCGTGCATGTCCAAGGAGAGATCCGTCTGCAAAGGATTGACCAATTCTTCATTTCCGAGAAGGGCGGCAAGAGCATAGAGCGGTTCCGGGACTCAGTTCCCCTGCTAGCCTTTTCCAGTGCACAGACACTCATCCAACTACGGCCAATACTCGACAGCAACGTCTGGCCGAGTCACCCAAAAGTGCTTGAGGCATCCCTCGTGGCGAAGGCCATCACTCTAGGCGTGAAGACAGTTGATCAAGACACGACAGACTTGTACCGTGGGAGATCTGAATACATGGAAAAGTAAGACCTACCCACAATCCGAGTCGTCGGTATTAGTCTGACATCCCGGCGGTGCAGGTACGTGCAGCACATCACGAAGTACTGCCCGTCGGCCAGGCAGATGGAATTCCTCGCAAAAATGAAGAACGCGTCGATCTGCATCGTCGACACCGTCATAATCATGTGGATCCTCGCCGGGAACACGGTCAATGTTCAGTCTGACGTAAAGGTCGCCATCGAAGAGAGGGAGACGGACGCGGTCTTCTATGTGTCGAAGGCATGTTCGTCCATGCCACGCACCCGCGATCGCGAGATCTGCAGCCTCCTCGGTGACCGAGTAGCGATCGACAAGCTGGCCCTCCTGCAGTTCGTCTCCATGCCGTGGGACGACTTGCTGCTTTACCTGGAGGATGAAGGTGTTGATACCAGCACATGCATCCCACAGACAACGCAGGAATCAGTTTACGAGCAACAGCAGGCCGATTCCGAGGAGACAGTACCAGAATCGCGCCCTGAGCCATCAGAACCTCAGTACTTGCCGATCCAGACAAACACACCTCTCGACAGTCAACAGTGGCCTGTGCTCGAAGATTCTGTGCAGACTAGTAGCGTTGAGACCCCATTGTCTGATCCCACTCATGTCCAACCGTTTTCGCCCGGGCGGAAAATGGGTAATGCAGCATGGCGAACACAGCCCTCAGCGTCGCGCTCACCACCGACGATCAACAATGCTCATCGCAGGCGGTCGTCTAGTGTCGTTGATCGCAACACGGTACAACAGCTAGCAATGTCATCGGCCACAGCAACCCTATCCTCTGTTCCTGCTGTTCCTCCGCAGAAAGCGGACCTTGGCCATGGAGGACACACGGATGAAGGTGGCGCGTTCTGGCGAGAAACTGAGCGAGACCCTGCGAACGGTGTCCTTGGCGAGATCTACGTAAGTGTGCACACAATGCAACCGCGCCATAAGCTCACCTCAGGCTGCCTCTGTGGCTGTCAGGTATTCAACATGTTGCAGCGTGAACTAGGACCTAACTTTACTGAGGCCAACTGGACGAGCGAACTTCGAGGTCAAGTACCCGGCTTTAATCCGTACGGCGGAACGTCGATCGCCGATTTTCGGTATCTGGACAAGGATGGCGTCCTGACAGGTCTGTGGTATGGACAGCAGCGGAAGAGGGCATGGAAAGGCCGCTGGCCTACCTATCATGTGGAGGTGAAGACGACGTCTGGTGTCGCTACAGAGCCTTTCCACGTGAGCCATGCACAGCTGCAGGTGGTACGTAGTCCTGTGCGTCGAAACTGTTGGATACTAATGCGATTCGTATTGACCTAAGGCTCGCCAATTCAGCAATGCTGTGCGGGGCAATTCGAATCGTGGGGCACCTCAAGATGTGTACGTGATCCTTCGCGTGTCGGAGATCAAGAGCTCTCAGCCGAAGCACGAAGTCTACATCGATCCGCACCAATGGATGTATGAAGGTAGATTGGTGATCAAGTGCGACGTCGACCTCGCCCCCGAGACTCAGTGATGAGCAGATGGTGGACCGATACTTCATGTCCAGATACCAAGCAGTAAGCAGAGACCACCTGATCATTGGTGCGCATCTGTACTAGCATCCACATAGTCTACTACGCAGCATGTCACGCATGTATCGCAACTCCGATGTATTCGCTGTTGAGCATAGGATGCAAAGCCTTCTGTTGCCGTACATTTCGATTGCATTCGTTCCAGACCACGATTAAATGTGCCATACAAGGATCAGTCAGTCTGCGTTGTCATTCGTATCAGTCCTGTTTGCAAGCTAATCGTTGCTACATCCACTGACATTAGCAGCTGTCACTAAAGGCATAGCATGCAATAACTAGAGGCATCTATAGCGAGTAGCATCATCCGAGTCGGTATCCTTGCATACATGACAGGTCGTTACAACATGACTACTACCACAGCCCAAAATCCCTCGGTATATACACGTACCACCAGATTACACCAAATACATACGCTACTCGGCCAGTCAGAAAAATCAGAGCGCGGAGGTCCCGGCCAGGCCGTCTCACACGACCTTTTCGTCTACGCTCTCCGGCTCCTTCAGATTCGAGTCGTGCGACGCGATGGTAGGTGTCGCCTCGTCCTCGATGCCCATGAGCGACGTGTCGAAGCCGTGCGCCTCGAGGTACAAGCGGAACGCGCGGTCCTCCTCCTCCATGCCGTCGTGCGAGAGCGGCTTTATGAGGAAGAACGTGACGAGCGCGCTGAGGAGCGCGAGGCCCGACGCGATCCAGAACGGGCCCGTGTTCCCGCGCTTGCTGGTGTCGCCGCCAAAGTCGTTCACGATGTCCTGGAACACCCACGTCCCGATGAACGCGCCGATCTTGCCCACCGCCGCGGCGACGCCGTAGAACTGGCCGCGCACCGCGGTCGGGCCCGTCTTCGCCGCGAGCATGCCGAGGCAGTTGCCCGGCCCGAGCTCGCCGAAGGAGAGGAAGATCCCGTAGACGACCGCGAAGGCGGCGATGTGGTTCGTCAGCTGGTCGTAGAGGCCGCTCATGATGAAGCCGATGGTAGCTTGGCACACGAGGCCGGTGATCTGGGTGTACTTCGGGCCGAGGTAGTCAACGACGAATGCGCCGCCGATCGTGCCCGGGATGTAGAACAAGCTGGACATCACGGTCAGCGGTGAAAGGGCAGACGGAATGGGGCAACGTACTTAATGACGACGTTCCAGCCGAACACGACACTCAGCGCGCTGGAGTTGTTCGTGATGTTATCCACGACCGTCGACGAGAACAGACCGAACTGCGCATATACTCAGTCTCTGCGGCCCAGATGCATCACGAGAAGTACAACTCACTGGATATGTGATGAAGTCATAGATGAACCACGTAATGCAGATGCCGAGGAACTGAACCCAGTACCTACGGATGATGAGGAAGTACGGCGTCTTGATGCGCTTCATCGAGTCCCGCTTGAACCGCGTGGGTTCCTCCATCCTCAGCCGCCAGATGAAGACCGCAATGGCGGGGATCATACCGAGACCGACGGAGATACGCCATACGGCGCGGAGGTGGTGCTCGCCGAAGATCCAGTAGAGCACGAGGGGAACAAACGCAGAGACGACGAAGCCGACGTCGATCATCGAGTCTACAAACATGCATATACTCGTCAATCGCTCGCATCGCGCGGGATAAGAGGAGATACGCACTGGTCGCAAGCGCAAACCACCGGTGCTGGGCGTTCTTGCTGATGCCTGGTTCTTCCGACTGTTCTGAGGCGGCGACGGACCCGCAGGGGTATTCCGCGCCTACCCCGATACCGATGAGGAACCGCATCGCGCAGAGCATGTCGAGCATGCCCCGCACGCTGTGGTGCGCCCCGCTTGACGCCGCTGAGAGGCCAGAGAAGAGGGCGACGATACCAGTCGCGAGCATCTACAAGGCGGCATGATTAGCCAGGAACAAACGAGTCAGACGGAGGTGGGAGATGCGAGCCGGGAAGAGGAAGCCCATGCCGCGGAGGATGGGTCCACTCGCGACGGTTGCTTCGACAGCGCCTCTCCCAACACGTCCTCGCAAAGATGGAGCTCCACTCAAGTTGACAAGGCAGTAGAAATGTATAGCCGCAGTCAGATATGCCGCTGCAGACATGTCCACTGCCGACTGCCAGATGCCGCTCTCGGACATGGAACTTCTGGATTGCAGAGGACAAGATAGGCCAGAGGCGCACACCTGTCTTTCCGTCATATCCTCGCACGCCTCCCGTGTCGCAGCATTGCACATCATGGGGAGATACTCACCATACCAAACTTCCGGCTTATCCTGTCTGAGACGTAGCCGAAGACGAGCATGCCGACAACGGTGCCTGCGAAGGCGACCGAGGTGAGGGTATTGCTGTATCTGGTGTCAACCTCACTCGTGCCATAGATGCGCTTGAGGAGAGTGTTCACTGAGGGTCGAGAGGAGTGAGTGTATGCGCGCGAAAGCGGGGAGAATACACGTACCGCTCCCAATGATGTTGTTGGCATAGCCTGCCAGCGATCCAAGTCAGCTCCCATACCCCACCAAACTTGGACAATATCGGTACCGTCAGAGAACAAAGCGGTTCCGCAACTGGCACAGAAAGTGAGTGTGGCTGTGAATGCTGCAAAGACTGAAGACGTACGCGAAGATGAGGGAGACCTGGCTGAGGCCGAGGTGTTTCTTGCCGGTGGATGCCATTGTTCGAGTCGACGCTCTCAGCGAAGGGAGGCAGACTGGACGGGGATGGTAGGACGGGCGGGACGAGGACCATCGGGCTGATATACGGTTTGTGGGGAGCAGCGAAGATGATGCTCCGGCCAATTCTGCTATCTTTTCTCCATGATGGCCCTGAGTTATGTCCATATTCGGCATATCTGCCTGCGCACGTTTGTCTCCGTTTGTCCGCGCTCCAGACAGAACTCTGGCCCACCCCGCCCGCCTGCCTCGCACAGCCTTCTCTCCTCCGGGCGCGCCAACGTTCGTGCGCGCTGGCTGGTTCGTCGACGAGGGCGTGTGCTGGAAGCGGACTGCTGTGCTGTGACAGCCCGGCTGGTGTCGTCCATGTGCAACACAGAGCGGACGCGCTGATAGGGACGACCCATCCACTGCATACGATCGGTGATCTCGCCAACTCAATTTTGGGCAAGATCCCGGGGCACTTGCCGCTCAACTGAGCTCGTCCTGGAAGAGCACCCACATCGTTGCAAAAGTTTGTCTGTTTATCTCGTCGCACATCTCGTCGCTAGTGTTTCGCACTGTGCATTCCTGGCAGTCGAGTGCGATTTTTGCGTTCAGGGGTCGTCGTCGGTCGATCGCGATCGAGTCAAGTGTCGCTCCTGTCCCAACGCGCCTCCTCCGAGCAGACTCCGAGCGCACGGACCTCGTTCCACCAGCGGCCGGAACATACACAGCGACCATTCTTCGCACAAATCGTGCTCAAGTCTCAGCTAGCTATAGCGCTAGGTCGCCAGTGCGCAGTCCGAGTCTCACGCAAGACAGACAAATCGACGTCATCAGCGAACGAATCGCCGGCGGCACTCGCGCACAGAGATCCGAATGTGTGAGCCAGATCACTTTGACTTCGCCCCATGCTTCTTGCGTCCGCCTGGGCTTCCTCGCCGCACGCATCTTCCACAGCCCACGCTGTCACCCGTTCAGAGGATCTGTGCTGAGCCTGTTCCGTTTCTACCTTTGTCTTCTTTCATTTACGCCCGGGCCTTCGCTGCCAGTAATCTGCCGACCGCCCTGGCGCATGCGGGTAGGTTTGCATGCACGTTCGTCGGGAGCGCTACGCACCGCACGAAACACTGCGGTGATGACGAATAGAGGATGTGAGCACTGCCCGTGGAAGTGGAAGTGGAAGTGGAGGTCCGTGTACCCCGGTACTCGAGCGAGCAGCACTGAGGAACTTGAAAACGCTACCAGCATACTGCACACAACGGCTCGTGGTTGTATGCGGTCGTACCGTCCGTCTCGACGTCACTTTGTCTGGCCGCCCGTACAGTATAGGCACATCGAGCCCACGGTGGTGAGTCGGGTTGTCGGCATCGCTCGCAAATGCGTCACGCTACGAAGGTAAGTAGCATGGTGCATGGGAGCCCTTGTGCGCGATCGCGCTTCACTTCAAGTGCAGTCCTCGAGCGCATGAAGCAGGCATCCTGCTCTCCGAAATCGATGCCCGATGCTCGCCACTGGCCCCCGGGGCACACATAGCGTATGTGCCTCTGTGTCCCCACATCGCGACAATTCGTTACTTACCAATATTTCCTACCTTGCAGGGCGCCGATGTGCCTCGTCGATTACGTGCGTCGACGCTTTCATCACCTGCGTCACCGCGACAGGATTATGTCCCCTATCATTTACACTATGGCTGCTCTTAAGCTTCGCTTTGACCATCTGACCGACCGCTTTCAGTTCAGCGTCGCGCTTTGTTGCGCCGTCGCTATGGTCACAGGCACGCAGCCGCGGGGCCACACAACGCTTTGTGTGGCACGAGGGCGACGAGCTCAACAATGCCCCTGTTCCCTCCGGTATATAAGGGCCCTGCGTGAGGGTAGACGAACCCATCATCCTCTCCGGCCCCATTCGAACACTCACTCCCAATGACACGCATGAAACATCCCATAGGCCGTCTAGGTCTCAGCCCAAGCCACTCTCAAGCTTCGCGCTTCCTGATTCAATCGTCACTCCACGCTGGGTCGCCGCCCGGCGCGTTCTCACGTCCGCGTAGTACGTCCCCTTCATCACTGGCACGCTCACAGGATCTCAGGTACTAACAAAGCGCACAGGCCGACGGGTCTGAGTATTCTATGCCAGCCCGACATCCTCCAGCGGGAGTCGAGATCCGGCGTGCGGGCTGGTGCACGGCCGTTCCTGCCTCTCGCCTACGAGCGAAGGGATCAATGGGAACTGCAAGCAACGCGGGTGGGGCAGAGCGTGAAGAGGGTGATTCAGGCCTGTCGATCGCCATGACATGGCTATGACCTACCGTGGTACCGCGCGCACTCCTGGGCCGACGACAGGGCCGCTGGAGGAAGTACCCTGCGGGTCCCCGCCTTCACAGAGCGCGACTCAGACGCCCGATCGAGTCTCAGCGCACGCAAAGGCCCGGGCTTGCTGGCTAACGGGGCGGCCCGAAGGTGGGTATCCCGTCCTCGTTGGAGGGCCAGCGCGGTGTTTCGTGGGACTTCGGAGGTTTGGAGCTGCAGCAGTCCCTCAAGCGCCATATGGTATAGTCGCAACGCCTCCAAGATAAGCGGAAAGGGACGTGTCGACGTGGCACCCAGAGGATATCCCTGGCCTAGCGGGATCAGCGGAAGGGAGGGGAACAGAAGGGCTCCACGGGGGCAACGGTAAGCCGTCTGAGTCGAGTGGCCCTCACCGACGACTCTGATTGACTTTGCAGATGGAAGCAGATGAGCCTTCGAGTACGGCGTCCAAGCTGCAGCAAGGATGGGAAATCCATTTGCGGTTGCGTCTCAGGAAGTGAACGCCTTTCTCCAATGCATTCCCATTGCACATCCACCGTGGTGAGAGGACCTCGAGGAGGACACGAAGGCCGCACCAACACAGGTATCCAGAAAGAAACCAGGGAAAGTGGAACCATTGTAGGAGGTAAGTCCCTGCGCTCCACTACTGTGAAGGTGAGCCTCTTGCTGATGACAACATCAGACGTACTCGACCTAGCACCACTGCCATCCTGCCTCCCCGGACTGCGCTGTCCCTCGGTCGAGTAGGTAGAACATCCTCTCGGTGCGAGCCCAGTCCACTACCCCCGCACGGCTCGACTCGACGCGCCATGCCTCAACTGGCAGAGTGGAAGAGTACGGACTTTGGCCGCGGACTCGGATGGTTGGTGGTTGTATGAGAACCTTCGAGTTCCTGAACCAGCGGACTCGTTTCTTCGGCATTCGATGCACGCGATGTAGTGCTCGAGGGCTGCGCACCTGCGGACACAGCGAGAACGGTACGTCTACATACTACTTGAAGGTTCGCCTCTAAGCTTGAACTCATTCAATCTCCATAGTCATTCCACCGATATCTGAACGCCGATGACAAGCGGCACAGCTTCCTGCTTCACCGAGTCCACCGCTCCCTCACGGCGCGGTGGGCCTGGTCCAAAACCATCCTTGACACTTGACACGATTTCGAAACGTGCTCGTGCGACCTTGGTGAAGTTCCCGCAACTGCGAGCGCATACGCTCGATGAGGTCCCGCTCTTCGTCACCAAACCCACTGGCGCGGTGGGGCCACAGTCGTCGTTTTGTCGTACCACACCTCCATATCAAACGCGGACTGTTCGCGGATGTAAATGTATTATCTCTTTAGACCGCATACATCGCAACCATTCTGAAACGCTCTCGTCGTTGACGTTCGACGTTCCACCCTGGCTCTTCTTGCCGCCTAGTACGCGGTCCCATTAGACAACAAGTTCGACGCCATCCGGCCCGTCTCGCTCGCTGCCCTGCGTTCAATTGTGCCTTCTTGCGCCCTGCGCTCGCGCTCTAGGAACACGAACGATGCGACAACTTGGTCGCGGATCTCCTCTGCCCGTGCGTCCAGCGCGAGGGTCGCGACCAGCCTGTTAGTACCGTCGTCACTGAGTGTCTGGCTGAAGCTAGCGATAGGGTGCGTGCCGTCCTCGGCAGTGAAGAGCTAGGGATATGTTGAGGGTGTTAAACTCCGAGACGGACGCCCTAGACGAGATGCGCGTACCTGCAGCATCTTCCGGTGGCCATTTTCCCGCCACTTGTACTTCCGACCGCTCTCATCCTTCATGGTCACATCACTGATGCGCCATCATCAGTCCTCTCCACCATGCACTACTGGCATATTCATTAAGTGATTTGCTCACCGTTCGAACGGTAGAATGCTCCTACTCAGCCACTTTCCATATGCCACCGGCTTACCCTCCCCGATGCGTACCCTTGAGGAACTCAGCCCGAAGTCGCTCATCTCAAGCGTAGCCACGTTCGCGCTGAAGGCGTCGCTCACCCGGATGGCGGAGCCCCGTGAGGTGCGCGTCGCGCTCACTTTGTAAAGCAGCTTGCCGCTCGAGGAGAGGAACGTGGTGTTTATTGGATCGTCCGGATCGAGCGTCAGGACCAGTACGGGTGCATCCATGTTCGTTTCCTCGTTGTGTACTAGGCAGGTTCCCTGCTTCGGGATCAGCCGATCTCGCTATATGCCACGCTTTCGAGGTACGTACTTGTACATGTAGTAGGATTGCCTACACTCCTGCAAGCAAAAGCAGGTGATGCTATATACGTTCGCCAAGCTCACGTTAGGTCCGTATCTTGAGTGACCTCGTGAGGCGGTGCTGCAAGTACTTATGCCGCTCTAGGGCATCTATGCAGCACTTTGACTGATCGTAGTGCAAGCGAGCGCCCACCGCGAACCACTGGACCACCGGTACCGAGGATGTCTGCGCTCCTCACCGAGACCCACGCCCAGGGAGAAGACCAATGCCCCTCTACGTGGTCCGGGGGACAAGTAGCCTCTTCGGAGGTGAAACCAACTGCACTATAACAACCCCCGGTGGATACCAGACCGGAGGTTGCGGGCTGGAATGTCATTCCGCAACAGTCGCTAGAACTGGCCCGAGACACGACAGTGTCGACCAACTGATACACATGAACTATGTACCCAAAGGGGCCTTATGATATGACGCGGGGCACATCCATGCCGGCTGGAGACCTCCCCACGATGTTCAGTCTAGCGAGCTGACACGAGATGGTCCGAAGCCCTCGCAATAACCTCTCAACGACGCTGACGCTGTGACGACGCCGACGCTTGGACAACGTCCAACCACCCCGTATGCCGAAAGTGCCGCACCCATGAACGTACCAACAGCCAAAGAACTTAAATGAGATACCTCTAAGACGGTGTCGAGCCTGACGACCACGATGCCCGACATAGCAACGGATGCTGTGCCCCAACCGCCCAATCACGGAACAAACGGACCGTCCCTCGGCCCGCACCTAGCGCCAGATCGACTCTATGGAACTCAGGACACAAAAGCCGAACGACTAAGCCAAACCGGCTAAACAACGAGCCAATGGTTGGACCCAAGATGAACCGAAATGAACGCAACTAGTCGGAACAATCTGAGCCGGCGCCAAGCACGACAACCACCGGATAAATCGGTAGCGCCATGTGATCGAGACCGCGTATAAACGATTAATTCGTGCCGAGACAAGTCCCAAGCCAAAGGAGGAATCCCATAAAAGACGTGAACATGACATAGGAAACCAGCCCAACATGCCCCATGCCCAACCACAATATGCTCAACTATGTCCTGACCACAATATGCTCAACTATGTCCTCCCTCCTTATGCATAATCATAGGGCAAACAACATAAACGCCCGCACGTCACGTCACGTTTTGACGAATCCCTGAAGATATAAATCAGGATATTTCAACATAAAAGAGACGCGCACCACTTGACAATGTTCCTCACCTTCTCAGTTAACAAGAGGGAGCCAGACGCATCCGCTGCTCTGACAACAGCATCCCCTGAAGGTGCGTTATGCTACCAACCCTATACGTGAAGACATGAGATCACTAAAAATGTACCCAAGACTGTATACGTATTCGCGAACCCAACCCACCAAGTTATGCCGTCGCCGTAGACGTCTTCGTGTGCAAGGAGCCCGAAGTCGATACGTCCAACAACACGGAGACGTGGGTCGTGGACAAGCAACCAGAGAGGCACCTTGCCCGTGGCCACATCTTAACCCTGCGACTTGGAGACCAGGTGATAGGATCTGATCGGATCTCGGCAGTCGACGGCCTTACCCGCCACTGGGTCACGTTTCGCCTCGCCGGAGCACGTGATGGAATGCGAGTCCGCGTGCCGGTCCCATGGGTCGGCCTGAGCGGCTACATGTCCTACACCCACACGTCCCAATACCACGCGCTAGCCCCAACCCCAGAGGCCCACAGTGTGTTCAAAAACTCCCCTCCCTTCGCAGACCCAGACGCCAACCCATACGAATTCGAATTGACGACCGGGAAGGAGATCAGACTCCTCGCTAAGCTCAAGACGATCGCATCGATGCACGAGCAAACAGAGACGGTCACGGGGAACTGAGGCTGGGGAACACGTGATTACCTGTACAATTAGCCCGTTTTCGAGTCATGTGCTAAAGAATAGTGTCTGGAGCCAACGACCCAACCAGGAAGTCGTCATAACATCTAGAACACAGAGCGTGTCTGGACCGCATGACACGACACGAGGCGCAATAGGGAAGATCCACATCATCAGGAAACCGTGCAATTTCTGACGGTATGTGTGTCTGAGAGCCACCCTTCAGAGTGTCAGGAATCCTCAGGACATTCCAGACATCACATCTGGTCAGATCATCTCAGTTGGCTTCAGAAATCACCAGACAGTGTCAGATAGCACACTGAACCAATGTATTTGAAGAATACTACTACAATCATTATAATATATATGTTTACATGCACAAACGGGACATGTTTGCACGGAGACTCATCAAAATCTGCGGCTGCAACTGTTTGGCAGGATAGCGGAGGGTGGGGTGTCGACAGTGTAGTAGCATATGTAGTGGTGATTGATAAACTCACACACCTCGCGTTCACGCGTCTCTTCTCGTGCATCCCCTGCACGTCCACATCTGCACCATCCCTCCACATTCCCCGCGCTCGCTCTCAATCCGCGCCCATACGTCCAGAGCCACGCGTACCGGTCATCAACCAGTGCGGCCATGTCGAGGGTATGGGGCGTGACACGGAGCGTGAGGAGGCGGTCGACGGACACGTTTTGCGCGTGCTGGTCTGCATCCGGGCGGAAGTCGCGCAGCACGCGGAATGTTCCGCGGAAGTCGCGTGTGTGATTGCCAAGGACTCGGAGGCTGAGCAGCGACAGTAGAGCTCTACCTTGTCCGGGAGGGGGGTCATAACGGCGGAGGCCGATACGCTGCAAGGCCGATTGCAGTAAGTAGTAGGATGCGCGTACAACCACTTTCTAACTCCTCCTCTCCACGTCCACTCAAACAGAGACTGTAAAATGTGAATACGTGAGGACGGAGCGAGACAAACGTAGGTCGCGTGAACTGACGCTGCAAGAGGCTGTTCAGCCGTGCTACCCGGGACTGAACGCTGAGGTCGATCATCTTGTCATCAAAGTCAACAACGATACCACCTAGCACGACGGTCAATTTAGCCACGCACCAAGTTTTCGGCCACCTTAACCGACTTGGCCTTCTGCGCCACCCGTGACTGCTTCAGTGAGGACTCGAGCTTGCGCCGGATGTCACTGGGGAGAGGCGCAACGGAGGTGATGGCCACGGTGAGCTCACCCTTGTACTGGGAGACTAGCTCGTTGAAGCCCTCGATAACGCCGTGCGCCTCGGCGAGACGGCCGTTCTGGGAGAGGACCACGAAGAGGTTTTTCGTGATCTCGACACGGGCTCCTTCTTCGGAATCTCAGCAGCGGCATGGAGCACATTGAGTCCCGAGATGCGGTCGTTCGTGCGGAGGGTTGGGTTCGAGACGAACGCGTTGAGCTCGGGCACGCTCTTGATCGCGGACGAGAGTACGATAAGCTTAGACTGGAGCACGGCATTGACGACGGCGTTGAAACGCTTGAGCGCGAGGGAGGAGGCGGCGCGCTGGCCGAGCCTAGCGGAGGTGGTCGCTGCGCGGGCAGAGCAGAGCAACATGGTGCTGGTGAGGAAGAAGAGCGTTGGACCTAGAAAAGATGACGGCGTCAGTACCTCCAAATATCGAACAGCCGTACTCACTTGTATTATCCAAGACATGCCCCGCCTCCTCCGATCCTGTATCGCCCCCGCTTCCCCGTCGTACTTGCTGCGTACTTACTGCGCAGTGTCGGGCTTCTTGATTGTCGTTGAAGGTTGGTTGACTGGGAGGAGGAGGAGGGTCACGGACTCGCAGTACAAGTGCTAAGCGCCTCAGCCACGTCACGCTACTGACGGGCGCTTGCTACTTCGCTCGCACTTCACCACACCTCCTCCTCCTCACCACACGTTCGCCCTCGGCCTCAGCGCTCTCATTACCATCTCTCACCTTCTTCGCCACGTCGCCTTCTTGCCGCCTACCTCGAGAGCATACGTGCGAGTCCGTCCGCAAGAGACGTCGGCACGTGAATCGACACGCCACGCACCCTACAATCCGAGCGTGGCCCAACAGCCATAACGAGCTCCAGCGATGCGCAAAGAACACCGGGGGGCGAAGGATGGGCAGGAAGGAAGGAAAAGATGAGTACGTCGTCCTCATCTCACCCAACACCACAGCCCCCGATGTTCGGCGCGCCGCCCATGTTCTACGGTCCCGCGCAGTCAGCGCAGCAGCAGCAGGACCAGCGCGTCGCTGCGTGGCATGACGGACTACGACGCGTGGGCTGAGTGCTTCGCTCAAGGCGACGAGCACAGGCATGGTTCTAGAAGATTGGCGAGGCGTCGCACTCGGAGGTATTCGGCATCGGCGACGTCGTCCTGAGGGTCATTCCGCTGCGCGACGAGGAGCAGACCTCTTCCAGGGACGATGACGGGCTAGAGTCCCCGGCACCGAGTGACGCGAAGGACGTGCTGAAGGAGATCATCGTCACTCGCGCGATGGGTGAGATATGCCCCGGGTTCGTGAAGCTCTTGAGGACGTACGTTGTGCGCGGAACGTATCCTTTGCTGCTACTTGTCCTCTGGGACAACTACAACAAGAGGAAGGGCAGTGAGAGCGTCAGGCCAGATAAGCGATCCATCATGCGACTGCTCTGTGGACATCCCAACTCACGAAACATTTGCAGATACCTTCGGCATGTTGCAGTTGTACGCAATCATCGTCCTACCCAACGGTGGCCCGGACCTTGAGACGTTCACGTTCAAGACAGCGGTTGGAAGCAGGCGTGTAGCTTGTTCTGGCAGGTCGCGCAAACCTTGGCAGAGACCGAGGGTCTCGTTTGCTTCGAGGTGCGCCATGACTCTGCACACAAAGCATGGCCTTCAGCTAACATTCATCTGCAGCACCGTGACCAGGTAGTGCGCGAACGCCGGTGCTACTGGCTACGCGCAGGCGGGCAGCAGCACCAGCAGTCAATGCAGGGCATGGCCGTCCCAATGGACCAGGGACACGGCCAGTACGGATACCAGCAGTACGTGCCAGAGACCGACGACCCCTTTAACCAGGCAGACGAGATCGTTCGCGCAGTCGGTCCCGACCGCGGACGCGATCCCCCAGCAGCGCTTCCAGTTCGCAGAGTACCGCCATCCGGACTAGCTAGTCGCGCCCGCGCCCGCGCCGTCGTCGTACACCTCGACCGACAGCATGCTGACAAGCAACATCAACAGCTTCTCGTCCTCGCCCGTTTCGTGGGGTGTAGACCAGAGCCAAGGCGAGCACAGTGCGACGCAGACTCAGAGCACGACGCGCAAGCAGAGGAGTGCGATGAAGCCGGCGAGCCAGAAGATGCGTGAGCACAACGGACGCGCCGAGCAAGTGCCGGAGCATTAGTATCATTATGTATCGTGGGCGACTGTAATGCCTGTTGAACCGTCTATAGAATGAAAATATATTTATTGTTAAACATATGACATCAGAAGTAACTGAGAGTCTGGTGCATTCTGACCACTCTGGACCACTCTGATATTCTCTGATGCTCTCTGATGCTCTCTGAAAATTCTGTCTGACAACAGCAATTCACAAAAACTCGAGATCTTGAGGTCTGGCCATATGAGCTGTTCTGATGCAAAATGAAGCGTTCTGAGCGCTTATGAAGCCCCTGACAGGGCCCCTCAGAGGAATTGCACGAAATCCTGATGATCGAACACGGCGACCCCTGACCGTCCTCACCGCGCCCCCTCCCCTCTATGGGGAATGGAATAGACGCCAACGGATCCCAAACAGAGGGAATGGAATAGCGCCGTACGAGACAAACGCCAGCATGCTCGCCTGACAAATCTGCCGTCCCCACCCCCGCAGTAGATCCCAACGTCGGGCCGCTCGAATGCAAACGCAGACTCACGGCGCCGCTCTGAAGACAGCCCAGGACACGCCCCCTCCCCGCTAGACCCAAGCGAACGAACCTGGACGATGGACGACGGACGGGCGCGATGCGCCCCTGTATCTGCGCGCTGTACGATCAATTAGCTGTCATTATATAGAACCAATACTGACGACAGCGTACGAGAATATCGGACAGCGGGATCGGCCACCCAACCAAGGGTCGAGGAAAATGACGAGAGAAACCCTGACGGTGCTGACGAACATGCTGGGCGGCGAATACCGCGCACGACCAACGGCAGGCAGCCCACAACCTCGACAGAACCTAATCCATCGCCTACGCAGTAGCCTCACAACCATACAAACAGGGCCTGAGCCCAACCAAATCGGCGAATATTGATCACACAGTCCACGGGAACCCGACGCTTCTGGACATAGAGGATGACGAAACAAGTACCTATCTGCCAACGGTGGGTGCCACACGACAGAGAAGCACAACAGACGGCGCTGCCGACGCCCGCCCTTCACGATGGCCTGAGGAACGGAAGTCCCCGCCAACCATAAAAAACGGAAGCCTAACGGCGAGGAACCCTGCCCAACCCGCAGTACCCAGCCACGCCCTGCTAAGCTCCACTGCCCGTAAAGCACCGACTCAACCATCCAACTTCTGCTATGTCTCGTAACTCTGCCGACAACGTCACCGCCTCTGCTCCCGCCGAGCAAAGCCTGCAAAACCACCCTACGAACGAGCCAATCGATAACGGCCGTAACGACGGAGGACGGGCCCCCTCTCCAACGTACGCGCAGGTCGCGGCGCGCCCCCCGTCTCCGCACATGAGGGGCGGAACTGCCAGCGAAAACACGGACAATGCGCCTGCCCCGCCTCCTCCGACGCCGCTCACTGTCAGGAGCCCTGTTGAAGCACCGTTTACACGTAAGTGCTCGACCGCGATCACGCGTCATACTGTCTCCCCTCACCCTATACCCTCAGAGAGGACCACAGCCCCGAGTGAAGACGACGACCTGGGGTGGACGACGGTCACTGCACCGGCCAAGTCCAAGAAGTCGAAGTCCAAGAAGGGCAAAGGCAAAGCGAAGGTAGTCGCCCCGACCCCCCCACCACAGGTCGACCCAGCCTCGGGACTCGTCACGCCCAACGCGTCGCCGAAAGGTGGCGAGCCCAGGAAACGCAGACGTACGGACTATGGCGATGAGGGCCTAACGGCCGACAAGCAGCAGGGAGCCCCCGCGAACCTCTCGCTCTCATCGAAGTCGCCCTTGATCTTCGGACACAGCTCCCCGTCCCCGCTGCCCTCTGCCAAGGCCACCAAATCTACGAATGGCCGCGAGTCTGCTAACGAAGGGAGCGACATGGACGTCGACCCTGTGAACGAAGCGCATCTCGACAACTTCGGGCGATCATCCTTCTCCCTTCGGAACACCTCTGTTGACTGGGAATCGCCCCAGAACAGCTACCACGGCCACCTCGAGTACAACGAGCCCGGACCGAGCACGCGCCCCTCAAAGGGACATAAGCGCAGTGCTGCAAGGCACGACTTTGACTCCATAATTGGTACGAGAGTGTCGACATGTCCACGAACGCTGCGCTCTAACAAAAGCACCAGCAGGCAGCCCATCTATCTCGCAGAGACCCCCCGCTGAGGCTGCATCACCTCGAACACCAATGCAGCAGCGCGGCAACCGCACGAGGACCTCGACGCCTGCCGCCCCGCCTCGCGCCCTGGGCAAATTCCTCAGGAAAAGCGATGCCACGAGGTCCCCGACCCCATCCTCGTCTCGTCACGCACAGCGAGTCTCGAGCGATGAAGACATGCTACCGGCTAGTGATGTCTCTGAGCAGTCAAACTCTACCGAGCTAGAGGCACCCATCCGTAAGCCTCCGGTACACCGTGGCCGCGGCCGCTACTCCGTGACTGCCATCGGCAACCCGCCCGTCCAACGCACCCCGTCCCCGGAGCTCACCCCCTACGACCTCATCCTAGCCGACCCGGACATCACCGTGCCTCCGGAAGGCCTGCTGAAGAAGACCCAGGGCGACAGGGTCGACTGGAAGAAGAAGGGGCTATCCACCAACCAGGTTAAGGCTTGGAACGACCTCGGTAAAGATACCCCCTTCATTGTCGTACAGTTCGGGGAGCATGGCGCCGAGCAAGCGGGCATGAACGAGCGCGCCGTCTTCCTCTACGCCCTCCTGACGCGCCTCTCCGAGCGTACTGACATCCGCGTTAACCCCGGGCATGGCCCCCTGGAGGAGAGGGAATACGACGATAACAAGGATGCCCCGCCGAACGTCGAACCGTTCTGGATCGGCATCGAGAACCTCCCTGAGGACTGGTGCCTCGCGCTAGCTCGCGCAGCATGGCTCCGTGCCGGTAACTATATCCTCAACTTCGTCCTCTGGCGCAACGACCTCCCCACCCTCTGTGCAGCCTTCCGATCCGTCTTTCGCTTCCGAGCGCTCTCAAGGGAGGAGTACGTTGCCATCGTTCGGCGAGAGCTCCTCAGCTCAGAGCTGCGAGAGATCACGCTTGATATTCTCGCACGCGATATCGGCAAAGGTGGGAAATGGCGACGTGCGATGCAGGACGACGCGTTCGGCACGATCCTCGACTCAGTCGATGTTGAGGTACATAACTGCCGCATTACGCAGCACACGTCTGAAGACGTTGCCTTTATCCACATCACCTCACCCACAGCCGACTGGCAAGACTGGCTCATCTTTAGGAACACGATACAAGCCCACGGCTTTGGATCGCTGGCCGCAGGACACCCCATCCCGTTCAAGAATCGAACCTTCTGCGGCTTCTGCCACTTGCTTGGCCACCCGATAGGACGATGCCCCGTCAGAGGATTCTTCTTCCCGCAGAAGACGCAGCCACAGAAGCAATCGGCGGTCCAACCGTCATCCTCTGGGCGCGGCGGGCACCAGGGGGGAAGAGGCCGAGGCAATGGCCGAGGCAATGGTCGAGGCCGCGGAGGTAGAGGAGCCAACCCAATGTCTCCTGCTGTACCCAAATGATATATTGTATGACGCTCTCTCCCGACGATACTCGCAAACGAACACAGGAACGCACTACCGTCGAAGCCAATGCAGCCAGCGATGTGCCCACATCTACTGACCGCCAGACGGGACAGGAAAGCCATCGCGTATTGACTTCGACACCCACACCAAGACCGGGGCACTTATAGACCTTGTCCCGCCGAGAGGCTCAAGCGACACTCCTGCAACTCTGATGCGGGTGTTAGCATGTCACCTGAGGGGCTCAGGAGCAGCCCCCGCCTACCGTGGATCGTTGTAGCGGTAGGACCGATCATCAACGGCGCCAAACAATATACACAACCCAACTACGGATGGAACAATGACAAATGGACAACAGCCCGACGGGAGGATAGGAGCAGAAGCCCCCCCTGCCCGCGGACGCTCCGATGACCCTCCTGAAGGTACGGACGGCAGGGCGACCCCCCGTGGCGCACAAAGCGCGCTGGGCGCGGAGGGTAGCAATCATATCCCCAGCAGGTCTAACACTGCAGACGGCCGACCACTTGCAACCAGCAAAAAGGGACGAAAGACGAAAGCTACTATGACAATCGCGTCTCTAAATATGAATGGCAGAGGCAGACTGTCCGGCAGCTTGAACAACAAGTGGAACGCAGTAAACCAATTGTTGCGTGAGGACAAGATAGGCATTGTCGCGATACAAGAGTCTCACCTGAACACTGAAGTAGTCGATAGCATACATGCCTTGTATGGCCGTTGCATGCGTGTATTCACCGGGAACTCGGATAATGATGGAACGCAAGGAACCGCATTCATATTGAACAGAGAACTTGTAGATGTATCAACGGTAACAGTGAAGTACATCATACCTGGACGAGCACAGTCCATAACGACTAGATGGCACAAAGACCAGAACATTACCATCCTTAACGTATATGCACCAAACGATCCAACGAGGAACAAAGAGTTCTGGACCACCCTCGCGGACTACTACGATAGGCACCGCCAGAACAGACCCGACGTGATCATGGGAGACTTTAATATCACGGAAGACACAATCGACCGCCTACCGCCTCGCGAAGACAACGCGGGAGCGTCGACAGCTTTACGCATGCTCCTCATGGATCTACAACTTAGGGATGGCTGGAGAACGTCAGAACCGAGCCGACGCGACTACACCTACCCGCAACGCGCTTCCGACTCGAAGTCGCGACTCGACCGCATATACGTGACGGAAGACATCCTGAGATCCTCACAACTATGGCTCATTAAACCAACAGCCGTCCCGACAGACCACAAGCTCGTCCTTGCCAGAATAAGTACCGCCCAAACCCCGTATATCATCAGGAAAACCCCCCTACGCGAATGTGGCGCAAATTGGCGCCAAATCGCTGTGGCGCGCCTCTCATCGTGAACGGTTTGTAAATTGGTGTGAAAGCCTCACGAATGCAGGCCAAAAATGTTACCCTGTTAGTATGAAGCGAGAAATATTATACATCTCAGTGGCATTGATCTGATAGCATACCAATATACTATTCTATATAATACACAACCGTACATGTATACAACTGCAGTCCAGATGCTCACCGTCGTGCAATGTCACAGGGAAGCCGGGGAATACGGTTACCTTCATTGAGTCATCGCTGGCGTTTGCAGATTGAGTCGTCCGTGGCGGCGCAATTGAATTCAGTGTCAAGCAGCGTAAGTGTGTGTAAATGGCTCATCGACGGTGCCGTGAATATATTCATTGTTCGACTAACAGGTTGTGCCTGTGTGTCCACCCACCCACCCATCCTCCTGCTACCCATCATCCCAACCGTCGCTCATCCCACCGTCCTCCATCGGAGGGGGCCATGGCACCCCGAACATCTCGTACATCGCCTGGGTAGTCGGGAGGCCTTGCGAGTCAAGCGGCCAGTCCGTGCGATTGGGAACGGAGGACTCGGAGGCGTCGGACGACGACGCGCGCGGTGGATTGATCCCGAGCCCGAGCGAGCCAGACGGAGCAAGCTGGTCTGATATTTTCGAAGCTGGGGACGCTGCAGGTTCTGATTCGGGCCCCGTTATCGCCACCGGAGAGAGCGTCCGCGTGCCAGTGACTCGGTGACCCCGGAATGTGATGGGTTCCCGAGCTCGCTCGGAATCCGGTTCGGTTGTTGCATTTGAGAAGGTTCGCATTGCGCAAGGCGTGGGTAGGGGTGCCAGTGCATCAGAATCAGCCATGATGGGGACTGTGACGAGAGCCTGCGTCTCCGAGAGCGGGTACTCTGGAGGTTCGGAATCGGGAACGGTGGCAGTGTCTGAGAAAGCCCGATTGCGTCGAATTCGGCTCTGGCTGGGTATGAGAGAGGTCACGGCGTGTTCGTCCGTATTCAAAGTCGTGTTGTGGCGACAGAGGTTCAAAGTCTGTAACATCCGGATGGGCACTTTGATCGCAAGTGAGCCTGAGAATTATTGACCACATACGAGGTTGATTGGCCCAGGCCCTCCTGGCAGTATGAGCAGCGTAATGGTATGCGTGTCTTCTGAGTAGACATGGCGGATGTCCACCGCTGTAGCCAGTGGGACGTGGGTCATGAGCGTAGAGGTCGCTGCGTCCACGTCTCAAGCTTCAAGTCTAATGATCGCACCAATTCTCCCACGCCGTTCAATGGCCTTGGACCTGCACACTTGAACACCTCCAATCGGAGTCGTGCAACAGTGCTAAGATTGAGGATGTATTGGACGAATGAATCCATTCGAACCATTTCTAAACTAGTAGTCATCACATGGGAGTTATATTCGAAGTCCCTTCCCTATTATTCGGGCTCAGGCCGGAAGAAAGCTACAACTACAGAATAGGCGGTTCATGGGCATGGCGGCCGAGTGCTAGAGTGTGAGTCGGCATAGCTCGGTACAACCCTCTCACGATAGTTTGCCGGAGGAGGGGAGACTCCGTGGCCGTGGCGAATGACCGCCGGCTTCGCTCTCCATCCGCACCCTGTTCCTCCGGGCGCGAGGAAGGTAGAGCGAGGGAGTCGGGCAGCAAGCTTTGGGGCTGATACTGCAAACAGGAAGGTAGGAATACGCCATCATTCGGCCCAGGGCGCGTTCGACATTACCAAAGGCGCGGAGGTGGTACTCCTGGCCGCGCACTTGCCTAATCCCCAAGTGGGTATGGGTGCATGATCTGGCCGGAGTGCAGTTCTGCCTCCGCGGACGCCACGAAGATGTCGGCGCGATCGTCGCCGAACCCCTCCATCTTGTCTACCGACCGCGGCGCAGGCTGCAGGGGCGTGTGCACGGGGCCTGGGGCAACGGCGTTGACCCGCTACAGGCGAGGGTCAGCGAGCAAATCAAGATGCCAAGTAGAGGGAGACTCATGGTCTTCGCGAGGGCGAACATCTTGATGATGTTGCTCTGGAATGTGCTGTCGACCGTGTTGAGATTATTCTCAGCGAGGTCCTTGGTGATCACCTGCTTGGGCGTGTTGTTCACGAGCACGTCAAGCCGCCCGGACACGCGCAGGTCCGCGTCAACCATCGCGTGCGTGCCCGGAAGCCCTCGAGGCCGTCCGCGACTGAGAGAGTGCGCTGCTCCTTGTGCTGCCAGTGGACTGCGCGCAGGCATCCTCCGCGTCCTTCTGCTCCGCGGGCAGGTGCACGATGGTCACGTCACCGTCTTGGCGCGCAAAGAGGATCGCATCTGCATGCCCAATACCTGAATTGGCGGTTGGCGGGTCAGCGTGGTGTCTGCGGTCGGTGACGCGGAGACTCACTGACCAACTGTGATCAGCCTGGCAACTTTCTTGCCACGCCGCTTGCCTATGCCGACGTACCCTTTTCGTCTGGAGCCCGTGTCTAGCGAGGTGTCAAACAAGTCGAGCGTCGTGCCTTTCTGAAGGCCAGGCAGGCCCGGCAATTGTGCGGGGACCTTCTGCTTTGGCGTCGTTCCTTCATGTGCCATGTTGGGTCTAGATCGGGGTTGTGGCTGTGATGAATGAAATGAGAGGAGCTGCGATGTCAAGCCTGTGAATCAGCATGATGTATGTAGGGGCAGGCGTAGGCTATGGACGAAGCAGTGGGCATGCACACGACATAACTTAGGTAGGATCCTGGAGGCGACTTGGCACTCTTCTGCAGACCGCGGATGCTTCACCCGGGCCGATCCCCAACGCGCACATCGACGCGGGTCTGCAGAGGTTGGTCGACATGAACGGCGGCCGACGACGGTTAGCCCTGCCTTAGGCAGAGGTTGGGCCATACTCTCGCCGACAATGAAGTCCGGCCAGCTCATCGCTTGCAGACACCATGACACTGTTCTGCAGGTCGCGGATGCCTCACCCGGGTCGACGCCCAACGCATGCATCGACGCAGGCCTGCAGAGACTGGTCTGTGCACACGACAGCGAGCCCGGGCCCAGACCTCAGGCAAAGATCATGCACTCATGTGTGGCGTGCCGGCACTCTCATACACTCCGAGGCTTGTCATAAAACAAGGATGCTAAGGACTTAACTGGTGTCAGAGTCGTCCATGCCCTCCGCCATGCTCAGATGTCATCGCCGCAGGTCTCCGAGGGGTGTCGTACTTTCGCGCGCTGCCTGCCCTGCTCTTAAAGACGATTTGAACAGTTGAGCCTTAGAGAGGTGAGTGACTGCCATGGGGTCGAGAGAGGGCGGGGTGTTGAAGCCATGGAATGGGATATTGGAGAAGGATGGTGGCGGTAAGTCGTGAGCAGCTGTCCGCGCGCAGTGTGTGATACACGCGCCGAACTTGGTAAGCGCCGGACGCGGTCTCAGCACGACTATTGAACTTTTGCCAGCAGCTGTAGTTCCCGAAGTTATTTCTTTGCACGATCCTCTCATGTCAGGTATGTACTCTCAGTATCTCAAGTTTCGACGCCTAATCATCCACGCTGAAGTGGGGAGGTTCGTTAACGCGGGCGCTTATGCGCCCGGAGAGCATCGTTTCAATTCAGCCTAGTAGTACCAAGTCCAGCTCCCGGGATGCTATAGTCGACATCTACGACTATACAACAGTAATGTAAGTGTGCCTATCCGTAAACGAATTGGCGTAGAAGGTGTCACAAAGGTCGAGAACATTCTCGCTGGTCCATTCAGGTGGTTTCTCTGCCCCGAATTTCGGGATGAGATGTACACTCCGTTGAAGGCTCTGTAATGGTACGATCGCCGCAACTCGAAAACCGTCGTGTGTATGCGATCGCTGAACGCGATAGAATAGATGGTTGGCCTCAGGTTGGGGTTTGAAGCGGCTGAACCACTCTAAGTAGACAAGGTGCGAAGGTGCGTCGGGATCGTCCTTGAATACCATCTGATGAGCCTTCTTTGACAGGCTGAATATGACGCGGACCTGTCCAACGCGGTATCCTAAGCCTCGGTCAGTCTGTGAACCCGCCTAACATGTTTGACCTGTGCTTACCAGCGACTCCAACATGGCCACCACCTCGCTCATCAACCAGGGCGGTGTCAAACCGCCCGCCAACCGCTCTTCCTTGCGAGTCGCGGTAGCCTGGGCGAGCATGAATGGCATCCAAGGTCTCTGGTGCGTTCTGACGCTGGAAGGCATCTTGATTCCAAAACTTTACCTTGTGCCAGACCGAGACAGCGCGGAAAGGGAGGGTGTATAACGACATGGTGTCCGCGAACTCGCGGCCCGAGAGTTCCGGATGTTTATGACCGATAATGAACTCCTTTAAAGTGCGCGCAAAATCGGAGGCACTGTAGCGCGACTCGACCTTGGCGAAGGGTACAGAGGTGCATGTGGGATGACGGGTGACGTGATGATGTGGCTTATGGGGTATGCGAGTGGGTTCAGAGGAAATATCGGGTCGGCCGTCGAGCCGCCATTGGACATAGAGTGCGTGCGCGTGAATTTGCTCGAGACGAACCACGGTGTTCGTCATCTGGGGGTATTCATCCTTTCGGTTCGATTTGCGCCATGGATCTTTTGCGAGGGTAATGTGCAAATGCTCGGACTGCGCGGTATTCGTGCCATCTGCCGTGCCAAATAGTCGGATGCCTGACACATAATGCTGAAGGGAATGTAATTTTGGGAAATTGAAATGCTCGCGAATACCCAGAACCTCGAATATCCCTTTGTTGGCATGGAAGCGGGGAGCCCAATGAGTGTACTTTTACGTTCCTAACGGTACACCCGGGCTGCATATTCCCCGTCGTCAACGGAAACCCGACGTCGGCCGGTGGAACGGAAGTGAGCGCCGGAAGCCGGGCGGGCGGGCATGCTGGCCTGTGGTTCCTATTGCGGCGGCCGATTGTCGGATCATATGTTGTAAAGCGAGCCGGCCGGATGTGAATTGTGGAAACCCAGCATATACTAGCAGGCGCAAATATAAAACATTGTAGTGTACAACCCGGCGCGGCCGGAGAGCGTACTGTATTTCACTAGCATTACGGCCGAATACGTACCGCCCGTCAACATTGATACCGCCGGTGTATTATTCCACTGCGTACTTTATGACATCAACCGGACGCTTCGTTTGCAGCACGCTATTCACACAGCGGCCGCCCTTGAGGCGCAGCGTTGTGGCCTAGGCGGCCGGCGGCTGTGCATCGTTTTGTCACACCTTCGACCAATTGTACATGTCAACATCTTTTGCAGATTGGCCTGCAAAAGAAAGCATTGCAGTGCCCGTGTCGGCCGCTGTTAACGCTCGCCACGGCTAACACAGCGGCCGGAGTTGAATTTGTTTATCAAACATTCACCGGCCGGTTTCTCTGACGACATTGATAGTGATACATTCAACTCTGTATAAGACAATTGCAGCGGAGCGGTCGGTATCACATTCCATATAGTTTAAAGAACCGGCCGCCATGTGCCTCAGCCTGTAGCTTCCCAACCGGCCGATCGAAACCCGGTCTTTCAATACAGCTCAGCCGGTACCCGTTGTACCCCACTAAATCCATCCGGCCGAATGTATATTCCAGCTTTGGAAACGATACAATCAAATGTGTTTTTCAAGGCTCTGGCACGACCGGCCGGGCCGTAGCCCCACTTATCCACAACGCTGCGGCCGGTCCCACTACACATGACTGAAATGGAACCGGCCGGCGACGTTAGATCTCATAGGAATAGGACCGGCTGGTGCTTACTTCTTGTTGTTCTTGATGGCACGGCCAACGCCTAGCCCACTGATGAAGCCTATTTGGCAGTTGTCTTTGATTCGTTCAAATGAAGGAAAATAGAGCTGCTTCACCCTGTGCAAGTGGTACTGCACTATCATGGCAGTAATGTCATGTAATGCATATGCTAATGTGCTGCTCCCATTGAAGCCATAAAATTAGGCCCTAACCATAACCATCAGCTAGAGAACACATGGCTGCCTGCAGGTATCCTCATGGTGTCCACATGTTCATGTTTGATCGTGTTAGTGGAACTGTACAGTTCTACATGAGGCTCCCAGAACTGAGAATGACTGTACACGGCGACACCTTTCACAGCAACCATCATGTCCAATTTTGATGAGGTCAACGACTATGTCAGCCGCACCTATCACTACCACGTCAATGCTAGGCAGGATATGAACTCAATGCCGCCGCTTATCAATCCCCGCATCCCGCGGGCACTGTCACATCAAGCGAGAGTTGCTGGAAAAAGATTGGCAGAGGCCCGGTGTAACCAGAGTGGGCCAATCACCAATTCACTTTTGTTAATCATGTTTGCTCATTGTTGACAAGTCGTGGCTCCCTGGGACGCGACGTGCCCGCCGGTTCGTGTGGAAGACTGCAGCACTCCCATGAGAATTCAAATCGCGCCGGCGATTGTAGTGGACAGTGCCGGCCGTATAATTCTCTGGTACCTGCCCAATGTGCTGAGCACCGAATACGAGGTAATATGTTGTGGTCATTGAATGACTCAAGACTGATGGTCTCACCCAGGACCTCATGTGGAACGAGACGGCGGGCATAAATAATCTGTTCCGGGCCAATCCCCCAAATTCTAGGCCGGGAACGTCGTGGAGAAACCAGGCCCGGAACTTTCTACCACAACAGCCTGATCACAGTCTGCATCCGGGGTGTATCTCCATGTCGCCGGGATGGTTTCAGCGGGGACAGACGGTATGCATGCTGCATTGTATGATCCCCACGATGTGCTGAACATACTGCAGGGTGGGGGCAGGATGCCGGAGGTGTCGATGACGCTCAAATCAGCTCAGTCGACAGGGCACCAGTGGCTCCGCTCGCTGCGTGAACCGCACCTGGTCATCTCCGCTATGACACAGATCATGAATCCCGTCCTCTATCAAAGCGGCTTCTTATCAACGTACAAGCTCCATGCGATCGGCGACTGTGCGCCTGTCCTCCGCAACTGGAACATCCCATTCAATGCTCTATCGGTTATCACCAATCGGGCTACTCCATTCCACAGAGATTCCCTCTCCCCGAAGGAGGGTTACGATGTCCTGTTGACCCTCCGGGGCGATACAGACCTTCTACTGCACGTTCCAACAATCGGGACCTCGTTCCGTTACAGTGGCGGCACAGTAATGGCATTTTCCGGAGCCGTACTTCCCCATCAAGTTCCCCTTAGCAGGAGTGAACGGGTCTGCGTGGTGTATTATGCTCGCCGGGATGTTTTGACTTGGGCCGAAGCACCGCCGCTTACGTGGCGTCAGCTATGACATTTCTTTGTAATACATTCCGCCATCTATATACGCTATGGCAGTCAACTCATTGGGCATGATAACAAAGTATAGATGTTGAAGCAGGGCCGACTAATTATTACGTCTCGGCGCCGAAGGTTGGTGAGTGTCCGGCGCCGAGGGTTGCTGCATGCTCGGCGCCGAGGGTTGAGTTGAGTGCGGCGCCGGGGATTCGAATGAGTGCGGCGCCGCAGGTTGAGTTGAGTGCGGCGCCGGGGATTCGAATGAGTGCGGCGCCGCAGGCTGAGTTGGGTGCGGCGCCGGGGATTCGAATGAGTGCGGCGCCGGGGGTTCGAATGAGTGCGGCGCCGCGGGTTGAGTTGAGTGCGGCGCCGAGGGTTCGAATGAGTGCGGCGCCGAGGGTTGGGTTGGGTGCGGCGCCGGGGATTCGAATGAGTGCGGCGCCGCAGGCTGAGTTGGGTGCGGCGCCGGGGATTGGGTTGGGTGCGGCGCCGGGGGTTCGAATGAGTGCGGCGCCGCAGGCTGAGTTGGGTGCGGCGCCGAGGGTTGGGTTGGGCCGGGGATTCGAATGAGTGCGGCGCCGCAGGCTGAGTTGGGTGCGGCGCCGGGGATTGGGTTGGGTGCGGCGCCGGGGGTTCGAATGAGTGCGGCGCCGCAGGCTGAGTTGGGTGCGGCGCCGAGGGTTGGGTTGGGTGCGGCGCCGGGGATTTGAATGAGTGCGGCGCCGAGGGTTGGGTTGGGTGCGGCGCCGGGGGTTCGAATGAGTGCGGCGCCGCAGGCTGAGTTGGGTGCGGCGCCGAGGGTTGGGTTGGGTGCGGCGCCGGGGATTTGAATGAGTGCGGCGCCGAGGGTTGGGTTGGGTGCGGCGCCGGGGATTCGAATGAGTGCGGCGCCGGGGGTTCGAATGAGTGCGGCGCCGCGGGTTGAGTTGAGTGCGGCGCCGAGGGTTCGAATGAGTGCGGCGCCGAGGGTTGGGTTGGGTGCGGCGCCGGGGATTCGAATGAGTGCGGCGCCGCAGGCTGAGTTGGGTGCGGCGCCGGGGATTCGAATGAGTGCGGCGCCGAGGGTTGGGTTGGGTGCGGCGCCGGGGGTTCGAATGAGTGCGGCGCCGCAGGCTGAGTTGGGTGCGGCGCCGAGGGTTGGGTTGGGTGCGGCGCCGGGGATTCGAATGAGTGCGGCGCCGAGGGTTGGGTTGGGTGCGGCGCCGGGGATTCGAATGAGTGCGGCGCCGAGGGTTGGGTTGGGTGCGGCGCCGAGGTGCGAATGTACAGACAGTGTGGGCACTGGCTTGTCTTTGTTGACAATTTATCATGGCTGTCTTCGTATGACGCTCGCAGGGTCATCGCCTCCCTGATGCCCTGATCATGCACTGATGGTAAGCCCTGTGCAGCCGGCCAGCCTCCAAAGTTTAGGCACAAAATGTGTGGAAATCATTAATTGCGCGGGAAGTGCGAACTTCAATTCGTGCGGTGTCAATAGTACATGTATCAACATCTAGCCCCTCTTCTTGCCACGATGAGATCCCTTCGGCACCCTCTTTACCGGCTTCTTAACCTCCCTGGTCTCGGCGCCCGTATTCTCGGTGTTCAATTTCCGGCGCTGCGAGCCGGTCGCTGGTGCATTCTCCATTGCTGTCTCGGTCCGCGTTCGTTTTCCGTTTTCATTCATAGCGGCCACGTCCTGCCACCGCTGGAGTATGTCGGCACACCGTGGGATGAGGTCCGTCTCGACAAAGGTTTCCGGCAGCTTCGTGGTCTTCACGTGGTCTGCTTCGTATCTGAGCTGTACCCTCGCGTCGTAGTGCTCCTCAACATCTCTAGCTAGCATGCCAATCGCCAACGCCATGGCCTGTGCGTCTTCCCGGCCCATGGTGTTGGTATCGAGATTTGTCCGGTGTCTTGTGAGCCACCCCCGAAAGACCTTCAGCAGCACCTTCTCTTGATGAATGGCCCTGTTGCAGTAAGCCTCTGGGTATGACCACGTTGCCCATTCGAACTTCGGCGCCGACTTCCAGGATCCAACTTCCGGCTGGCATTGAAAGCAAATTAGAGTTGAAACGAGAGATGGATCAGGACGTACCAAGTTCGGGATTGCAGCAACCATCTGTTTGAAAGTTGGATGTCTGCTTAGCTCGAGCAGAAACGCCTGTCGCGCCTCGAAAGTCGCTCCCACCTCTGCCGGGCTCCAATTATCCGGTGTTCTGGGCCTGCGTTGATTCGAGCGGTTGGATGTTCCCGCGACAGACCTCTGTTCCTGTCCTGTTTTATGAAGTCAGAACGGCCAGGCAAAGCTACACTGGAGACGAGATACGTACGATTGCTCCGGCCTACAGCCCTAGATTGACCGTCTGAGGTGCCAGTCATCGCGCTACCAGTCTCCTTGCGGCGCACGATACCAGCCGGACCCGGCTTCTCCCTGGTGGCGTAGGTACGAGGAGGAGGTGCGTCGGCGGCCTTCCCTTTTCCGCGCTTCTTCGCCGAAGTTCGACCAGAGGACGACTGGGCATCCTCGTCGTCATCTTCCTCTTCCTCAGCCCTGCCCTTCCCCTTCTTCCGCGCGTTGATGCGCCGACTGGAAGCCGGAGGATCCTGCTCCCCATCATCCTCTTCCTCGTCCTTGTGCTTGCCCTTCTTCTTAGCAGGAATCCGACGGCGGGGCGATGAATCATTCTCCTCCTCATCATCGTCGTCCTCGGCCTTACCCTTACCCTTTTCTCGGGCAGGAATCAGAGAACGGGACGACGGACGATCCTCATCTTCATCATGATCATCCCCGTCCTCAGGCCCAGTCGTGTCTCCATTGTCATCGTCGTCGGCGTCGTCATCATTTAACTTGCTGGTATCACTGCTCGATTCGGACCCATTGCTGGTGCGTGATTCACTGCTACTCGAACTGCTGGACCGGTCCTGTTCTCGGAGTCGAGTCATTTGGACAGCGTGCCGGGGCTCGGAAGATTCACTCCCAGAGGTTGACGATTCCAACCGCCGCCCGGATGGACCCGTTTTGGACTGGCGCTGCTGTCTCGGGACTCGGGAAGGGCCGGCGACAGGTGGGCTGGGCTGTGCTCGTTCCCGGCGCCGCTGAGGCCGTGGCGGACTTGGCGGCGGAAAAGGGAGGATGATGCGTTCCTGAGCGATGCCCTCGCCGTTTCGGTACGCCCTAAAGCGAAACACCGGAAATTCGTCCTGCTGCCGCGTGCGCCAATGACGGATGAGGGCCCCAATCTCGTCCTGCCGTAGCTTCTCGGGATCACGAAGGATGATGTCTTCGGGGAGATATACTGGGTCGATGTAGTCGTTGGAGTTGGTAGCGAGCGCAAGCCACGGAACCCTGGCCGAGCGGCCAACATATCGTTCTGAAACGCCGTTTGTGAGTGATTTATAATGTCCTGGGATAACGGTGGGCCTACCATAGGTAACCCGCACAAACTGCTTGATAAACCGTCGCCGTTGACCCAATTTTGCAAAGCACGGGTCCCCGGGATCTGGCAGCAGCGGATAATTCTCGTCATCAAAGGCCAGTTCCGGCTCGCCCGGCACCGCCTCTTCCTCTGAGGCTGCCTCGTCTGCTTCGAGCGGTTTAGTGTCTGATCCATAAGCATTTAGCATCGGAACACATCAATACAGCCGGAACGTATTCACCAAACGCATACTCGGCATACTCCACAAAGAAGTCGTAGGTGTGACCTTCCTTGAACTTTGGATGACGGTCCACAAAGCGCATGCACGGTTCGCCTGTTCGAGCCTCCGCACCAAACTTGTCGTTGTGATCAAAGCTGTAATTTGTTAGTACACGGTGATGCTCCAATTTCAGCCCGACGCACCATGTCACGGTCGGCTTTTCAGATCCCATGAACGCGGCGAATACGAATAGTCTCACCCCGGTGAGCTTCCATATCTGCCTCTCAAAGTCTTCCATCCACCCGTCGAGTTTGTTGGCAATGTTCTTCAGCTGTACGTCCCGGGGACTGCCCTTCTTGTTCCACTTCTCCGCAATTTGCTCGTACCGAGCACGGTCCTCCTCCAAAACATCTCGGGACAGCGCCGAAAGTGCTTTCTGGTAAATGGCAGGATACTGCTTACGTTCACGTTCCATTCCATCCCCAATCTCAGAAATCCGTGCCTCCAGAGCCTCCTTCTCCTCCCGAGCCAGCACCATCTGCCACGTCACCCTCTTACCAACCTTAAACATTGGCTTCTTGCGTTTCTCGCCATCCGGACGTCGCTCGTAAAACCACTTCCGGACTCGCTGGCCCTGCATTATCAGCAAAAATGTAATCGAGGAACATCACTCGCACCTCTTTCCATGCTTCGTCAAAGACTATCCCTTTTTCCCGTTCCAGCTCTCTCACCGCAGCTGCCACCTCTTCATCCCTTGTCTCCTGGTCATCCACAGCATCCCTCCAGGCCTCCAAGTGGGACCTAAGAATCCGGCTGTCCGCTTTCCTCCAGCGATCCTTCTTGGGACGTGCCATGGTCGATGGTGACCAATAAGAGCGTGCCGGCCGCCCAGAGATACAACAACAATGTGGGAGCTGAAGGCAAGGACGTGCCAACCAAGCTAGATTGCTGGCCAGCTGTCGCATTGGCATCTATTCACATTTCACTACATCACACCTTCTTTACCATCAGCGCAGTCACTTTTATCCTTCACAGAATTCTTCCGGTTTGATCAGGCGACGGGTGGCTTGTCTGGAATGGTACGGGTACGACGGATAATTCGGCTGCGTACCCCGGCAATCTAGCCTCATGTCATGATTGGCCTGAAACCTCAACAAGGTGTGCTTGCCTACGGCCCCCTTCATTATGGAGCCCGGTGCCAAGCACGGTATGAAACCGCATGAGATGGATCAGGGAACTCCGACACAAAGTGGCCTCCGGCTCGTGGTGATACCGGTGCAGTCGGATGGAGTTGCCCGGGCAGTTGTAGTGTGTACAGCTCGTCGACGACGGTGCAGCACAGTTACCTCCCGCTTCGAAAGCACACTCGACACAAAGCAAACATGGCGCGCATTAAACTGCACACAAGCTCTCCAAAAGTGGCCGAGGTTATCATCAAACGATCGGTCACGACGAGAGGGACAAGGGGCCGACTGGTGTCTGTGCATCGGGAGAGGTCTGATACACCTCCTAGCACGCCCAGACGCGCGCCGCAGCCGTCCTCCAAAACGACCCATCCCCCGAACCGTTCGGAGGATGCACCACCCGTGATTGACCTACTGTCAGTTGATGCCCTTGAATCACTTCAGATACCGGCGCCGAAGGTGTGTTTCGTGACGATCCTTGGGATATGACGGTTGACATCCACATAGACACAACCCGAAATGCTTCGTGAATGGCTACCATATCAGACCGAGTACCTGAGAAGCATTTACGCCTCCTCGGTGCCGCCAACCACGACCGCCGACGGCTCATACCAATGCATGGAGTGCCACGGCAGCGGAGGGCGTTGGAAGTGCACTGGTTGTCTTGGGTCACCGGTGTACTGCACATCGTGCTGCCTCGACAGACACAGCCGAGACCCTTTCCATCGTATTGAGGTGTGGGACACGAAGGGCTGCTGGACGAGTTCTTGGCTGCGAGACGTTGGCGTTTGCGTCGAGCTGGGACATCATGGTGGGCGGTGTCCGGTACCATCTGGGCGGCCGCCGGCGGATATCCACGACATTCTTGACGATGACGATGATGATGAGGAGGTAGATGACACAGAGGACACCTGGGAGGATGAGGAGCGAAATGGCGGGGCCGGCGACGATCCCCTTCGTGCTGCTGACAGTCCGCCAAAGCCTCCTCATGCCATGATGACAATTGTAGACACGTCCGGCGTTCACTTCCTACCTGTCAGGTGGTGCGGGTGCCCTTCTCGGCAGGGGTGGAAAGCGCAGCTACTAGCAGCGGGTCTCTTCCCTGCAAGTCAGCGTGCACCGAAGTCGTGTTTCACGTTCCGCGTACTGGACGACTACTTGATGACCAATGTCGAGTGCAATACAAACGCAATGAACTATTATCGACGGCTGCGTCGATTAACGAATCCGGCGTTTCCACATCTAGTGCCGGTGCGTACTCGCCGAGTGCGTTGTTGAAAGACCCCTTTGTATTCACGCGAACCGTTTAAGGACCGATATCTCGAGTTCATGCGTGTCACGCGTGAATGGGCGCTCCTCCAAGCAAAAAAGACATTTGGATTTGGCCCGGAAGGTCGCGGCACACCCGGTGACGGTGACCTCGGCTACTTCTGTGTTGCATGTCCACAGCCCGGGATAAATATCGATGGGCAGTGGCAAGAAGATCCAAAGACGTGTGTTTGGCATTGGCATACTGATAGCGCATGCACTGACGGCGATCAGATACTTATACGCTCGGAGCTATGTCATGGATGGTAACTTCTCAGCGGAGCAAATGAAAATGCGACGACCTGCAAATGACGTACCAATGATGCCGGGCAAGATGTTTCTGGTAAACGACGGGCCGTACCAAGAGCATCTCAAGGTGGCAAAGGATATCAAAATGGTGAGCAGGCAATCCATGACACATCGCAGCTTGGACCAAAAGCGATAAATCTGCTGTCAACAGCGGTCCACATGTAATGACCACAAGGCAGTCTCACAAGCAAACGCCGATCGACACAAGCTGGCGGTCACCGGTATTGGTGCAACTGCCTGCTCGCGCCACGGGTGTTTCGTACCCCATTCGGTTGTGAATTTCCAGAAAGGCGAACGGCAAATGAACATGGACTACTCATTGTCCAATGCGATGAAGTACAGGGCACACGAGAAACAGCCGGTGGTTGTGCTGTATGACATTATGTGTCAATACGGCGTTCACATTCGGAAGCGATTCACTGACAGCCCGCATATCTCAATGCCACACGACCTGACGCTGTGGAAAGGAATAGGCCTGTTCCATGTTCATGGTCACCAGGACACCTGCGAGGTCCGGTATTCGCCCACATTCATGGCTGGTGCTGGAAATGTTGACGGCGAGATTCTGGAGACGATGTGGGCGTCCCTGAATCGTATTTCAGGAACTACTCGATCAATGTCGTCATCCAATCGCCAGGAGACACTAGACCGGCACATGAATGACTGGAACTACAAGAAGATGATAACTATGGGTGAGCATCCCACGCTGTACAGATGTGTTACACTTTTGACTGTCTGTTGTAGTGGCCCTACTACGGAGGCGCATACAGGCAAATCGACCGCTGTTGCTGAAGATGCGAGAAGCTTTGGATGCCCAGGAATCAGGAATAAGCACTGATGTACTTGTACAATGGCGCCGGGTGCTTCGCGGGGCCCAGGAGCAGAGATTGCAAGATGTCCGGGCCATGGACATTTTCATGATTCCCGAGCAGACAGGTTAGCAGGTTATTTTGTAGTCCAGAGCCTGTAAGCTTATTTATGCGCAGCTCCGTCGAAGGCCAGTCTGCAGCTAAGGCTGACCACTGCGGAAGGAAATGATGGCACTCCAATTGGAACCGCAGATTGGCTCGCGGACGGCCTTAAAATTGAGGAAGCGCAGTACGTACAACGGCGTGATGGCCATGCCAGAAGGGACTGACTGTTTTATACAGGATTTTCTTGCGGCAGGATACCATGCGGCATGGAACAAATGCGACGAGCGCTACCAGGATTAAACTAGCAAAACGTCGTAAGGCCCTGGAAAAGAGCATCGCCCGTTTCAATTCCCGAGCCAACCGCATTGCGCGCGCATTCAACTGGGACGTTATTCGGCATGAGACACCGGAAGACGAATGGGAGGACGTAGATGCTGATGATGGGTCTTCGCGTGCAACACCAATAGGCGACCGACCGAATCCCCTTGCTGGTCGGAGGCTACGAGGACCATTTGCACCTGATGCGTCCGAGCACGTGGTCCTAAATCTGCCCTCGAATGCATCTCCAGAGATGATGACAAATGACCGAAGCCTGAGGCGGTTGGCCCGTCGCGAGCGAACTCTACGCCGGGGCCAAGCGAATGATGCTCTGCACCGACTGCGGGTATTGCTCAGCGAAAAGTCCTTTCATTTCCGCCACCGTATCCGTCCATCTCGTGGATCACAGCAGCGAAAGACACGGGCCTATGCCGGACTTGAGAAAATCACAAGGGAGATTCAACGGTATGGCGCGGTGTATCGCAGTGCAAGGTCAGCATTGGTGCGGCTCAATATGAGCAGGGAAGCACGCAGGATATACAAACGTCTCAGACCCGCCGATCTCAAGGTCAGCACCGCAATTGCCGAACCAAATGCACGCGGCCAACGGCATGCCACCCTGCCGTGGATCTGGACAGTCAATGTTCAACAAGACATGGATGACGATGAGCACATGCTCTTCGGTGCGTCTGCCCATCGCTTGTGCAACATTGTGTCCTCAATCCCTCCAATAGTCCACCGGGTTCATTGGTTCCGAGCTCGGTCACGGCTTGACCGGGCAATGGAAGAGTCGGCGATTCTCAAGCGCGAGTTGCAATCAACAAAATTGTACTTCGATTACGAGCAGGATCGTTGGCTTGCCATGGCTACCACTGGTCCAGGCGAAGCATGGCCTGGATACGCTGAGCACTGTCGTCAAACTGCCAACACTTATGCGTCACTTGCTGCAGACGCACAGTCGTCCTATACAGAGCTCTATGTTGAGCAGAACCCCCTGGAGTGATTACTGCGTAGGAGGCTGTGACGAGTCAATTTGTATGCCCCTATACCTGTTTGTTTGAGGCGTAGACCAGCTTGAAGGGAATTTACTCTCAGCCAGAGGGCATGTAGTTGTGACACGTTTCCACAAAAAGTCTGGCTTGAAGGAAACGATGACCACACATGAAAGTTCGGCGCCGAGAACATTGCAACCCCCGGCGCCGCACCCAACCCAACCCTCGGCGCCGCACTCATTCGAATCCCCGGCGCCGCACCCAACTCAGCCTGCGGCGCCGCACTCATTCGAATCCCCGGCGCCGCACTCATTCGAATCCCCGGCGCCGCACTCAACTCAACCCGCGGCGCCGCACTCATTCGAATCCCCGGCGCCGCACCCAACTCAGCCTGCGGCGCCGCACTCATTCGAATCCCCGGCGCCGCACTCATTCGAACCCCCGGCGCCGCACCCAACTCAGCCTGCGGCGCCGCACTCATTCGAACCCCCGGCGCCGCACCCAACCCAACCCTCGGCGCCGCACTCATTCGAATCCCCGGCGCCGAGGTTTCACGTGCGCTCAACGCCGCGTGTATATATCAGAGAAATAAGTACACCTTCGAACTTTGCATGTGCGTCTTCCAAAGCGCTTGACATCCGGACGTTGGTGGCTTTAGGAAGAGTCCTGGCACTGTGCATACATATGATACGCGGTGGCGATGTTTAGTTACATGAAGACAGGCACGTCATACATCCGGGACAATGAGCCTTATCAAGTTATCCGACTACCTCCGGTGCAGAGTCGGGCTACGTCGCCGGGGAAAAATGTTGTGATGCGATCCGCGGCGCGGAGTACACCATCCTACGCACCCAGCACCATGGTTGTGCCGTGCGGTGATCACACCACGAACAAGCCTTGACCCAAAGTTGTAAAAACGGATGAATCAATAGCTGTAGCGAGGACAGACCTTTAAAAACCTCCCTGTTCACTTGAATCCTTGGTGTCGCAAGCCTCACTCTCCTTGTTCGATTCCGGGGGCAACAAGACATCATCGCCACCCTCAAACTCGTACGGACTCTCATTCGGGTAGAGGATATCCGGGTCGATGATAAAGGAGTAGTGAGGCGGGGGAAGGCTCTTGAGCAAGCGGTATTCCTGGGTGTGTCTATCACTTTCGGAGCTGGACAATCTGGCCCATGGGATTGGGACCCGCAGGTTACAAGTGGTAGGTCCGCCTTCTATTTTCCATGTGATCCAGTGACGACGAAGGTCTGTCATGACCGTGAGTCGGCCAACCCCGGACTGACTGCCATCCGCTTTCAACGTGATAAGGTGTCCACTTCCAATGTGGACCGCAGGGCGTTCCATCACAGTCCAGATTGGCCCATTACCCAGGCTCTTCGCAGGACGCCCTCCGACAACAACTTCAGTGGTATTGGCCGGGTCCGGCGTGAGCTGAAGGAGTGGAAAGGCATGGGTGGGAGGGGCCAGGTTGAGGACCAGTTGGTGCCAAGGCTTGGGAGACCTCGCGCGATTGTACTGCCAGGCGCGGCGATCCTCCGGTGACATTATGCGGCGGGTGCACACCCGGTAATCAGCTTGGATCAATTTATACAGACATGAGGCAATTGGCGTACGTGAAAGGTGTCGTTTGTGTGTCTAATCTGATGGCTTCTGCTCGGCATGTAGGCCGTATTGTCGGTGTTGGGGAATATACCGTTGACACCATGTATGGCAATACAATGGCAATTTTCAAACGGACGCCGTAGTTACATAACAAATGTCTAGTCCCTCAAACCCCACTATACCGTATTCGCCAAACGCCCTTCCATACTCGCTTCAACTGCGTCAAACCTCGCCATGAGGTTCTCAAAGCGGTCAGCCATTGATAACATAGTTGTTTCCTCCCGTACGACTTCCGTGATTGTCAGGACCAGCTGGTCGGCGACATGGAAGCCCAGAGAGTACGAATCGGCATTATGAATTGAGACCACGATGGTGCTGTATGAATGACGGCGATTGGTCAGCACATGTGGGTTGCATTTAAAGCAAATTGTACCCACGACGATTCCCCTCGAAGGATCCCGATGAGTCCACTAAGTTGTGATAGTGTACGGCGTTTCCCACGCTGCATCACGTCACCGCTAATCAGAAGGAAATCAATGTGATCTACACATTGCAACTTACAAAAAACATGGTCTCCTCCAGTTCTTTTTCACCCGGGAGTGTAGCAGTTGAGGGGGGGTGAACAGGAATCTCCCGCACAATCGCGCCTCTCACCCGTCAAAATATACGTACTTTTGAGAAGGTTTGAACATGCGGTCTTGAGCGCTGAAGGAATATCTCACGCATGTCCACTGTTCGGCTCAGAGTGTTACATTAGGTGAAGCAATTCCTTGCACTACAGAAGTTGGACACGTTGTGTACCAATATTGCGTACAGATATCAGCTGTTTTGGAGGTTCGGTGGAGCATTTGACGAAGATGGTCCCTCGTGTCGCCGTCTGTCCTCCTCGGCGCCCCATATGTCGCGGAAGTGTACTGTATTTGTTACTACCGGATGTTGGGCAGCTGACCGATACCACGCGTCGACCTCCGTTGCATTCACCTCCAGTGCACCCTTCCAGAATGTGAGCTCCGCATCTAGATACTCGTCCATGGCCTCGAATGAGAGCAACAATCGGTTTAGAAGTAGGAGCATTGCGTGGTTGAGATGGGGCGGCATGGCGGAGGGATGAATGAATCGTGGTTCGGGGATTTGCGGTAATAGTCCCAGTTTGAGAGTTGCGGCTGCGTGAGGATTTTCCTGACACAATCATCGAATAAGAGAAATGGTTGATAGATACCACTAATTGTACGTACCCGGGCATGCGGCATTTGTAACTCCTCCTTCACACGCCGCAGCTGCAATTCGCCTTCCTTGATCTTCTCGGCAATTGCTTGATTCACAGCAACATTCCGGGCGGCCATGAGTCGAATGCTGTCTTCACTGTGGGACAACACCGATTGACTCTGTCTCACAGCTGTGGATTGCACTAATCCCAGTACCATTGAGTCAGTAAGAGGCCCGGAACCACGAGCCACATACCAGACGTCGATGGGCCACGATTGACATCCTGAGCTGAATGCCCATTGCGATCAAGAAGCTGTGTGAGGTCCGCGGCATTTGAATCTCGGAGGGAGAGGCTATGAACCCGCATTGACAGCCGCAGTACCGCATTGCGGGGATCGTTGCTGTTGTCCAGTAGAATACCCCAGAATTGAGGCATGGTGTTTGTCATCCCGTGTTCCATTATAACAGCAGGATCGCACAGCTGGCTAAATCCCAACATCATTGCATACATCGCCTGGATTGACGTAGGTGAACTGTGAACCTGAATGAACAACCGTATCGCGCACCATCGCTGTGACAAGCTTCTCGCCGCCAGCCTCCCTTGACTGTTCAACACCTAGTTCATGGATCGCCGCGTCAACCTCGGGTCGGAATATATGATTGTAGGCTTCGACAAAGACAGCAGAGGAGGGGGTGCTCATAATCGGTATGCTCTCGGGTTTCACTGGAAATAACTAAGAGCCAGCTCACTGTGGCTATTTACCAGAAAGTGGATCCTGAACGCATCTAAACTGTACCAGCCCATCTTGTCCATCAGCCTCAGTCACATGATTGCACGTGTGGGGTCCACGTGGTGACCATGAACCAATGCGCCCCTCCCACCATATGTGGCAACTCTCAGCGCACAATCCAGGCACGTACGCTGCCCTGAAGATCACTAGACACTAGGCACTGACAGGATGGGAGCTCTGGGTCCCGGGCACATATTGACAGTCGGCGCCGAAGATAGGTCAACCGTCGGCGCCGCAGACTACGTAAATCTCGGCGCCGAGCACATTCCAACTCTCGGCGCCGCAGACTGTGTAACCCTCGGCGCCGCAGACTGTGTAACCCTCGGCGCCGCACACTGACGAACGTGCGGCGCCGCAGAGTGGCCAACCCTCGGCGCCGCACACTGACCAACGCGCGGCGCCGCAGAGTGGCCAACCCTCGGCGCCGCACACTGACCAACGTGCGGCGCCGCAGAGTGGCCAACCCTCGGCGCCGCACACTGACCAACGCGCGGCGCCGCAGAGTGGCCAACCCTCGGCGCCGCACACTGACCAACGCGCGGCGCCGCAGAGTGGCCAACCCTCGGCGCCGCACACTGACCAACGCGCGGCGCCGCAAAGTGGCCAACCCTCGGCGCCGCACACTGACCAACCCTCGGCGCCGCACACTCTGTAATCCTCGGCGCCGCAGAGTGGCCAACCCTCGGCGGCGAGGGGTGGATTGTCTTCGGCGGCGAGCACATACCAACCGTCAGCACAGAAGAAAAATCAAGATTCGGTGCGAGGCACATAGCAACCCTCGGCGCGAAACACAAGTCAACACAGTGGGCACCAAGGAAGTACCTGACACCCGGTGCCTAATAGAACGTTAAGCGCTGTATTCCTGTCTATCTCAGGCCATTGAAAACTGAGCACGGTGACATTGTTATCGTGTTGGCTGTTACTATACATGCAATTGTGTACAACACTACGCGAAGCGGACATTACGGCTCTCTGTTGGCTGTCCGGCGGTATCCATGCCTGGGTCCAGCGCACCCGAGTGACCCGTTTGGCGACCATCACCACCCGCTACAGCCTGCTGCAATCCCATCTGCGCAACGTTCAGTGGGGGGTCTTCCGAACCATTCGGCGTGGCTGCGAGCGGTTTATTTGACTGCTCCGTCACAAGCTGCGCTGACGCTGCCTCACCGATATGCGTGGATGGGTTCATCCCGGACTCGACCGTCGCAGGTAAGCCTGTTGACAATTCCCCAGCGCTCTCAGATGATTTGCCCTGCATTGGTGGTGAGTATTTGTTGGTGAGTGGGTGGATGTGTGGCATACGTACCGCAGGGTCGAGTTGCTGTGCAGGCGTGACGGAGCCCTCGAACAGTTGAGGAGGCTCCGACGTTGGCACATCAGCATGGCCGGGAGGAGAGGGAGACCGTCTATTGACGTCTCTCCCTCCGGGCGTCGGCTCAAGGACCGGCCCAGCCTGTTGCTCGTTGTGACGTTCGGACGGACTCTGTCCCCTGGAGTTCACCTGGGCGTGCTCCGAGGGCGTGGGCGCTGCGGCGGGGACCTGCGAATGCTGGCTATCTTCCTGTGCATCCTTCATCTCGACGTCCTGGCGGACAGTGTCTGTCTCCACAGACGCGGATGAGCCATTGCCTGTGGACTTCACCTGTGCCGGCTCCTGCTCCGGGTGCACCGGGACCTCCTGCGAGTCCGGTATGATATCCTGCTCCGCACCCGCCATCACAATGTCCGTGTCCGGCTCTCCAACAGCATCCGTGTTCGATGGTTCCGCGACAGGTGGCGCACCATCGTTTCCGGACGCTGCATGAGTAGCCGGAGTCGTGGCAGGGTGATCACGCTCGTTGCGCGTCGAAGCACCCTCAGCGTTCGGCCCGACATTTGTGGGGTCGTCGGTCAGTGGCTCAGTGCTTTGATTGCCTGGCTGCATGATGAGGCCAGAGCGCGGCTGCAATGAAAATACCTTGTTAACATCACGCGACAATTTCGCTTGCAGGTCGACTCACTGGTGAGGGCCCACGACCGGGACGTCCTGACGCGGGGAGCTGCGGCGCGGGCAGGCCAGATGGTCCTGCCTCAGGTTGACCATCCGAAGCTCTGGGAGCCTCGGCTGGACGTCGGCGGTATTGAACCGGTGGAAGATGAAAGCCTGTTCAGGGTTAGAACCGAAGTAAATGCAGAGCGGTTTGCTACGCACCATTGATCGTCAGGAAAGACGTTAACGACTCCACGATGTCCTCCAAGGTCTCGACCCTCTCGTGCAGCCTGAGGCTCCGGTGCTCTGCTGCACCAAGACGCTGCGCCAGTGCCCCGTTGCGACGTTGGAGTTCCGACACCTGTCCTGCAAGCTCCCCGGGGTTGGCCAGTGCGACTGGGTTCGCGAGTCCTGCTTGCCCGGGCACAATGGGGTAGAAGCGACCTACACCTGGTGTCAGTACAAAAGACCACGTGAAAGATACCAGTGCACTAACTGATATCGGGAGCAAGGGCCTGCGTCTGGACGTTCGGCGTTGCACTGCTCGGCTGCGACTGCACCGCATCCTCGGGAGCAGCCCCCGGGGTTTTGGACTTTGCTCGGTGTCGCTTTGCCGGAGGCGACGGTGCACGAGAGGCTGACTTTGAGCGTGCTCGCTTTGAGGGAGGTGCCGGTCCGCGAGACCTTGACCGCGCGCGCGACGGCTCCGGCTGCTTCGTGATTGTCTCCGGGCCTCGGCTTGGGGTGCGGCGCGCGCGGCTGCTTTTGCGAGTACCGGACGGGCCCGCGGCTCCGCCCTCGTTGCGTTCGCGTCGTTCTCCGGGCGGCGACCTGCCCCGGCGCCGTCCACGTTGTTCCTCTTCGTCCGCCTCCTCGTCGTCCTCGTCTTCATCGTCCGCCGCGAGACCTGGCGCGCCCGGGTCAATGGGCACGCATTTGCGCTTCTTGAAGAAGCACCAGTCGCAGGCGGGCCGCTTGACCTTGCCCCTTCCCTTGCCCTTGGCGGGCTTCTTCGTGACTGTGGAAATGGTGCAGCGGACGTTGCCTTTGCACGCTGTGCACGGCCACTCCTGCAAGCAAAATCAGGCGAGCTGCCTACTGTGTGTATTGAGGACTTACGCTCGGTCTCGTGCGCTCCGGTCTGCGGGATGCGCGGGTTGTTGGCATCACCCAGCCCTCCCGTGCAGGCTTCGCCTTCGTCTTCTTCGGCATGGGCTTCTGCTTGTTCTTCAGAATGCCCTTCGATTTTCCTAAGCAAGCATTGTCAGACGCTCCATACGTGCTAAATGATCAAAGTTTCTTACCTTCCTCCTGCTCCTCCTCCTCCTGCTCCTCCTCCTCCTCCTCGTTGTCCACATCCTGGCCACCTTCCTGAATCGCCGCAGGGTTCCCTCCACTCGGACCTTCATCTTCGTTGGCTGGTGGCGTTGGTGGGACCTCGCGCGCCTTACCCTTCCCCTTCTTCAGCTGCAGCGTCTTCCTCACCATCTCCTCGTCGTGGTCGTCATCCAGCTGATCCACCTCACCGCCATCCTCCTCGTTGGAGTCACCGTCGAGCTCCCTGAACCGCTTTCCAGGCGGCGCACCTTTCGGACCCTTGAGGCCAGTCTTCTTTTCCTGGGCAGCCCGGGTAGCCTCCTTCCGCGCTTTGCTCTCCTCGAGGATCTTCGCACCGCGCTCGGCTGTCGCTCTCTTCTCCGCTGCTTCCTGGTGCTCGCGCATCTGGAGGTGGAAGTGGTGCCGCGGGTGATTAGGGGGGAAAAGGAGCCAGTGGTGCGCAATGCGCTCGTCAATTTCAGAAACCCGGGAGAATTGGATCGGAATGCCGTGTTGGTTCGCGTGGGCTAGCTCAGTCAACGCTGACGCAAGGAACCGGGACACCGCAAAGTACCGGCCCTCCGTGAAGTGGTGGACGATGTTATGCCCAAACAAACCCTGTACAATATGAAGTAAAGATACCATGTTAAAAGCGGATCACTCACCACTTTGACTCTGAATTGGTCCTGGATACCATGGGTGTTAGCGGCGGACGCAATTGTACACTGAGTCACTCACCCGCGTTTTGTCGTCGAAGTTTTTATCCTGCTCATCTGTCACAGAAGGCCCTCCCATTAAGCCAACTATCTCCTGCTCGACTTTTGTGATGTACTCCGGCATATCCGTCCACTTGACCGGAACAAACTCGCGCGCGTCTTCGTCGTCTGAGCCGGCGTCTCCTCCTTGGCGGGTCTGCGAGCGTGACGTGGCAGCGGCGGAAGACATTTGAAGCAGGCCTGAGGTGAGGTGAGCTGGGCAGCAGAGGTTTGCGAGGAGACTTGTGGTGTTGGGAACCGAAGACGTTGATGTTGTGCGCGCCGCCCGTTACGCGACGCGACAGAGCATGTGACCCAACGGAGCGTGCGCGGGAGCCGAACCCCCGGCGATCATTGCTGGCGCTTGCGACGTCGCTATCGCCGCGGTTCTTCCTCGAACCTTAATCTCTAAAGTCTAACGTCATGACGTGTCAACGTAAGTGCAGTGTTCTACTACAGCTACCCGTCTGTGGATCTCATATGTTGCCATCCCTGTAGCTGACAATGTGGGGAGTTCGATTCCCGGCGGCGAACGTCCCTGTACAAGGGGTCACAAGTTCCGCCTACCCTCGGTCCCGCCGGGAACAGAAGCGCCGGCGAAGGTACCATTACACTTCTCTTACCATGTATAGACACTGACCGTTGTCGTGCAGTCATTGGCGCATCCAGACTCCGAGCAAGGCGTGGATGTAGCATCCCATTTAGATTTAATGGTGCGCATGTCCTCCGGTAACTTGTGACCAACCTGTTGACCTGTCCATTTGTCGGTGCGGTACATTTGAAGGCCCGGGAAGCGGTCAAGCCAAGGGGCCGCCCATCCGGTCATGTCCATTTCAGTCCGGACGCGGACACAGCTGGACGTAAAAATCCGGAGGATAGGGAAGGTAAACAGGCTGAGCTGTTGTCTAGTCAGGTATGTGACATGCATCGTGGAAACATGACTTACATATTAAATGCGGACCGATTGTTCAAGCATGACCTGGCCTCGGCTGCTCTGACTGAGCACAAAGTGACCAGTCGGAAATGGAACCCCCGTGAATTCACGATGCCATTGGTACATGCACCCGGGCAGCGACAGGTAAGCAGTTTGCCACCTGCCGAGGTATGCATTTCTTTTTAACATGGCCATAGACACATTGCATTACGAGGGATGGAACCGGACATGATCCGCCCCAGATTCCGGCCGAAGCCGAGCATCCCACCCCCCCTTCTTCGGCCTCACCCATTATTCCCGCGATATCCCAGCTTGTCAAGGTCCCGGCGGATCGGATCATATCTGCCGAAACCAGCACACCAGCTCCCAGTCCACCAAATACTAAGGCAATCGAAGAGGATGTCACCATGGGTTCCCCGAGCACAGGACCGGCCGACAACAACAGTTTCTCCTTGTCGGAAACACTCTGCACCGAAGCGGATCCATCCGGTGATTCTGACATCGAGGTCATCGAGTCCCCAATGAACAAGCTCGTTTATCGGAAGCCACGGCATCGGTCCCGGGCCCCCTCTCCGATCACTATATCGGACTCAGAGCCTGACAGGACAGCTTTCGGCGAGACTGGATTGCTGTTCGAACCATCCCCTGAAATAATATCCTACAGTAGCACCTCTGACGAAAGCACCGATCGCATTCCTCACTTCCCGGACAGTGTGCAACCTCCCCTTCAGCAGGTTATAGTCTCCGAGGGCCAGCAGAACTGGACCAGGTTGCCTTACCTGTTTCAGGAAGGTGAGCTGCCCGAGGACCTCATACCTGCGGGGGCCCCGCTGGCACTGGCGCCAGATGACTGGGAGCCATTGGTGGGGGGCGGTGGACTGGTCGCAAAAGTGAGTGACATGTGCTTTGATTCGGTGTCCTGAGCTCATATGTTCCAGCCTGAAGACATCACATTGTCACCGAATCACTCAAGCGCCATTCCTGAAGATGGGATCGCAGCAAATCACTTTCATATCTTACAGCACGGTAAGTTTGTGAAGCTATGTTACCGTCTCCACCCATGACCCAGGTCCTTGGTTCGCCGCCGAACACTCGCCAGCCCTCGGCGCCGAGGGGTGGCCACTCTGCGGCGCCGCGCGTTGGTCAGTGTGCGGCGCCGAGGGTTGGCCACTCTGCGGCGCCGCACGTTGGTCAGTGTGCGGCGCCGAGGGTTGGCCACTCTGCGGCGCCGCGCGTTCGTCAGTGTGCGGCGCCGAGGGTTGGCCATTCTGCGGCGCCGAGGGTTGGCCAGTGCTTGGAGTCCAAACCTGAGTTCTGTGCAATGCTGTCGCGTGTAGCCTAGATCGTGTTACAGTGGGCGCACCATGTTCATTTACATTTGGTCATCTCTGCAGATTTAGCAGACCGTGTTGTCTCGAGCATGGAGTCCGCACCGACGGGCAGGATGTACACATCTCCAGCTGAGGCCACCGCTCCCCTGGATCCCTTTCACAATCTCTGGACCAGGGACAGTGGGAAGCCTCTCCAATGGCCTCGCACCGGTATGCCATTTTTCTTTCTCTTGTGCTTGCGCCGACTCATGGCATTTCATTGTTATTACAGTAATCGGACCGTCTTACAGTGGCCAAGCTCCTACGGCTTTTTCGGATCTTCTTCATCAGCGGACGATACTGGAATCCCGGATCGAATCCTTGGAGCAGCTGCGACGTTCCAATGCCCTCAATGCAAGAACAGTAGGCTGGGTTCTGGCATATTACAATTGCGCTGAGTGGCCTCAGGCACCTCAGCAGTGATCAAAACTCCAGCATTTGATACATGTGATGCACATATATTACACTTGACTCTATATCTGTCCATGTAGCCTGTATTTAGATGTATTACATCCAGGCTATGTAGGGTCTAGGTGCTCTATTGGCAAAGTTGTGAGAACGGGATAAGTGAGACTGCTATAGAGTATAATGATCTCTTATGGGAAATATCTGCTGAAAATGAGGAGACCATGGAATGATATGGTACTCACAACTTATCTTCAATATCAGCCTGTGTTCATAGAATATGTGTGTCTATGCCAACAACTAGGGAGTGGAATTACATTGTTTGAACTGGTTAATGCCTTCAGATTGAAAGAACTATCATATGTATACATACATCATACAGTATACTGTATACCATATAGGTGGTATATTTATATTCTTAAATAGAATATTCTTAAATAGTTGCAGCCATAGTAGTGATGGATATGATTGCGGTCATTTCAATTGGGTCCAAGTTTTCTGATGATGTTCATTGTGTATATTGTTGCACTCACGTTTGCCAATAATCCTTCACAATGTTTTGTGAAACATGACTGAGCTTACCGTGTGCTGATCCATATGTATTCAATGCTCATATCTTCATTGCCTGAGTATTGTTCCATCTGTGAATTTCCATGTTGATACTGGAGGTTTGGCTATGATAGCTTCTGAGCCTAGTCCTTGATATTGTCCCAAATACAGGATGATAACAGGTCTATCATGGTGCTGTCACACTAGTCGGCCGGTCTGTTGTTTGCGAGAACGGGCGGCCGCCCCGTTACATGCATGGCCGGCCGGCCGCTTGGCATTCAGCGCCATAACAAACCACTTGGTAAAGCCCGGCCGAGCGGTTCTCATTGGGTTCACTCACGTTTGGTCAGTCGGTAACTTATGGGAGGGTAACATGCCCGGCCGGTTGGTTACACACGGGGTGGCCGCTTCGGTGATTACGTGCCGGACTCACTTGCTCAACGGCACTTGGCACCATCAGCCGATGATAATTCGACGGTCATTTCAATGATCGGCCCTTGCTTGAATGACACATGGGTCTTCCGAGCGGCCGATGGTTATGCAACTATATATGGTGGTCAGTGGTCAAAGTGCTCTACATGTACAAGGCTTCCGCCCACCGGATGATTTAGGACCTTGATGCGTCTCGCCGGCCGACATGTTGTGTTAGTCAGGTTGCCATCACCGGCCGGAACGTGGTAAAAGTCGCAATCATTTATAGGGAAATGATAGTATGACATGCATGTTCCGAGGGCCCGGTGTGATTTGTATACACATGCGTCAGGACCGGCCGGTGCATTAGCAACGTTGGGACACTTCACCGGCCGGTGCATTGACAATATTGGGCCACATCACCGGCCCGTTGACGAACAAATATGGGGCGACACTGGCTGTGGTTATGTGTGGGTCTGCGACATTGTCGTCTCCGTCGGCCGGTGCATTTCCAATGAATCCGGCTAGACGTCGGCCGACAGGCTGATGCCGTCAAAACCCGTTACGCCGGCCGCCGTCGGGTTTCCGTTGACGACGGGGAATATGCAGCCCGGGTGTACCGTTAGGAACGGGTATGGTCCGCTCATGAATGTGAGCAGAGCGCGGACAGCACGAATGAGGCGCAAAGGATTTTCGCCCCCAGGCAAACGCAGATCAATGATAGTACCTAGCAGGACGCGGCAGATGTCTTGATGCTCGGTCCCGGAAACACGAGAGAGGTGCGAGATGCCCTTGGAGAAGTGGCGTAGGTTATGATTCGGAGGGAGGGATTGAAAGCGGGCATCGATCACCCGCGCGCCGTAAGCTGACTTGATCCAGGCCACGACATGCTTCACCATGCCTTGGTAGAGTTGATGTAGGATATCAGGTGGCAGTGATGCGTAGATATTGACATAGGGGAGCCCTTTCCAGAAGGGATCCGCGAGTGGCTTGATGCCTGCAGCCTGGCAGGCAAGGACGTGAGCAACAGCATCGCCCGTGTGCTCCAGTGTGTCCAGCGCGGCCAAGATGGCGTTCAAGTCGCGCGCAGTGCAGGCAACATCCTCGCCCAAGACATCCGGTGCGACTACGCCCGCGGGACATTCGCCGTTCTTCACTCCGGTGACAAGAACTATCTCCGGGTAGTCACCAACGTAGGCCGCAAAGACCGGATGGCAGCGCCGGACTGAACCGTCGCCTGTGCTCATGGCCGTCCCATGGCGCCCAGGATCGCGAGTACAAGCGAGGGCCTGGCGCAGGCATGCATGAAACAGGTTGCTGCTCGCACGCCGGCGAGTCTCATCGCTCTTGATGTGGGAAAGCCGAGTAACAGGGAGATAGCCGATGAGCAACTGAGCTTGCCTACTCGACTTGCGGCGAATATCCTTTGGTATGTTGCCGATGGTGAGATAGAGGGGGTAGCAGGACCGATTCCGAAACAGTGTGAGCTGCGTTTTGTCCGATGACACGATGAGTGGAATGATTGTGGCACCTGCTTCCTTGTCCTCGAGTTTGCGCTGTAGTCGAACCTCAATACATGGGCAGCACGGAGCAGTTCAGAAGCTTTGACATACCTGCAAGCGCCACCACCATTCGCCTGTGTTCATGTCACCATACACTCGTGTGGTCTTGGTCTGATCGACGTAGTGCTTCTCGGGAGCCACGAGGATGTCGGCGGCCCAATCCGAGGATCCAAACAGCACGCGAATGCACTGCATGGCATCTCGGAGCCACAGATCATACTCCTCGCCATCGACCTTGACGACGTGCCGCACAAACTTGGGGCGCGTGGGTAGAGAGGAATCCAGAATCTTGTTTAGTTCCTTAGTGTTCTTGAACGAAAGTTGCAGGGCGTCGAGCACCTAGGAGTGGAGCGCACAGGTAATTAGCCAAATGCGTCAAACAGGATCCAGCGAACATACCCCATTGATGGCCAGAAATTCATTGAAAGCGGTCGCACTTGGCCCTCGCGTCTTCGCCCATCGTGCGATACACCACTCCATCTTTGACTTGAAAGGCGCGAAGACGTTCGTTTCCAAAACTTCAGACATGCCCACCTCATAACGTGCAAATGGGTTCTTATCCCCGGGACCGGGAGCCATGACCGTGGCACCGGCGCCCCCACCAAACGGCACCACGTACGGTTCGTTGAACAGGAAGTCTTCATCGACACCTTCGAGGCCTGGTAACTCGCGTTCAACGTCCATGTCATCCTGGCGTCCCTGTTCGTGCCCTCCCAGGCCTTCGCCGCCGCCTGCTTGCTGATCATCGGCCGCAGGAGACGGCGACCTCACATGCTCTGGTGGTGGCCTGAGTGCAACTATGGTCAACAGGGGC